TAGTCACTGGACACCTAGTGCTTCCCACTTGCAGGTGCTCCTAATACAATAGTGATGAAAATAAAAATTTACAAATATTAAAGCATTGACATCGAATCCTGTGGTCTGTCACAGTGTCGTATATAAACTTGTGACTGTGTCTCTGTTTATAACAGGGTCTAGTTGTACAAGACTGCTAAATCATAGAGGTATATAATTTCAAGTAATAGTTCATCTCAGTGTTCACGGAGGCCAAAGTGGTAAGTTCCAGTGACCTGAAACAGGATACCTTATCCTTTCACTGGAAAGTCCCTCTGAGCAAGCTGCTTCCCAAGTGGATGTACTAGTTGCAAAAGCTAAATTGTTACTCTTAGATCTTTTTTCTTTTTTTCTTTCTCTTTTTTTTTTTTACTCTTAGTTATTAAGTATGCTGATACTGTTTTCTGCTAGTGTTTATCCTGGAAATCTGAAACCTAGTGAGGGTACTGACTTACTTTCCTCCCTCTCTCTATCCCTTTCTTTCCTTATCTCATAAACATTTATGAAGTGCCTATAGTGTGGAAGACACACTAAACAGTCCAGGAGATCTGAGGATATTTTAACATATGTCATGCGTAACATATGAGAAATTTCTGAAGGAGTATCTTTTGAAATACCATACCACCCACACTTTTAATATAACCCACTCCACAAACACACCCGTGCTCTGACATCATTGCCATCGGGACCCACTGTCCTTGATAAGAATGTGTCTCACTACAATGGAAAAAGAAGCTGAGAATTAAAGCCCAGAGGCTTAAAAATCTAGCAACAGAAATGTGTTCACGAATATGATAATATATTACATTATAATCATTATATTATATATTGAATGTTATAGGAATAACATTCTGAATTATTTTGAAAATACTAAATAGATAGGCTTTTCATTCCTTCTATAAAATCTGTTCGTTCTGTATGCTGATCACCTTTAAGATTAAGTCAATGGGCAGGAAAAGTTATATAATACCACAAGTGGATTCATAGGACAGAGGAAAAGGAAACAGCATAAATGAAGTACCCAAACAGGAAATGGAAGTAGAAGAATTGATTGTAGAACAGAAAGAAAAGGAGAAGGGGAAAAGATTAGACTCCTACATCCTGGCTCCTCTGGACTGAAACCCTGGGAAAGGGTTTGATGTAGCAGTTTAGAAACAACTGGGTATGTTTCAGGAAATCTTTGAGCAGTGGAAATTATTTTCTTGCCTCTCCTTGGATCATTTTCAAGGTCTCTTAGAACAACATGTCTAATGTGGGACCACCCAAGCAATTAAGTTGGAAATAGCAAAATAGCAGAAAGAGCTGGGAGTAGACATAAGTTCCTCTCCACCTTTCTCTAAAATCAAGGTTGTTAAGATGAAATTCCTAGGTTTTGCTTTGGGCCTAATGAAGGTAACTGGGACACAAACCAGTTGTGACCTATAAGACATTCAGCAAGGCGGGCCAAGGAAGCTCATCTAGGATTTGTGGGAGGACCACCTAATAAGGTGAGAATGACATAGAGATTGTTCTTTAGAATACCCAGGGGGCTAGCAGAAGACCACAGTGTAGATGAAGAACCACATGCAAAAAGGAAACTGTATTTCTCTGTATTGGAAATCAACTTAATTCACAAACCCTTATGTCCACTGATGGTAAAAACATTGATCTTGCCAATTAAAATTTAGTCACTTATAAGTAGAAACAGCCTTCTTTAAGTAAATATTTAAGTATAAAATTGTTTTATCCATTTTTCTTATTATTTTTTGTCTAATTTTTAATTTTTTTATTATTGGTGTCAATGTTTATTGTTTTTTTTTCCATTACTATGTATCCCTGTTATACCCTTCCCCCCATACCTGCAATCACCACACTGTTGTCCATGCCCATGAGTCCTTTTTCCTTTTTGTTCGATCCTTCCACCCACAACTCTCCTTCCTCCACTCTAACCCCCCAGAGCTGTCAGCCTGCTCTCTATCTATGAGTCTGTCTCTATTTTGCTTGTTAGTTTTTCCCCTTAGGTCCTTCCAAAGTGCAATCTGACCTGCCATTGGAGAAGAGGTATACTGTTCTAGTGCTGACCTCTAGTGGTCACTGGCCTTCAGTGAGATGTCTGATTTCGCCTGGTCTTTGGATGACAGTAATTTATATTCACTGCAATAATGTCTTTCCCTTAGTCTCCAGTCTCTGTGATACACGATACATGTACTTTGCATTACTTTATCACAACTATAAGCACCTTTGGATCTTTCAGGTCTCTTTCAGCCTCTTCCATGAGCCATTGCAACATTTCAGATGCTTCACGGTGGTGGTCTTTTAAATCGAGATGCAAGTAACTCTGGGGGTGCACGAAGACATTACAAGGAGTATGTGGACAAGGTTGTTGTCTTTTATCATTTAAAAATCAGATATATTGCCCTGGCTGGTGTAGCTCAGTGAATTGAGCGTGGGCTTCGAACCAAAGTGTCACAGGTTCAATTCCCAGTCAGGGTACATGCCTGGGTTGCAGGCCATGACCCCCAGCAACTGCACATTGATGTTTCTCTCTCTCTCTCTTTCTCCCTCCCTTCCCTCTCTAAAAATAAATAAATAAAAACTTTTTAAAAAATCAGATGTATTTATATATTATTTATATAAATAAAATTCATCCATTTTAAGTGTACAGTTCTGTAACTTTTGACATTTATCATCATTTAACCACCATACAATCATGATCTAAACCGTTTCATCACCTCCAAAAAGTTCCTTCATGCTCTTTGTAGTCCCTCTCCTCTCTCAACCCAAGGCCCTGGCAATCACTGATCTGCTTTCTATCGCTGGAGTTTTGCCTTTTCTAGAATATCACCTAAATATTATCATACAGTATGTAGCCTGTTGTGACTGCCTTTTTAGCATAGTACTTTTGAGATTTATCTGTGATGTTACATGTATCAGTAGTTCATTCCTTTTTAAGAAGCAGCATCATTGAGTGCTGCTGGCCACATGGCTCAGTTGGTTGGAATGTCATTCCATGCACCAAAAGTTTGCAGATTTGATTCCCTTTCAGGGCACATGCCTTGGTTGTGGGTTTGCTCCCCAGTTGGGGCACGTGTGAGAGGCAACCAACTGATGTTTCAGTGTTTCTTTCTCTCCCCCTGTCCATTCCTCCCTCTCTCTCTCTTTCTCCTTTCCTCTTTTTCTGAAGTCAATGGAAACATGTCCTTGTGTAAGGATTTAAGAAATAAACAAACAAAAAAACAACAGCATTATTGAGATATAATTCAGATACTATACAATTCACCCATTTAAAGTGTACAAGATTTTTAGTATATTCCTAGAATTACGCAACAACTACTACAGTCAGTTTTTAGAACTACTAATCTAAAGAAGGAATTTTGTTTCTTTTTATTCCTAAAGTAGGGTGGTTTTTTTTGTTTTCCCATTGAGCAGTTGATGGAAACTTGTGTTGTTTCTATCTTTTGACTATTATGAATCAAGCTGTTATGAACATTTGAGTACAAGTCTGTGTGAACATATGTATGCTTTAATTTCTCTTGGGTAAATATCTAGGATTAAGGTTACTGGGTCTTATTGTAAATATACATTTTAACTTGATAAAAACTGTCAAATTGTTTTCAAAAGTACCCATATTGTTACTGCTAGCAACATGTGAGAATTTCAGTTGCTCTATCCACATCCTCATCAGCATTTGATGTTGCTAGTTGTTTACATTGGAGTCATTCTAGTGGATATGTAGAGGTTTTATTTTATTTTATTTTAATTCTCATCCAAGGACATGCTTATTGATTTTAGAGAGAGAGGAATAGAGGGAGGGAGAGGGAGAGAAATATCCGTTGATTTTCTCTCAAACACACCCTCACCAGGTACCGAACCCATAACCCAGGCATGTGCCCTGCCTGGAAATTGAACCTATGACCTTTCAGATTATGGAACGATGTTCCAACCAACTGAGCCATGCTGGCCAGGGCAATGTTGTGGTTTTAATTTACATTTACTGATGCCTATTGATGTTGAATATCTTTTTCCTGCTTGTTTGTCATTCATACATTTTCCTTGGTGAAGTGTCAATTCAGATCTTTTGCTCACACCAGTCATTCAAGTCAATCTTTTCCTTGCTTGGAAAAGCTACAGAGTGTATCTCTTTTATTCATAATTTTGTTTGTGAGATTTGTCTACATTTGTATATGTGGTTAGAGATTATTCATTTTTAATGTTATACAAAATCCATTGTATGAATATACCACGTTTACCCATTCTACTATTGGTAGGCATTTGGGTGATTTATAGTTTTGGGCTATTATGAATAGTGCTACTATCCAATACAATTGATTAATGCATTTTGATGTACATATGCATGAATTTCTTAGGACACTCAATGGTTTCTTATCTAGTCAGTGAACTCTTAAGTGTTCAACTCTAATATATTCAACATTACAATCAATATATTTACTATGTGTACCTCACTCAGATGAGAATTGTAGTTGCAGGTAATACCAAATCCTTTCCTTCTTAGTGTTGTCACTAGACTTTATACTTAAGAATCTTAACATGTATTCTTGTTAAGGGATATTCATATCTTTTATTAGATTGTGAATGCTTTTCGGTACCTCGTTTTAACTTGCTTGCGTATCCCAGCATCCGGCACAGTGCCTGAATATAGTAAGCTGGTTGAGTGAATGGTGATAGCCATCATCCTTGCCAGCAATCAACACAGCAGGTCCCCTTAGTTATGTGAACCATCTAGCCAGGGTAAAGTCTGGCTTTAGCCTGGCTAGATGGTTGACATGTCAGAGTCAAAGGGTTAGGAATGGGAAGTGATCCCTCTCTGAGAAGCCCAGAACTAAGGACTCGGAACTGAATATGCCATGTGGTCAGAGGGAATTGCTGTGGCTTTACAAGCCTCTTAGAGATTTCATGTGTTAACAGTAATGATTCCAAGGGATGGTGCGGGGGCCAGATATAAATAGCAGAACACAAATGGGGTAATGTGCCACTGCCAAGCTGCTGCTGGGGGTGTTTATAAAAAGAAAAGCATTCCCTTCCCGGCTCTCACTGTCAACAACCTCCCATGCCGAAGACACACTCAGCACAACTGAGAGAGTGGGGAAGCAGTTTGAGACCTAGCATCATTTAAACCTCCTACACAGGGAAAGAAGGTAAACATTTTTACTTATTTATGTCCAGACTACAGAAGGGAAGAATTTTTAAAACTCCAGCTTTCTAAGCTTTCTTAGCATATACTACCTTGTGACAGTCATCTGCCAGTTGTATAGGCCGAATCTTTTTTGGAAAGAGAAGTTGAACACACAAAAGTGGCATTTTTGGTACTATATTTTAGTATCTTTAGTGAAACAAATGGCTCCTAAATAAAGGTGAGAATTTAGGGCCAAAGGGAAGACTATCTCCTTTCTTCTGTGCTTTCATTCCTGCATTCAGATGCCAGAATGTGGTGATTGGAACAGTAAAATAGACATTGTAGTCCAGTTGAGTCATTTCCACTGTGTTTTAAGTGTGTGGAAGGAACTGTAGACCAGCACTAACGGAATCTTTTCATGACTCTGGGACAGCTTCAGCTTGTAGGGCCTCTTGCCCTCCTACTTAGTAGCCCTTTCAGTCTCATAAACATTGGGATGAATATTGCGCATTTAACCAGAGCAGAGTTATATAATCTTATTGGAATTACTGCCTACCCAGTTCCTTCTTACTCTCATTCCCGACGTCAGGAAGTTATGCAAGACACTTGTTTCATCCTTGGGCTTTTCTTGATTGTGAACATTTGGGGGAAGGAGATCCCTTTAGCTAGCCTTCTGCTTTGTACCACTGCTAGCTTCATCATCTCCTTCATCCTGCTCAAATGAGCTTAACTTGGTTTACAGCAAGCTTAGAAGAGTGGATGATGTACATGGGCTCTAACTCTTGGAGAATTCTTGGAAACTGGGAGCTGGGAGAGCAACTTTGAAATGTTTTTGTTTTTTTTCTAGTTGATGTTAATTTCACGTGCATGCTGAGGGGAGCTTTAGTGACAGCAAGAAAGCACAAGCACCAGTGACTCTGGTGGGAGAGACAACTTATCTAGAGGAGAACAGAAAAGGATAGATTTAATGTTGAGCAAATTGCTAAAGTTCTCTGAGTTTTTGTTTCCTCACCTGTATAATGAGGGTGTTAGACCAACAGGCAAAATCTAGGCCTTTTCAGCCACTGGAGTGTACTAATACTCACTTCCTGCCCATCCCGGGAACCAGTCTCACCCAGAAGGAAAATAGACTGTATCATCCAGCTCTGCTTCCCTAAGCCGCTTTTTTTTTTAGTCTACTAAATTGGGATTTCTTCGTTTTAATTTAGAAGAGAAAAATGAAGACAGGACATTTTGAAATGATCACCATGCTGCTGTCAGCTATGATTTTAATGGATATTTTCCAGGTAATGTTGGGAGTGGGAAGTCCATGGTCACTGAACGAGGCGCTCTCAATGTAATGTTACCTGAGGCGTCTGTGTGGGTTTTAAAGCAAACGAGCAGATAAAGTAGACTAACCAGTTTTTTCAAGTAGCTTTCATCTTTCATTTATGTATTTGATACATGTCAATTATAAAAAGTTGAAAAATTAAAATCAAACAAAAACAGGAGAGTAAAAATCATCCACAGTCTTTCTACTCAGCGGGAAAGACTCTTAATCCGTTGGTGTTTAGTCTCCTTGGCTTTTTTCTGTGTGTGTATTTAATTTACAAAGTGGGTGCATACAATACATATATTTTTTATCTTTTTAAGTTAATTCTTGTTGCAAATGTGTATGTCATTAAATATTATGAAAATATGTATTTTTTTCCAAATAAGATGACACTGCAGTGTTTGGCTACATGTTTTTTATTAAACTGCTATATAATGATCACTTTCTCACATTCACTATTTTTTTATAGAATTTTTGTTATTTTATTTTTGTTAATATTCTATAACATTTTTATGTAAAATATGAGCTAGGTATCTCACTTAACTCCCCCTCCACAATGTTCCCCCCAAATTCAAGAAATTACTTCAGATTATTTGTCCACTGATCTGAGGTAATTTCTTGAATTCTTGAAATCTTATCCATTTTTGAATTTAATATTCTAATACATTGTCTATAGAATCATTATATATTATGTTGCTTGTACTGTAGTGTGATTTTAATTGAGATAATTCACATATAAAGATTCTCCATTTTAAAGTGCACAATTCAATGGTGTTTATAGATTCACCCATTGTGCATAATTTCACCACTGTCTCATAGTACATTCCCATCAACCTCAAAAGAAACCCTGTAGCTAGTCAGCAGTTAGACCTAATTCCCTCTTCCCTGCATCCCCTGGCCATCCCACCTGTGCCTCGTCTCTATGGATTTGCCTATTGTGGACATTCTGGATATTTCATCCGTGATTTCTTTCATTTAGTGTAACATTTTTAAGGTTCATTTGCATTGTAGCATGTATTAGTATTCAATACTTCATTCTTTTTTACAGCTGAATAATATTCTATTATGTGGTCAAGCCACATCTTGTTGACCCATGCATTAATTTGTGGACATTTGGGTTGTTCTCCCTTTTGGGCTCTTGTGAATGAGTAGTGCTGCTATGAGCTGACATGTACATATTTTTGTGTGAACATACATTTTCAATTCTCTTAGGTATATACATAGGAGTGGACTCACTGGGTCGTACAGCAACTCTATGTATAACATTTTGAGAAACTGCCACACTGCTCTCCACAGTGGCAATACCATCTTACATTCCTACCAGCAGTGTGTGGGGGTTCACCTTCTCTACATACTTGCCAACACTTAATTTCTTTATTAATATAGTCACTCTACTGGATATGAAGTAGTATCTCACTATGTTTTGATTTGCATTTTTAATATTCCTTTCCAACATAATTTTAACATATTCTATGGATTTTGATAATTTCTTTCCTTGAGCATTTAAGTCATTTCCACATTTTAAAAAAGATTTTATTTCTTTATTTTTAGAGATAGGGGAAGGAAGGGAGAAAGAGGGAGAGAAACATCATTGTGTGGTTCCCTCTTGTGTGCCTACCACCAGGGACCCTGCCTGCAACACAGGCTGTGCCCCAACTGGGAATTGAATGGGTGACTCTTTGGTTTGTAGGCCAGTACTTGATCCACTGAGCCACACCAGCGGGGACCATTTCCACATTTTTGTAATAAATTTTTGGTAATTGAATTTCATCCATATTCATCTTTGTTTGAATGGATAAATCAGAAAAGAAAATATATAATCAGTGTGTTCATCTAACCTTTTATACCTGTCCCTTAATGTTCACCCAGTGGTCCCTGAATGGTGGTGGCATTTGTGAACTTTTTCACTGTTCAAGGCACTCACTGTGCAGAACATGTAATCAACTGTGGCCTTGGGCCAGAAAGACTTGATGTCTAAAATTAGGCATGTGGAGACCGGTTAGGGCATAGAACAGACAGGAACATATTAGATCAACTCTGATGCGATATGAGGAATGTGAGAGGTGGTGACTTCAGGGCACAATCTTGTAATATGTTGAAGTCTTAAAGATAAATCAGGCATTGGTGCCCAGCATACCCTGGGGTACATTCTGTGCTACAGAGGAAAGCAAATTTTTTGGCTAGGAGACAGCAATGATTCAATCTCCTGAAGTTCAAATTCCCACGTCAAGAAACTGACCTACAGACTCGGAGTACAGGGGTCTTTCCCAGCAGAATATTCTGTGGCTGGTAACCAAGAAAGATAGTGTCTGACACCAGCATAATTGCTTTGTTTGTAAAATGGTGGTATGAATTGTCTGCCCAACCTTTCATAAGGGTTGTTATGAGAACAAAAGTAAACCCTTCACAAAGTGCCACATAAGTTTCAATGATATGCATTGTTGGAAACAACATTTTGATTAAGGGGACAGACTCAGGAGCTAGATTGCCTGGGTTCAAATCTCAATTCCAGACAAGTTATTCAGCTTAAGGTCTCCAACTGAGAGCATAGGTGATGCAACCGATGTGCCCTGAAAGTAATACAGCAGAGTAGAAAGAGAGAATGATGTGGAAGGCATTAATTATTCTTTGCTTTGTAGAAACCCTTAAATGGTGTTCTGGGCAGATTTGCTCATCCTGTTTTTTGATCAATAGGTTAGAGTACAGGGTTCTTATTTAGTTCACTTATTTAGATGCTTGGCCTTTGAAGTATAAATATAATGCAGATTCTGCCCTTGAGGAAGGTACAGTATAATTAATATATTTCCATCATGAAACAATTAAAAATAACCACAGTTTGTTGAAGGCCTGATATGTACCAGACATGGAGCTAAGACTTTGCTTATATTCATTACACCATTTATCCCCACGACAACTCTACAGTTAAAACATTACTTCCTGCCCTGGCTAGTGTGGCTCAGAGGCTTGAGCAACAGCCTGTGAACTGAAAGGTTATTCATTTGATTCCCAGTCAGGACCCATGCCCAGATTTCCAGCCAGGTCCCCAGTTGGGGGCGTGCAAGAGGCAACTGATTGATGATTGATGTTTCCCTCACACATTAATGTTTCTCTCTCCCTCTCTTCCTCCCTCCTTTCCCCCTCTCTAAAGATAAATGCATAAAATCTTTATAAAGAAACATTATTTCCTTACTTTATTCCCATTTTTAGATGAAAAAATTGAAGTTCAGAAATGTCAAGTAATTTTCCCGTAACTAATTAGTACTTAGTAACAGGAATGGAATGAACTCACACAAGTCTGACTCCACCCTGGGGTTAGTTACATTACACCATCCTGCTTCTACCATGCGTCACTGAAAGATGGATTAGGCCTTTTTCAGTTGTATACAGCAGAAACAGTGTAAACATGCTCAAGCAAATAGCACATTGGTTGCTTCTTATGACTAAGTTAAAATACAGTCTTCAGGAACAGCTAGACCCATGGCCTTAAGTAATGTTATCAGGGCTTCATCTCTCTCTCCACTTATCACCTCTACAAGCCTTTCATTCATTAACTATATTTGTGGGCAGGACTCTCCGTGGAACTAAAAGGATAACTATTGGCTTCCCCAAGCCATTATTATCCTTAGAGCTTATGGTTGTACAGAAGGAAAGAATGTTCTGGTTTTTAAGCCTGATTCATTGCTTACTACTGGGGCTGAAGGTGCAATCCATCCTACCCAAACCACATGGACAAGGAAGGGAGTCTCCTCTCAAGAAAAAGGGTGATATTTGCCATTATGTCTTTATCATGTATGATATTCCATGCATGGTATTTCATATTCACTCAACAGTTTTGAGGGGTTGAAGAAATCTGGCTAAGAATATTTTCAAAGCCAGGATTGCCACCCCCTTCTTTAGTTTTTTTTTTTTTTTCCTTCCTGAAAATCTGTCCTTAAATGGCATGTTGAAACCATCTGCATTCCATGTAGTTATTGATATTTCTGGATTATGCCTACTGTTTTCTTACTGTTTGTTCCTTCTGTTTTTTATTCCTCATTTTTTTTTCACTTCTTAAGTTTTATATTCATTGACTTTTCCTCAGTACCTCAAGGTTTAATGAATGAGTTACAGGCATAATCATACCCATATCTCACCTGCTAACATTTACTCTTTCACACAAATAGGTCCTTGCTGAAAAAAGTTATCAATAGCAATGGAATACACTTCCTACATTAAAAAACTATATATCCAAAGTTGATTGTAAGCAAGGGAGAGATTCTTGGCAGGACATGACAGTGTGGAGGAAGTAATATGAGAGAAAATGACACACTAAATATCTTATTTCAAGAGTATTTCCTTTTCCTTTGAAGGTGAAGGCTAATACATTAGACATGGCAGATAATGCATTTGATGATGAATACCAGAAATGTTCTGATAGGATGGAAATCAAGTATATTCCGCAACTGCTCAAGGAAGAGAAAGCAAGCCATCAGCTTTTGGAAGATGTGTGGGAAAATGCAAAAGCCAAATGGGAAGCTCGGAAGACTCAGCTGTTTCTCCCCATGAGTTTTAAGGATAACCATGGAATAGCCTTGACGGCTTTTATTAATGAAGCTCAAGAGCAAACTCCCTTTTACCAGCTGTTCAACGAAGCTGTGAAGGTGGCCGGCCAGTCTCGAAAAGATTACATCTACGGCTTCCAGTTCAAAGCTTTGCATTTTTACCTGACGAAAGCCCTGCAGTTGCTGAGAAGACCTTGCGAGGACAGCTACAAGAATGTGGTGTACAGCACGAGCCAGGCCCCTTCGTTTACCGGTGGAGGGCTAAACCAAGCCAGGTTTGGCCACTTCACCTTGGCATATTCAGCCAAACCTCAGGCTGCAGATGACCAGCACGTTCTGCTAACCATTCGCTCCTGCTTTGGAGTTGCCATTGAAAAATTTTTTGATAAAGAAAGTACAAGTGAAAGAATTGTTTTAATACCCCTGAATGAGGTTTTTCATGTGTCACAGGATGGGGCTGGCAACAACCTTATCCTTCTCAGCACAAACAAGACCTGCAGCCACTACGAGTGTGCGTTTCTCGGAGGTAAATGTCTCTGTTCTGTCTGTGCTTGTCTGAGGGGGAGGGAGTGGGATTCTCAGGTCCAGGGAGAGGTCAGGAAGGAAAGTGAGAGGTGTTTGAAAGAAGAAATGACAGTGGTGGTCTCTAGCCTAGCTCCTTTCATCCCGTTAGTTTCTTTTTCCAAAATATAGTTTTATCAAAGTAATACATTTATGGTTTTATAGAAAGTTAAAAACATAAAATAGTACTATAAGGCAGTCATTCCCATCCAGTGGCAGTTTGCCCCTCAGGATCATTTGGCAATGGCTGGAAACATTTTTAGTTGTCACAGCTATCCCTAGTTGCTACTAGCATCTACTGGGTAGAGGCCAAGGACACTACTAAATGGTGCACAGAACAGCCCCCCACAGCAAAGTACCTGGCCCAGTAACTGGCCCACAAGTGCCTGGCCACAAGTGCCTGTAATATAAGGATTACAATGAGAAATAGCACCCTCTTCCCACCAATTCCATTCCCATTTGCCACTCCTCAGTGGCCTCCTTTTTTTTTTAGCCTTTTTTTTTTTCAGGCACTTATTGTCATGTTTCTAAGTAATAATATTTCTGGATTTTTATCTGCTGACTTCACAGTACAGAGAATGAGTATTTAGCTCTCATATACTATGCATTAATTAGGCATTCTTTATTGCATTGAGCTGTAATAGAAAACCTACCTGAGAACTCTCACTTAATAAGAAGTCTAGGGGTAGGCTGTCCAGAGTTGGTACAGTGGCTCCGCTATGTCATCAGTAACTCAAGCTCTTTCTGTTCTCCCAGCCTGCGCGTGTTGGTTTCTTAATTCATGTTTGCAGTATGACTGTTGTAACTATAGACATCAATCCCTGTTTAAGACAAAAACAAGGGGAAGAGGGATGGCAGCCAAATCTGCCTGTTTAATCAGGAAAGTAAACCTTTTCCCAGAAACTGTTAGTAGATTTCTGATTACATATTATTCACTGGAGCAGCCACATGGTCATTCATAACTACAAGAAAGCTTGGAAAGGATGTAATTAGCATTTCCAACCTCTACAGTGCAGGGAGGCAAGGGAGAAGGGAATTAGAAACAGTTGTTAGGTGAGTAAACTAAAAGCTTCTAATAACTGTCACCCTCCCCCTCCACATCCATGCATTTCCCTCTTCCCATTCTCCCAGTGTGGTAAAGGCGGTACTCTTTAAGAACCTCTTTTACCCCAGGATTATTAATTGTATGATTTTTTTTATTTCTTTAGCTTTTTATATCCCATCTATAATGTACTCCCAAATCCTTAGAAATATAACTCTCCTCTTAATACATTCAGATACTGTCTTTTCTTTTTCTGGATATACTCCTCCTGTATTCCCCCGTCCTCCTGCTGTATGACATGCTCTCTAGACCTGTTGAATATCCTGAAATCTCTCCGCACTACTATTCTGAGACTTTCTTCTGCTTCTCCCGTGAGGAATCCCCTGTGTCTTAAATTTCTTGCTCTTCCTTGAATTACTCCTTTGTTTGGTGGAGTAAGGGTTCTCTGGAAGTTTTTTGAGAGAAGAGACGTTGAGGCAAATTTTCTAAGACTGCGTGTCTGAAAAAACACCTGTCTTTAGGCTTGAATAATAATTTGTGTAGATTTGTATTTCTGTTTCAGAAGTTATTTTCCTAGGAATTTTGGAGATTCCTCCACTGTCTTCTAGTTTCTGGTATTGCTGTTGAAAAGTGTGAAGCCATTCTTATTACTAAAACTTTGAATGAGACCTGTTTTTCCTTTTCTCCCAGGAAGGTTTTAAGATTTTTCTTTATCCTCAACATTCTGAAATTTTATGATGTTGTGCCTTGGTGTATGTGAGTAATGGGTTAACAAAACTCTTTCTACTTCCTCCTATGAAAATGGCCTCCTGTTGATCTTCTTTTAGCACTTTTTCTCTGAAATCTACCAAAGGTGGAATTCCTAATGGTAAACTTAATGCTTCATTACTAATGTGCATCTGATCTGGGAGGATTGCAGATGAACTGTAAATAGTTGGGGGGAAGCCATAGTATTGGGCATTCCTACATGTACTGTGGCCTACCCAGGTGTTCCTTTTGCTGAGTCCTGGCAGTACAGCCCTAGTATACTGGTATAAGAGATATTGTCTTCTGTGACAAATAGACGATGTGGTGTGAGGCTATCAAGTTAGGATGGTTCCTGCACCCATCCGTGTAACCTTGTTTCCTTGTAACTGAGCATCATTCTGGGGCTAAAAGCCCTGGACTGCTGTAAGGACTTGCATTAAAGGGATGACTCTCACACTGTCCTGTTGCTGAGTAGTATACTGTGTTTCTTGCCTTGCATTCTTCTGCAAAGGTGGTGAGATGATGGCCTTTAGGGGTCTTATGAGTGTGATTATCTAGCTGAACCCCAAACCATGGCTGCTGGTCAGGAAGAGTGGGTATTGCAGTGGGGCCTCGGGAGCAGGGTGGACGTTTAGACCTTGACTCAGTGTGGCCAAGGCCCTATGAGATAAAAAAGAATAGGTGTGGAAGTGCTGATGAGACATCACAGCTGTGTGGGAGCTGATCCACTTATGAATTAATGGCAGAAGCTATGTAACCTTTGAGGTGCTTGGGTGCATAAGGTTGCTCTTGCCTGATCCTAAGAGTGTCTCCTTAAAGTTTGCATTCAGCACTTCATTTACCTTACCCTAGTCCTGGTCCTAAATTGCAAGGAAGTGAGAATAACTGTTCACCTTGAGGGGAGATGGCTACAGAGAGTAAACTTGTGTAGAGAGGAAAGGTGCCCATGCCCCTCACCAACAATACATCAGACTTAACCAAAACCCAGGCCAGTTGGAGCCAGCTCATACCAGCTTATGGGAACTGACTGTGGGCATGTATCTCTTCCCAGCTCCTCGTACATCACAGTGGCTTGAAATTGGCCATGGTTGAGAGTTATACCACAGGAACCAGCAAACAGTACACATCAGGACCCCCAACTCCCACCATAGGACTTGTTCAACTTTACCAGCACATTACAGCCAGAAACCCATTTGCATCTGGATTGACAAAATGACACTTCTGATGCATTTAGCCAAATGCCATTTGTGGAGGCTGTGGTTATACACAAACCCTGGCTGCAGTAGCTACTGGCCACATCAGTCACTGGCATCAGGCCGGTTGGCAGACAGAGGCATGCAATGAAGCCCGCAGATTCATGTTTGTGAGTAGAATTGTGGTGAACAAAAAGGGGTGGACATTGGGTTGATTCAGAATGCGGGGGTGGGGGCCATTGGGGGGGGCGGCATGTTGGCGAGGGTGGCTTAGACCTGCATAGACAAGTGCGTTATGAGCCCATTGTGAGGGAGGGGAAAGGGGAATGAGCACACCCTGTGGGCCTGCCCACAAGGTCAGGCAGAGGCTGCACGGCAGGTTAATGTTCAAACCAGCCACTAGGGGAGACTGCTGTGGAGGCTCGCATGTACTATTTGGAGAGCTCTGACAAAGTCAGTCCCCTGCACTTGTGTTGATTTACCGCCAAACTGGTCTAACCAACGTCCTCTGCTGCCATCTAGCGACAACTAAAGGGAACCTAGGGTCAAAAACTGGATCATTAAAGCTGGGTTGTTTGAAATGCTATGAAGGACAACAGCCAGAGCTTTTCAAAGCAAACCAGGGCTTGACCGGTGTGGTTAAGTTGGTTGGAGCATCATCCTATATAAGGAACGGTAGGTTGTGGGTTTGATTCTTGGCCAGGGCACATACCCAGACTGTAGATTTGATCTCTGGTCGGGGTGCATGCAAAAGGCAACAAATTGATTTCTCTCTGTCTCTCTGTCTATCACCCTCCTCGCCCACCCAATGCCTTCCTCTCTCTCCAACACCAATGAAAAAGTGTCCTCAGGTGAGGATTAAATAAATAAAAGCTAGGAGGATACAATTAGAACCTTGTTCTATTGTGACTAATGATAATTTTGGATGAAAAAAGACTCAGCTGTGAAAAAAGAAAATTTTACCCTTTGCAGCAGAATGGATGGACCTGGAGAACATCATGCTACGTTAAGTAAGCCAGTCAGAGAAAGACAAATACCATATGATTTCACTCATATGTAGAGTCTAATGAACGAAGTGAACCAAGAAGCAAAATAGAGAGACTGACAGATGGAGAGCAGGCTGACAGCTAAGAGGGGGTGGTGGAGGTGAGGGGTGGAAGGATTGAGCAAAAAGGAAAAAGGGCTCATGTGTGGTGACTGGGGGAATGAGGTATAAGGGGGATAAATGGCAATGGAAAAAATAAAATAAAAATTTTTTAAAAGTTACACTGCACCTAAATTTAGTACTAACACAGTCCTGTGTTATTGTTTTGCACTTAAAATTTCCAAAATAAAAAAGTGTTGTGGGCCTTACAAAAACTAGTTAGCTAAAAAAAAAATAAAGTAATTCTGCTTGTTAGGGCATGGAGAGAGTTCCAGCGTCCCATTTGATAATGTAATTCCCGGTGGTCAAGGTGTAAACTTAGTATTAATTCAAAACTATGGGAGTGAACTGTGCATAAATGGTAAGGAAACTCTTTATTCCTTCTCATGGGAGAATCACCACAGGTTAATCTGCTATACTGTTTTCCCAGACAAACTGATAAAGGTGCAATGTCAGCTGTACAATAGGCTACACTGCTTATTGTTAAACAAGATGCAGCCAGACCGAGTGAGAGAGAGAGCAAGAAGCAGTGCCAGCATGTCAGTCTTTTGCACCCTAATCACGGCAGTGACATCTCATCCTTTTGGCTGTATTCCATTTGCTAGAAGCAAGTCACTAGGTCCAGTCCACACTGAAGAGGAGAGGATTACCAAGGGTGTGAATACCAGGAGGCAGGATCTTTGGGAGCCACATTAGTGTCTGCTTACCATAATCCTAATCCATTATAGTCTGTTGCCTCCCCTTGGGGATGATCCACATTGGCTGCCCATTTTCCGTAATGATGAGCTCCATTGCAACTTCTGCAGGCAGAGGAGAGCAGCCACAGAACCATGGGGAGCAAAGTCAGCAACCAGTTTCGTATACTGGTATTTTTTATCTGTTTACCGAGGTCGTATGGAATTTATATTCATTTACTGAAGTGAAAGCAGGTGTTACAGGATTGTCCACCCACCCACAGAGGCCAGGGCGAGCACACCCACACAAAAAGGGGAGGAATATATTCTTCCTCCAGTTCCCCTCGCTCTCCAACTGCTAATTCCTTGGTGCTTGGGAGCTCAGTCAAAGCAGAAGTCAGCATGATTATGGGCAACGTGTAGGTAGTTGAAGACAGCCAGACCAGACAGTCCTGTAGAGATCTTCAGTGGGGAGGCTGGTAGAATGTTCATTTGAGGGGCCAGAGCTTCATAATGATTTCCTTGCTGTGGTAGACTATGGAGTCAGGAGCTGTACTGCAGACCATAGCTGCACATACACGATTTACTTTGTCAGTCTCCAGAGGCTTTTCTTCAGACACAGTCGCTTCATATGAGCAGGCATGTGAATCTTTAACATAAAGATTGATTTCATGAGTTGCATTTGCTGCATTTATTTCCATCGAGAGGGACTGCACTGAGTTTTTCTTTAGTAATCCAGTTCTGGTGTCTCAGTGACCTGATCATACTGCTAGGGCAGTAGTGTTGGCACACGAGAGTACAGAAACATAGATGTGCATGCTCCTTGCCAGGATCATCCTTTTGAAGTTCAGCTCTTCATATATAGCATCCGAGGCAACGAACATGTTATCATCATTACAGTGAATGGATGCAGCCTTCTATTGGGTTTGCCCAACCTGGGGGCAGGCTGTTTTGCTGGAGAACTGGATTTCTGTTCAGGTGTGAAGTCTTGTAGGGAAGGCCCCCACTGAGCCAGTAGTTTGGGTAAAATAGTAGGTAAGGCTTTTGTAATGTCTAATACAGAGGTTTTTAGACTCTCTCAGTTTATGGTCCTTTCCTTAGTGTTATCGTAATTATTTTCACTGTTCCTAGGCTTAAAGAAATAGCCCCAAATCCTACTTATTAGGTCAAGTCAAACAACCGGGTAAGCATTTATTTCCTAACACCTTAGTAGCTACTTGAAAAAATAATACACAGAAACTTTTTAAAAAGTACTATGTATATGCCTATTGGACAGTGCACAGCTTCTTAAACTTTGGAGTTAAATTAGACACCACCTTATTTCCCGATCCACGTTGATTTTCACATATATTTGGTTTTTATCACAATTGCTGAAAACTCGGCTTTGCCACCGTATGATATCACCAAACAGAACATAACATAGCTTTGCAACTGCATTCTACCTTGAGCTAGCAGTTCAGGCGGTGTCTGACAGATATCAACTATGGCTGTTGTTTATCTTGAAACTTTAAGTGTCCCTTGGTACCCCTGTGAATTTGCTGTAGGATTCAGCACACCTTTGCTAACACTGGGAAACTGCAGGTCTGAGGGATGGGCAGCTGCCTGTGTGTGAAAGGGGCTCAGGCCTTTAGGAGCCAGGTTTGCCCCTTAACTGGAGGTGAAATTTTTGTGTGACAGTGAACCTTTTGGGAGTTTTTCCTCTCTTATGGGGCTCTAGTTCAGAGAGAATCCATTGTGTGTTAGGACATTGGGTTGGAGAGTTATGCCTTTTATTTAGTGAGAAATTCTGTCTCAGATAGGCCCATAACAGGCTGGCAGTAGCAGCTCTACAAAGGGAGGAAGTCCTTGTGTCCAAAAGCCCAGTGGCCGACAAACGCTGCTGCAGTCTTGTTACCAGAGATTCCAGTCAGCCATGAGTTAGGCCACAGATGTCTGTGATGTCTTGGGATCTGAAGGAAATAGGGAACCCCTGGGAGGGCTTAACTTACCATTGTCTGGAGTGCTCTTCAGGCCTCTTACTATAGCGTTCCCTGGTAAAATGACAACTCACGTGTTCCAGTGTGTTTTATGGAAATAGGCACTATTCCTGATCCTGTGGGTTCTTTCCCTGGCCTCTGCTAGTCTCCTCACACATATGAGCTGATCAGTACTTTGCTGAATACTCAAGGGAAATCCTTTTGTTAACGGGAGAAACCTGGTTCTTCTTGCTGATGCATGTAAAGAATTACAGATCAGCAAATCTCTCAGCATGCAGTCCGGATTTATTAGTGATCCGTTCCCATGGAAGAGAACAGGCCTAGCTAAGGGGATGGAGGAGAGGCAGTGTAAAAGGTTCAGGTTCAGGGCAGCAAAAGTAAGGGTGGCTGAAGGCTGGGGTGGCTAGAGAACCAAGAGCAGCAAGAGCGGGAGTCCTTTGTTCTGAGGACTTACATAGTGGGCAGGATGAGGGTGAAGAAGTTATATTTTGATTGACAGGTAAAGGTGGTACCAGCTTTCCCAGGGGGATGTGACTACCCAAACTTAGGTAGGTGTGGGAGTCTGTTAGCCCAAGTCCTTATCTTGTCCTAAACTCCATTTTTTTTCATCTTATAAAACAGATATGTGACAGGAGGCAGTTCATTAAAGTTGGGGCAGTTTCCCAAAGTTATTTATGGGCTCTTTCTTTAAGCATTAGGGACTCCCTCATAAAATAGATAGTGACCAGAGGTAGGCAATGAACCTAAGTTGGTTTATGGGCTTCTTCTTTGGGCATTGGGGACCCTCTCCCACCTTCCAGGCCTTGGGATGAAAGCACAGTTTCAAGGCTTTCTTTTCCAGATAGTGGAGACGATTCCCAGAGTTCAAGGACTTCTCCCATGCTAACATTGCATTTCATGTGATGTTGGAACACCTGGCAATTTTATCAGACCCGGCTCAGGACTGCTGAGTTAGTGGGTGAGATGTCTCCTCCTCCTCCCAGCCTTGGTTTGCTATTCATTCTACCTAAATGCTAAATCCTGGCAACCGGGATGCCAGGTGCTGGCCAGCAACGGCAGTGCAGTCTCTGAGCTTGACCTCTGCTGTCTCCTGCCGCACTTTGATGATCTCAGGGCTCTCTGCCTGTGTGCTTCCCTTCTCTTCAGTACTGTGTAATAACCAAGTTTTTCTTTGCATTTTTTTGCATTTTCTTTGTGGAAAAAATTTAAACACTTAATAGTTATAATAGGACTTGATTTCTCTATTTATTCTTGAATTATTTTTGATATATTTTCTAGAAATTTGTCCATTTGTCTTGTATTTCAAATTTATTCACAGTATCTCATGTTTTTTTCACACCTGTTGAGTCTGTGGTTATATTCTCTTTATTATTCCTTATAAAAATATTTGTGCCTTTTCATGTTTACTTCTGGATCAATCTCTTATCCATTTTTAACCCTGTTAGTTCTTTAGAAACCTGGAATAGTTTGATTACTTTCCTGTGGTGAAAACCCTAGTGAAAAATTAAGCCCGGAGTCAAACAGGAGGACATGCGCCGCGCTGGAGGGCGGAACTGTGTTGAACGTTAAAAGGCGCCTCTGCAGGTGTCAGCCAGGCCCACGTGGCGGTCGTTCCACGGGATGTGTGAACCCAGCCACCATGCTGTATGCCTCAAACTTTTAAAAAATCAGTTATCAGAAATTTCAACAAAATACATAAGCATTAAAAAAGCTACCCATCCTTTACTACTGAGGAGGCTGTCAAAAATTTTGTTCATAAAAATCACTTGGGAGTGCTTGTTTAAAGTGCAAATTACAAGGTTTCACCCCCAGGAGTTCTATGTCAGTAGTCCTGGCTAGAGTCCTGGCGTTTTCCATTTTAATAAGCATCCAGGTCATTCTGAAATACGTGATTGAAAGACTACACTTTGAGAAAAATGTTCTAATTTGTGTTACAGACCAAAGATAAAGGCTTTTTAAATTCCCCAGTGTCTAGTCCACAGGTTGAATCTGTTACATCCTTGGCTTTCTCATTCCCACCTCCCCTCACCGTCCCCTTCCCCTCAACCAAGCCCTCTGGGTAAGGCTTGCACCTGCCCCTCATCTTCTGCCAGGGCAACATTTTGTAATTGTCTCTAGAACTGTTTGTTAAATGTGAGGTCTAGCCAAACACCTGAGGTTAGCCTCAGGGCACCACCAGACTCTCACAGATCTGTACCAGTTCCTGGACCTGTAGAAACTGGACCAAGTCACCTGGATTCTTGGTTCATACTCCACAGGCCCCTCAGGAATGCTCCCATCTTTGATGGATAAGTTTATCTGCAGGTAACTGAACTTGATTAGATCAGTGAGTTATCCAGCCATGGAGAAGAGATCGTAGGGCACCTAGATCTTCTAGAGCATTCTGGGAAGCCCTCCATGGCTTAAGGTGGCACCAGACCTAAATACCCTCTCACCGACCTTCTTGCCTTAACTGCAGTTGGGCAGGCTAGCAGATTCCCCTCTATGTCAAGTCTCAGGGCAATCGCTGCTGCACTGATGATTTTTTTCACCAGCAAGAAGGCCCTAGGACCCCATAAAAGTATGCTATTAGATGCTATGTTCCTGTTCCCCAAAAACTGTGGGGTCTCCTTACACACAGGTCAGTTTCTCCATATGCATGTGAAGGATCTTTGTTCCAATATTCAAGGATCTTGAAGCTCTGTTAGAGATTCTTTTTCTCCAGTGGATAGGAATTGTCACAGTAAAGGAATAGGTTTGCTGTTGATGACATTTAGTGTCTGAAGAGAGGATTGTTGGATAGGTAAATCTTCTAACTTTAGCTTTGGATGGGCCTCTGGAGGTCATTTGAAGCAATCCACCACTAAAAGATACAGATAAGGAAGCTGAATTCTAGAAATGTTAGATGTATTATCAAAGATGGGACTGCTGTTTGATGACTGTAATATGGATACAAACATGTAGTTCTTCTGCCATTTGCATCCCACTAAGTTATGGGCCTGATAGACTAGAAGCTGATAGATCAATTACTAATAGCCACAGACAGGCCTGAAATCTTTCCTAGGGTAGATTGTATCTAACTAATAAAGCTTTATCTTTATGTTTCAGGACTAAAAACTGCAAACTGTGTTGAGAACATGGGTAAGATATGCTTTAAATTTAGAATTCTCTGTAATGGGAATTCTTCCATGTGATTTCTCACAGGTTGGGGTGGCAGCCATCCAACTGTACTGTCGTACTGTCCGCCACCATTTTCTCCAGGCAGGGTTGTGCCTCTGCTGCCCCTTCTCAGGGGGAGGGCCCAGGAGCATCCGCTGTTGCACGCCTCCCCCATGCTCACCCCAGCCCTGCTGGTTCTCTCAGACACTGCATTTATCTTGGGCATGTAGTACCATTCCACTCTCCCTAGCCCATCCTTACAGGAGTGTCAGTACTCCTGAGTGTCCCCACATGATTCCCGTACACAGAGCCAGACTCATACCCCTGTGTTTGACGTTTCAGGAGATACCATGTGGGAAACTAATGAAGGACTAAAGCGAATGTGCCTCAAGGGCAGCCTGGAGGGACAGAATGGTAATACAGTCCATCTCCACTTCCGTAGGAAGCACAGGGGGATGTGACAGAGATCATCTTCCTTAGAGGATTCATGAGAAAGCTTTGGGTAGATAAGCAGGAATTCTAAGAGTATTCAAGAATAGCATTACTTGTAGGCCCAACAGATTTGGACCAAAGTTGTCAGGAAATACCTTGGGCTGATGAATGCTTTGGGTGGATTTTTTAAAGAATTCCTTATTTAAAAGTTTGAAAATAAGCGTCCATTTTTAGCTGTCTTCCTGGCTAGTGTTCTGTGAATTCTTCATGTAATTAAAATGAATCCATATCCATTCGTTTTTGAGATTGAAATTTTTGTATCTCTCATCTCACCATATTTCATGTGTATCTTAAACGTAAGCCAACTCGAGTTTTTGTCATTAATGAATGTTTAAAAATAGACTCAACCTGATATTCACGTCTGAGCATAGTACTACATAATGAAAACATTTTTGTATTTCAGACTATTTCCAACCCATCCATGTCTCCAGCCCTGGTAAGTATGCTCTCATATTTAAAAGTAATCCTTATATGGATGTTTAGTAGTTTTTTCTTATTTAACAAGTTCATTTCTTAGCTGAAGAAAAAGAGGATCTTGCAGATATGAAGGAATAACTTGGCAGATATGAGGCAGGGAGAAGATAGAATCTATTCTGGGGAAATTTGCTTCTTTATAAATGAGAGGGTTAGCACTCTGGAGAGCTGAACAAGGTGGAAACATTCTAGGGAATAAGGTTGGTGGGACCTGAAAAGCTAGTCTCTCTTGAGAGGTCTGAGGGCTCTACATCCAGTCATCGAGATGAACCTGTGTGACACCATTCAGATGAAAGTAGAAGTTAGTCATTTGCATTAGTCACTTGCACCTCTCAAATATGCTAAAGTTTGGTATCATTCAACTAGAATACCTGGGTGATTAGATGCCCTGCCCCCTGCCTGCTTCCAATTATGGTGATATGGCCGAAATCACTTCTGTGCATTTCAGTTCCTCATTACGTATTTGGCCCATGTCGCTACAGCAAGATTTACTTTGTTAAAGACAGAGGTATTTGGCCTTTCCCTAAGTATGTAATTTACTTGATGTTTGAAAGATAATTTCCTGTCCTTATGTGAAGCATTTCATACTGCGGGGGACTTGCTTGGCAACACTTCTTATTGGCTCATTGCAGGCAGAAGTTTTACTGGTTACTTCCCAGGGATCTCAGCTAACTCTTTAAGACAGACATTTTTCTAGCTCACTGAGATCCCCCAAACTTGTTATGTGGGATGGTTTTTCTTGAGCTGCCCAAGGAAGTTTCCAGCCTAATTAGCCAAGGTGCATTTAGACTCTGGCCGACATTTAAATTTAGTGGCATGACTTTACTGGATGTACCAAGTGGTTCTTTATGGTCCTATTACCTGAAAAGAGTTTTGCTGTAACTATAGTAACTTCCCATGATTTTATTCTATTGTTAAAATGGAAAGTTTCTTTTTGTAACTTAGGTGATAAAAACCAGAAGCTTGAAGACCCTGGTAAGACGTTTTCATAAACTCTGGGCCTTATATTTGCAAGACAGTTCCTTTAGGGTGGGACCAGGTGGGCGTGGCATGGTAAGGAACAGTGGGAAGAGGGAAGAACTACTTTAGCTTACTAGTTTGGTATAGCAGAGACCCTCCTGAGTTTTGGATAGACTTCTTTTTTTCTCTCTTTTTTTAAAAATATATTTTCTTGATTATGCTACTACAGTTGTCCCATTACACCCCCTTCATTCCCCTCTTCCCTGCACACCCTTTCCCATCCATATCCCCCCTTTAGTCATGTCCATGTGTCATACTTACAAGTTCTTTAGCTTCTACATTTCCCATACTATCTTGCCCTCCCCCTGTCTATTTGCTACCTACCATCTATGCTACTTATTCTCTGTACCTTTTCCCCCTCTCTCCTCCTCCCACCCCCCTGTTGCTAACTCTCCATGTGATCTCCATTTCTGTGGTTCTGTTCCTGTTCTAGGTGTTTGCTTAGTATGTTTTTGTTGGATAGACTTCTTTATAAAGATGACACAGCAGCTGTCTCTGTGTTTATTATCTAGCAATCTTCAGGTCACCCCGGAGGGAAGTTGAGGAACTAGTTGTAGAGAATATAGTACTTTCTGCTCTACACTAGCAGTTATGTGGATGGAGAAAGGTGTGGCTAATTATTCCACACAATGTTGTGACCTCGGGTGTTGGGCAGGGGCATTAAATATCAGCATGATTTCTTCTAAATTAAAAATTAGGATTTTTTATATTTATTTCTGCTTCCAGCCATCTAACAGATGCTGTTAGCTATACCCATTTGATTATTTAGTATATTCCCAAGTTTTTGTCTTTTTTTTAAATAATGTTATTCAGATGTCCTCAAGGGTGCTAGGATAGGAACACTCCCTTAAATTACCATGAGATTATAAACTGGAACCTTTCTGGAAGACATTTTGCTAATATGTATTACTAGCTTTTAAAATTGTTCATACCTTTTAACCTAGTTATAACACTTTTAGATATTTGTCCTAAGGAAGTAATGGTAAAGATTTGTGTATAAAATGTGTACAAAAAATATCTACATAGTGCTGTGGTAGCCAAAATTTATAAATAACCTTAGTGTTCAACAGGTGGGTATTAAATAAAATTATTCCATAGTATGAAACAATACACTTAAAAATCATTTTTGAAAAATATTTAAGCATATGAGAAAGTACTTATGAGGTCTGTCTAGAAGAGATCTAGCCATGTAATATTTAAAAAAAGACATTTCTTGAAGAAGATACAAGATACAAGAAACATTGTACATAAGACAATGATGCTTCAGTCCCCTTCAAGCAGGCACCTTGGAACCTCACACAGTTCTCCCAGTCACCATCAGCTGCCCTGTCATATTTTCCTGAATTTCACTGATGGTCTGAAATCTCTTCCCTTATAAAGGTGATTTTAGGAAAAGCCAGAAGTCTCAGGGTGCCAAATCTGGGCTGTTGGAAGGCTGAGTTACCTGGGTGATTCGATGTTTTGCCAAAATACTGCATGAGATGTAATACACGAAAGGGTGTGTTTTTGTGATGAGGCTGCCAATCACTAGTTGCCCATAGCCTTCTGAACTCATCCTAATAGCTTCTGCAGAGAAATGTTCAAACTTAATGCAAAATTTGATGTAGATTCATTGCTCTACTTGCTCAGTCATTTTGAATGCAACAGCCACACAGTACACATGCTCACTCAATGGCATCTACTGTCCCCACTGACTAGTACAGTGAAGTCGTCATTGTTCACACATGTGCATTCCAGTCCACTCTCCTTGGGTGCCAGGTTACATCACTGTTGTGCAAACCATTCTCGTTATATTAACAATGGTTGGACTTTTTCCGGACAGACCTCGTATATACAGTGGCAAATAAAATAGGATAAAAAATAACATGTAGAATATAATACCAATTTTATTTCAAAATGTAAAAAGTCCAAACTTCTAGATAGAAGAGAAATAAGTACTGGGGATTTGATGTACAACATGGCGACTGTAGTTAACACTGCTGTATGATGTATTTGAAAGTCCCTAAGAGTAGATCCTAAGTTCTCATCACAAGGAGAAAAGAGTTTTCTTTCCCTTCCTTTTTTTTTTGTATTGATATGAGATGACAGATTTTAAATAAACTTATTGTGGTAATCATTGAAAAATCTATGTAAGTTAAGTCATTATGCTGTACACCTTAAACCTAATCTGATGCTACATGTCAATTACATCTCAGTAACACTGGAAAATATGCTAAAAATGTATATGCACATGTATTATACATAATAAAGAGATTGGTAGGAAATATAGCAAAATTGTTAAGAAAGAGTAACTGAGATTTGGGATTAAGAGTAATTTTTAATAATTTCCTGTGTTTTTCCAAATTATCTGTAATTATAATATATAACTTATATAATCAAGACATTTTATTTAAAAAAATACATCATGACAGATGACAAATGTAGATCAGAGTCCTTGGACTGAATATTTAAAAAAAATCAATGGAGCTGTTCTGCTTAACCTAGGAGAGATCCTGAGCCACTGGCCAGTGTTCTCACCAGAAATCAGGCAGGCTCCAATGGCTTAGATCTCTCTCTCACTCTGTCCACTGTGGTCTCTCAAAGCTTTTAGAGTTTTCCACTGTATAAATAGCCACATAAATGTGAGGTTAAATTAATTTTCAAGCCAAGTGCATTTTTCACTAAGTAATTCCTGTTCTCACCTTTAGGAGTGAAAAGCCAGGAGTCCCCAGTCTTACCTGGTAAGTAATCTTTTTACTTACTCCTTGAGACTAGCTGCACGGTTGGGAGACATGAGGACTCCTTGGACTAAGGGCATTGGTGGATGTGGAGAGTTTGAGGAATGGGTTAAGCCAGAACAGACGGATTTCATTTTTGAGTGCTTATTATGTTTCATGCAGTATACTAAGCACTTCTAGGATGTATCTCCTTTAATCATCACTTCCTACCAACCTGCAAGGTATTTCTTCTGCATAAATAAGGAAGTGAAAGTCAGAGGGATTAAGACGACTGTGTAATCATAGAGCTAATTACTATAATGATAATAGAACCAAACCAAGCAGAGTCTCATACCCAGTACAATTTCATTTAAAAGCCAGTGAGTGAACTTGGTGATATACTGGCCAGATCATGGAAGTTCTTGAAGTCCAGGCTAAGGAGTTTGGGTTTGTCCAGCTAGAGAATGAAGAGCCATCAAAAAGTGTTTTTGTTGTTACTGCTTTTTAATTTTTTTTCTTTCATTGACTCCAGAGAAAGGGGAAGGGAGGGAGAAAGAGAGGGAAAGAAACATTGATTTGAGAGAGAAACCTAATTGATCAATCAGTTGCCTCTTGTACACACCTTGACTGGGGACCTAACCAGCAACCAAAGCATGTGACCTGACTGGTAATTGAATTCTCAACCTCTTGGTTTGCAGTACGATGCCCAACCAACTGAGCCACACTGGCCAGGCTGTTGTTACTCTTTTCTTTTCCCTTTTTTTAAGGGTTGGTGATGGGGGAGGTACAGACAAATGGAAGCATTAACAATGCAAGATCATTAATACTAACCAATAGTCATTTCTGTCTTTAGGTATGAAGAGCCATGAGCCCATCCAAATACCTGGTAAGACAGATTTCTGTTCACTCTTTGGGCCCAAGTATGAGGTGAGAAGGATTCCCCTTGGCATTAAAAACAGTATTGTCATGAGATAATTGTTGTTTATTAATATTTCCTCTACAACTGCCTGCCCATCATTCACAAAGATTTAGCTGGGGAAGAGAGTAGAGAAAGTGCCTTTACTCCTGTTTCTGGAGCAGGGAAGTTAGCTGTTGGGGGGCATTGCTGGAGGGCCAGGCTGCTGGGACCTGACTGCATGCAGTCTAGCACCTTTCAGGCTCTATAGCTAAAGGTACTCCAGTAGAAACTTCAGCTTCATGCAAAAGCTGTCTGTTAGCTTTTGGCTAACATCACAGTATCTAGGATCTCTAGGTAACAAAACGTAATATTCTTCTGGCATAGAGATACACTTAGTGAGGTTCCGTGGTAGAAGCCTCCTCTACATTTGCAGTGGCTTTGCACTGTGAGGGTTCATGTAGCCAGAATTTTTAAATAAAAAGCCAGGAACTACAATTAGTGGAAACTTTGGCACTTGTATCACTTGATCTCATCAAACAGGAGTTTGGAAATTGTATTCGCTGGAGCAAACTGCTAGTCATTGAAAACGTCTTTCTCATTTAGGAATGAAAATTCCAGAACCTTTCCCATTACCTGGTAAGCAGTGGTAGGCATGCCAGAGAGGAAGGTGCCAGTTTGGGGACAGGGCATGGACATACCTCTCAGCATCAGACATGCAGGGGAGCCCAGGTACTTCGCAAAAGATCACATAAGTGAGTGAGGACCCAAGTCTCTTAGCTTGCATCCAAGTGCCCATTCCTTAGGAGTTGCAGTTCCTCAGGTGTATTTTTTCAGTAGATTTACTGTGGCAGATTTAACCTACCTTTACAACAGAGCTATTCCATGGTTATTTAACAAGTATGAGGCTGTCTCTGAGGGCAAGGCCATCAGGGGCCTTGAGCGTCTGTGGCCAAAGAAAAGGAACAGTGACTCCTGTCAAGTTCCTCAGAACTTAGGCTCACAGTGGAGGGAAGAATAAAAGCTCTCAAACTTAATTTTTCTTGAGACAAGAGGTAAATAAACTAAGTGGGCACAACACAGCCAGAGAGCTGTGGACAGTAATAACACTTCTCTATGACTCAGAGTCGTCATCTTTCAAACGTGGCTAACGCTTGTCATGTCTGGCTCTGGGGACGTCAGTAAGGACTGTAAAAACACAAACTCTCAGGGTACAAGCCGCTATCCAGCACTTAAACTTTTTCTCCTGAGTTCATATAGTGTTTGAAAATAATTTTTGGTAGGTTTTATTATTTAGGCATGATTATATGTTGAAAAAATAGATTTTTGGCATTCACTAAACTGCGTCCGTCCACATAGTGCTCTGCCTTTCCTAACACTGCTGTCTGTGGACACTTCCTGCTGTGTACAGAAGCAGCACATTCACAGTTAATTACCCAAAGCACAAACAGAGGCCCTGAGAGAGCGTCCAGCTGCTCGTTACCCTGTCGGACTAATGTGGCCACAATTCAAAAGTGAATCTCTAATGACACTGATGAAGCACCTTGTGTGTGTACACACATCCTTAGCTCACTGGACCCGAGGAGCACAGTACTCTCAGAGGCACAGCTTCCAAGCAGGTGTGGGGATGGACATGAACTGTGTAGACAGAGACCCAGCTTCATGAAGTCTCTCCTCTGTCATTTCCTTTTGGGTAACTTTGTGGTGTTTGTTTGCTTATTTAAATCACTTTTTATTTTTCAATCATAGTTAATATACAATGTTATATTACACCCCAATGTTTAGATATAACTTACAAGGTGATCATCCCCATAAATCTCATACCCACCTGGCACCATCCAGTTATTAAAATATTATTGACTATAAATTCCCTATGCTGTACTTTACAACCCTATGGCTATTTTGTAACAACCAATTTGTACTTTTTTCCCCAATTTTATTTATTTTATTTTTAGAGAGAGGGGAAGGGAGAGAAAAAGAGGGAGAGAAACATCAATGTGTGGTTGCCTCTCACACACCCCCTACTGGGAACCTGCCCCACAAGCCAGGCATATGCTCTGACTGGGAATTGAACCAGTGACTCTTTGGTTCGTAGGCCAGTGCTCAATCCACTGAGCCATGCTAGCCAGGGCCACTTTGTGCTTCTTAACCCCTTTACCTTTTTCGCCTAGCTTCCCCAAACCCACCTCCCAATTCTGGCAACTGTCAAAATGTTCTCTGTATCTATGAGTCTGTTTCTGTTCTGCTTGTTTGTTTATTTTGATTTTTAGGTTCAGTTTTTGATAGAAATGTATTTATTGCCATCTTATTGTTCATACTTTTTTAATCTTTTTTCTTCTTCTTAAAGACCCTTGCATAGTTTATATAACACTGGTTTACTGGTGATGAACTCCGTTATCTTTTCTTATCTGGGCAGATCTTTATATGTCCTTCCATTCTAAATGATGGCTTTGCTGGGTAAAGTAATCTTGGTTGTATGTCCTTGCTTTTCATCACTTTGAATACTTCTTGCCACACTTTTCTGGCCTGTAAAATTTCTGTTGATATATCAGCTGACAGTCTTATGGGGGCTCCCTTATAGGTAACTATGTTTTCCTTGCTGCTTTCATTATTCTCTCTTTGTCTTTAACCTTTGGCATTTTAATTAGGATAGTGTCTTAGTAAGGGTCTCTTTGGGTTCATCTCATTTGGGACTCTGTGCTTCTCAGACTTATATGTGTATTTCCTTCACCAAGGTAAGAAAGTTTTCTGTCATTATTTTTTCAAATAGGTTTTCAATTTCTTGTTCTCTCTCTTCTCCTTCTGACCCCACCATGATGTGAATGTTGGTACACTTAAGTTGTTCCAGAGGCTCCTTACACTGTCCTCATTTTGGGGGATTCTTTTTTTTTTTTCTTTTTGCTGTTCTAATTGGGTGCTTTTTGCTTCCTTAAATTCCAAATAGCTGATTCGATTCTTGTCATCACCTACTCTACTGTTGATTCCCTGTAATTATTCTTCATTTCAGTTAGTGTATCTTTTATTTCCAACTGGTCCTTTTTTACTGTTTCTATGTTCTTTTTCATGTTGTTGAAGTTCTAAGTTCCTTGAGCATCCTTATTACCATTGTTTTGAACTCTGTATCTGGTAGTATGTTTGCCTACATTTTGTTTTTCTGGAGGTTTCTCCTCTTTCATTTGGGACCTGTTTCTTTGTCTTAGCATTTTGACTGCTTCTCTATGCTTCTTTCTATGTATTAGGTAGAGCTGCTATGTTTCCCAGACTTAGTAGAGTAGGCCTGTTTAGTAGGTATCCCATAGGGCCTGTGGTACAGCCTCCCCAGTGTCCCAAGCTGGGTGCTGTAGGTGTGCCACTGTCCTGTTGTAGTTGAGCCTTGATTGCTGTTGGGAGGGATTGACCTGCAGGCCAATCCAGCTCCAAGGACAGGCTGTAACTACAGTGGAGGAGCTGCTGTGCAGGAGTCAACCCTACAGATTAGGACTTAGTTCAGTGGGGCTCTGGTGTTTACCAAGTCCACCACTTGAGTGTGTCACTCATGGAGGTAGTAGGGTTGTAATCTGGCATGGTCTGGAGCTGTCCATTGGGTGCACTGGTTCTGGGGCCTCCCAAAAGTTGCAAGGTCAGCCACCACCTGTGCCCTGGCCTGGGCTACGCAACATGAGCTACCAAGTGATCTGTAGATGGCTGCTAATTGTGCTGCGCTTGGAGGTGCCAGGGGAGGCCATGCTGTGAACCAAGGTCAGCTGCTGCTACTGCTGGGCCTGGGGCTACTTAGAAAGAGGTAAGGGGTATGGAGAGGCAGCTGCTGCTTGTTTGAGAGGTTTTAGAAAAGCTCAAAGCATGAGACAAGAGAGGCCAGTTGTATGGAAAAGCCAGTGAAAATGGCTTGGGTGGGGTGGGGTGGGGTAGGGTCTCAGGAAATCACCAGGGTAGGGTGGACAGTGATAGCCAGGTTGATGGAGACTTAGATATGGTGCCTGCCTATTGGCTCTGTAGGGTAGATGGTCTCAGAAGAGGAACAATGGCGTCTACCAGCACTACTCTCTTACAGAAAGCTCCCTCCCCAGCTTTTACCTTGATGCCAGACAATTCAGGTCCTTCCCCTATGTCCCTGGTTCCTTTCAAACTGCTGCTCCAGCAGTGAGGCTCAGAGGGAGTGAGTCAGAGTAAGTACCTTAAAGGGCATGGGCCCTTTAAGAGGAACACCTGAGACTCCAGAAGCCCTCCTTCTCACTCAGCCATAATTCTGCTGGTTTTTACAGATTGACCTTACGGTGACCTCTCTTCCTGGCTCTGAAACCCTGGCCTGGGAGGCCAGGAGTAAGGTTGGGATCCTTTGCTCCTTATGGAGGGACATGAGCAGCCAAGATATCCCTCCCGATTTTAAACTGCCACACGCGGGTGTGGTACCAGCCCATTCCATGTCTCTGCCCTTTCTACCAGTCTTGATGTGCCTTCTTTAAATCTCTAGTTGTGGGACTTCTAGGCAGCTAGATTTCAGGTGGTTATGAATGATGGTTATTCTGTAGTTTAGCTGCAATTCTGATGTGGTTGTGGGAGAATTTTGAGTACCACATTTAACCTATGCCACCACCTTGACCAGAAATCTCTTCTGGGTAACTTTTTATAAGTTATTTCACTTTTCTGCACCTCTTCTCCGACATCTGTACAATGACAAAAACTTCTGTCTCTCAGGAATGTTAAAGTCCTAATGAGATAAAGTTCTGACAAATGAAGAATAGTTTAAAATAGTAGTAAGTGGTAGCTGTCTTTATTATCATCTGAAAATCTTTTCTCATTTAGGAATAAAAGTGGTACAACTGGATGAAAAACCTGGTGATAAATTTTTTATCTGGGGTGGAGGCATGGGGTTCTGAGTCCTTTACCGTAACCAGTCAGCTCAGTCTTAAGGAGTCTGGGGAGGACACCTGGGCTGCAAAGTTTTTGACATCCCAGTCTGCAAGCCGGCAGGGGGGAATGTTGAGAGCTTTCCATGTGAGCTGCTATCATGGCTGTCTGGGCCAAGCAGAGGAAAAGATGCTTGGCCTAAACTGGAACAGTTGGCTTCCAGCTGCGCCTATTTCAGAACAGGGCAGGAGGCTTCCCAGGCTGAGCTGGCTACTGTGAGGGAATCTGCAGTCACAGAAATAGCATCATCAAAGAGGCGCATATGAGAACTGCACAGCATGGGACTAGCCATTCCATGCTTCTCACTAGCTGTCCTGGTCCTCCAACAAATAGGTTTTGTGAGGACTATTTTGTATTGTGCCCTCTCCTGGAAAGTTGTGTGTAGTGCATGCTCTTTTTCTTTTCTTTTTTTTTTTTTTTCCCTCAAAACCATTAACTAAATCTCATTTAATACAAGATAAATAACTGCTTTTTGCCATTTTGGCAATGAGGACACGGAACATGGGAAGGTTAAGGAACCTGTAAAAGGCTAGAAAGAGACAGCCAGGACTCAAATTTTTCAAGTTTTGTTCACTCTTTGTCACATATTTGCTTTTCACCCAGATTTAGTTAAAAAAATATTCATCTATCCTGTGCTACTAGAATTGGCATTTGGCTTCAAAGCCATCAAAATATGGAAATATTAATATTTCAATGCTAGGCACACACTTGGAGGTAGTATAGCATAGTAAATGGGAACAGAGGCCTTGAAATCAGACATTGCTATCACTGATCACCTCTGATCTTTATGTGAGTTTTGAGGAGCATCTGTATAATATGGGTAACTATACCTACCTTCTAGGTCTGTAAGAAATAAAGGTTACAATGTGCATAAAACATTTGCATAATGAGTGGCACATAGTAAGCACTCAATAAATGGTAAGTATTAATATTGTATTTGGGAATCTAAATTCAACATGTAAAAAGAACACTTTTTTGTAATCAAAATTTTAATCATTCTTTTAATGGAAATATACATTATAAAAAAATAAATCCAAAGAGTGAAGCCCTGGCTGGGTAGCTCAGTTGGTTGGAGTGTCATCCAGTACACCAAATGATTGCAAGTTCGATCCCTGGTCAGGGCACATGGTCAGGGCACATACCTACGTTGTGGGCTTGCTCCCTGGTAGGGGCACATACAGGAGCAACTGATTGATGTTTCTCTCTCTGTGTGTTTCCCACCTCCTTTTCTCTCTCTCTCTAAAATCAATAAGCACGTCCTCAGGTGAGGATTAAAGAAAATTAAAAACAAAAATCCAAGGAGTGCAATTGAGTAACAATTAAGCCCTTCCCCCAACCTAACACATACCTCTAAACCTAATACCCTACCCTCAGGCCCACTCCCAGAAATAACCAAGTTTGTTTAATCATCTAATATTTTTCTCTTCTGGATAAATAGGTGTATAATGCAACTAACTCAAAATCTATTTATATTCTAGAATATAAAAGTCAAGAAGATATCAACAGTCTGAGTAAGAAATATCTCATTTTCTTTTAGCTGATAAGTGCTTGATCTGCAATACAGAAAAAGTGAGAAATTTATTTTTTCTTAAAGGAACAAAGGTGCAAGTATTTAAGGCATCCTAACAGAATATAATATCATATCCAAATGTTTGTATGTATGTATATGGTGGGGGCAACTTGACTGTTCCTGCATAGTTTTCTTCTACTGTGTGTAGAGATTATGTTTACAGCAATTATTTTATAAAGCCTGTATACTATCCTGAAATAAGATTCTTAGATAAGGAGACTTCCTGTACCCTTAAAAAAATATAATATCCTAATTATAACAAAATTACATACATTCTAATATATAAATGTCTAGATTATACTAGAAGACAATGTAGTAGACAGTGATTGCATTTACTTATGCAAAGACTTAAGACTGGAAGCTACTCTATGTGAGTATAAGAAAATGGGAGTGAATACAGTGGGTACCAGATAGTACTAATGTTTATTAGAACTATCCAAAAATATTTTGTATATATATAAAACTGATTTAAGTTCTAGATTGCACATTATAAATAGGTTTTTATGTTTATGTCTTGCAGTGCATTTGAAATTTGTGTGGAAGCCGGTTGATTTTTCATGGTGCTAAACTAGTCCTCTACTTCCACCCCACCCATGTCACAAATCACCCTAAAATTTTTTTTTAAGTATATTTTATTGAATATGCTATTAGAGTTGTCCCATTGTTTTCTCCCCTTTATCCTCCTCTGCACAGTACTCTCATTCCCTCTAGCATTCTTCTCCCTCAGTTCATGTCCATGGGTCATACACATAAGTGCTTTGGCTTCTCCATTTCCTATACTATTCTTAACCTCCCTTTATTTTGTATTTACCAATTATGCTTCTTATTCCTTGTACCTTTTCCCTCATTCTCCTCCCTCCTCCTCCCTCCCCCACCTAGCTGATAACCCTCCATGTGATCTACATTTCTGTGATTCTGTTCCTGTTCTAGTTGTTTGCTTACTTTGTTTCTATTTTTTATTTTTAGGTTCAGTTTTGATAGTTGTGAGTTTGTTGTCATTTTACTGTTCAAAGTTTTGATCGTTCTCTTAGATAAGTCCCTTTAACATTTCATGTAATAATGGCTTGGTGATGATGAATTCCTTTAATTTGACCTTGTCTGGGAAGCACGTTGCCCTTCCATTCTAAATGGTAGCTTTGCTGGATAGAGTAATCTTGGATGTAGGTCCTTGCTTTTCATGACTTTGAATACTTCTTTCCAGCCCCTTCTTGTTTGTAAAGTTTGAGAAATCAGCTGGGTCTTATGGGAACACCTTTGTAGGTAACTCCGCTTTTCTCTTGCTGCTTTTAAGATTCTCTCCTTATCTTTAACCTTTGGGATTTTAATTATGATGTGTCTTGGTGTAGTCCTCTTCAGGTCCAACTTCTTTGGGACTCTCTGAGCTTCTAAGACTTGTATATCTATTTCCTTTGTAGATTGGGGAAATCATCTTTCATTATTTTTTCCTAGTAAGTTTCAATTTCTTGATCTTCCTCTTCTCCTACTGGCACCACTATAATTCAGATGCTGAATGTTTAAAGTTGTCCCAGAGGTTCCTAAGCTTCTCATTTTTTAAAAATTCTTGTTTCTTCATTCTGTTCTGGTTGAATGTTTATGCCTTCCTTTTGTTCCAAATCATTTATTTGAGTCCATTTCCTTCCCTTCCTGTTGGTTCCCTGGATATTTTTTATTTCACTTTGCATAGCCTTCACTGCTCCTTTTATTGTGTATATACTCAGTCATTTCTGTGAGCCACCCTAGTTACTAGTGTTTTGAACTCTGCATCTGATAGGTTGGCTATCTCCTCATCACTTAGTTCTTTGTCTAGGGTTTTGATCTTTTTTTTTTTCATTTGGGCCATATTTCTTTGCTTTGGTATACCTCTTACACTGTAAGGGGCAGAGCCTTAGGTATTTGCCATAGCAGGGCAACCCACTTCATTGCATTGTGGCACTGTATGTGAGGTGGGGGTGTGTCAGAGAGGGAAAAATGCCCCTTGCTCAGCACTTGTCCTGCTTTCAGTCACTTCTCCCACTTCCTGCAAGTAACTGGTGCCCTTCCAGTTGATGTCCTGGTGCTGATTCCCCGAGTGGGTGGGCTTATGTATGTTCTAGGACCCCGGGGACCCCTCAAGTGGACTTTCCTGAGAGACCAGCAGTTTCTTCCACCACTGCAACCACTACAGGTTGTTACAGCCAAAGGTTATGAGGTGTCAGAGAGGGAACAATGCCACTTGCTCGGCTCTTACCCACTTTCACTTTCCCCATTTCCCACAAATGATTGGCACCCTTCCAGGTGCTGCCCTGGTGCTGGTTCCTGCATGGGTGGGCTCATGTATGGTCTAGGATCCCATTGGCTGCTCCAATGGACTCTCCTGTGGGGCTGGCAGTTTCTTCTGCTGTCGCAACTCCCACAGGTTACCACCACCAGGGTTTCTGAGACTTCATTTACCTGGCGCTGGAACTCTGGGTTGTGTGGTCTATCTCGCTTCCCACTTATTCCTCCCAGCTTTTATCCGCATGTGATTGTGGGACTACCCAGTCCGCCAGCCGCCACTTCAAAGCATGTTCTCTCTGCTTGGGTGCCAATCTGCCCTCCTCCTGTTGGTCTGAATGAATGTTTCTTCTTTAACTCCTTGGTTGTTGGACTTCCATACAGTTCAATTTTCTGGCAGTTCTAGTTTTTGTTTTTAACTTGGTTATCCTTTTTTTGGTTGTGAAGTATATCTACCTATACCTTCTTCTTGGCTGGAACTTGAAAAAATTAAAACTTTTAATAAGCTTGCAGGGTTTAAGTGTTTAAAAATGCAGCTATATTCACTTGTATAGTTAGCTGTGAGTATACGTATATGAAATATACTTTACTTAAAATAGAACAGATACAAAATTTACCCTAGCTTGCATATATATATGCAAAACATGAAAATAGAAAATTGCCTAGAATTTTAGAGAACTTGAAGAACAAAAAAACTATCTTGTCTACATGGGTATTAAAAAGCCTGTGGAACCCTAGATAAAAACCTGGATCAGCACGCTCTAATGATATACAGGATGGGGCAGAAGTAGGTTTACAGCTGAGTACACAACAGTTTATTCTTATATTGCTAATTACTGTATTGTTTTCCATATGTACAACTGTAAACCCACTTTTGCTCCATCCTGTATATGAAAATATGGCCGAGATCCATAATGAGTGATGTTTATTTGAAAATTGTTCCTGGTTAGAAGTATTTCAGGTAAGTTCTAACTCAACTTGAATGTTTACATAGTCAGTGTATATGGTATATAGGTAGATGAACTTGATGTTAAAAACGACACATGTCAATGACTATGTGTTCTCATTAACAGCTCCAGCTCCAGCTCCAGCTCCGGCTGCAGTTCCAGTTCCTAGTCCCAAAACTCATCCCTCTGCATCCTCTGGCAAAATGCTCCTTCCACTGTTTGAGACATTTGTTATTTTAATCAGTGCTTCTACTATAAATCTCTTCGTTGCTCTGTAGTCTGATACCTTGACAGTTGAAGTACATTACATGGATCCCACAGGAAATAATCAAAAGAACTGTTATATTTTTCACTTGTTGGCTAAAGTCAGTTGATAAAATGAGAACTGTGTATGTTATTTACTTTGAAAATTCAGAAAGTCTATCCAGTTATGTTACAGAATCATTTTCACTTATTTGTGTATTAATCTTACAACTGCAAAAACTCTATTTCTGATTGAATTCAATAAAAGACTTTAAGATTATTAGATGTTTCAGTAGAATACCAACACTAAAATATCCAGTGTTAGTAGTTAACATGAATTGAATTCCTGAATTGCAATTTTTGAGGGGATTTTTTTTTCAATTACAGTTTACAAGTACATTCAATATTATTCTGTATATTAGTTTCCGGTGTACAACTGTACAGCATAATGGTTAAACACTTGTATACTTGTGGCCCCTCTCATGTTTCAAGTACCCCCCTGGTTAATAAATTATTGACTATATTCTCTATGCTGTAATTTACATCCCTGTGACTATTCTGTACCCACCAACTAGTTACTTCTTAATCCTATCACCTTTTCTACCCACTCCCCCAAACCCCCTCTCCTCTGGTAATCAGTAGTCTGTTCTCTGTAGCTATAAGTCTGTTTTTATTTTGTTCTTCAGATTCCACATATAAGTGAAATCACATGGTATATCTTTCTGTCTGACTTATTTCACTTGACATAATACCCTCTAGGTATACCATGCTGTTGCAAGACTGAATTAGAATTTTAAAGTTGTTCTGCTCATCTTTGAAGGAATAGACTTTGACTTCAAATAGTTATCTCACAATATATGAACACTTTATATTTTTGTAAACACAAGTTTATCAAGTGTTTGACACACTTAATTTCTAACTCGAATTTCATGTTAATCCAGGAAGGTAGAGTACACATAGGCTAAGTAAGCAATGGAAAATGAGGTTATACAGTATAGTACCATTTTCCCCAAGGTACTGTAATGTGGTGGTTGAATAGAGACTGATATATCCCTGGGACTTTGGTAAACTGACAGTTGTTTACACTTCGCCAATGTTTTAAAAAGGATTTAAGGTCACTTTCAAAGCTACAGAAAATCTACATCTAAGTATTAGGGGTTCAGGGTGCTTTCATTCCACCATTTACTTCTCTTTATTTGAGTGGACTATCCACAAGAACCATTAGCCAGTTGAAGAGTAAACACAGAACTTCAGTAAGTTGTGCTGGAGAAAACAACTTCATGCTGAGGCTGAAGTGGGTCTTGTCCCTTCCTACTCACCCAAACCTAGAACCTGGTTATCACTTGCTGGGACCACATTTGTAGCAGAGATCAGTCCTGCTAACCAGCTATATGAACAAGACCACAGGTCTGCCTTCCATGTGCAGTAAGTCACCAGTGGGGTCAAAACTTGGGAGGCCAACTGGGCTCTATCGGGGGGGGTATTTATCTTGTGAAATTAGGAACCTAACAATATCAGAACACAAAAAATGAAAGGTTAGAGTGACCACAGTGTGTGTGAGTAGTGATTTATTCCTCAGGGAACGTGGCTCAGTGAATAACAATTCTTACCAGCTAGATCAACAACTCTCCCTACAGTAAGAGGGGGTTCAGAGGGACAGACACCTTCCACTGCTGGCTATGTGGATGAGGAAGATGGAAGTGCTTTTTTCTGGCCCAAGGAGAAAAAGAAATTTATCTCCTAGCACTGTTGGAATTGTAACAATGGGTAGCAAAGTACGGCGAAAAAGGATAGTATATAGAATAGTGTAACAAGTTTGCATGCCATAAACTTGGCAAAAGTGGCTGCAGACTTCTAGCAGCTATTTTGAAAATAAAACAATCAGTTTTAAAGTCCTAGTCTCCTACATAACTGTTACCTCGTCTGCAGCTGGACAGGAATTCCTTCAGAGGGATCTCAGAAGACAGTCTCCAAAGCATCACATATCACATAGAAATGCAACGTTAAAGCATTTCCAAAAGGGACAAACATGATGCAGCCCAGGTATGGAATTTGTAGTAAAAAAAAAAATTGTTTACAATTATCTGTTTGTGAAAGACTATTTCACATTACAATGTCTAATTCAGGTTTTCTAGTGTTTTTAGATACTAATGATATATTAGGAAGTTCTCCATCCTAAATGATATCTGAGGGGTTTTTTTGCCAAGTCAAATAAACAGCACTGATATATTTTCCTTAGGAGGGAAAAATTAGACTTTAAAACCAGGGAAGAATAAAATTCTTGAATTGTGGTAGGCATGAAAGGTCATTCTCCCAGAGCCAAATAAAGCACCAGACAGAATTTTATAAAAGTAATTACACTCAAGAATTTATTTGTTTTCATCTTTTTTTTAGAAATAAAAAGGTTTAAAAAACAAAAGTTGGCAAAATGATAAAATGTAATTTTGTTATATCCTAATTGCTTAGGTGTGTTCTGTAAATTCCAAATAAGTAAAATAATATAAAAATATAATCTCAAATCTTTATAGAATGAAAAGAAAACCACATTAATCATTAAATACTCTTGGATTCTCTTTACTCCTCCCACAGATGAATTCACAAATATAAAAACCGATGTACATTCATATTCTAAAGTACAAATCTCCAACAGCCAAGTAGTAATACATTTTATGTGCAAAGTAGATATTGCATATTAACTTGCTATGGAAAGCAGAATACGGGCTCAGTGGAGAATAATCATTAAACACTGATTATTTTTCAGAAAAATGCTTTTCAAAAATGTACCATAGTACATTGTTGGTAATTATATACTTCTCAAGTAAATAACAGCTTTTAGGTAGAAATCTTTCAAAGGCTAACTTTGAAGAGCTGTGAAGTGACATTTAAAATCTGCAAAACAGTTTGTCAGTTACCTTCTCAAAAACCAAGCCAGGAAAGGATTTTCTTTTTTTCTCCATGTGGTCAGTTTCGTTCTTACAGAAGGTCCCATGTAGCAAGAAGATACATTTCACAAACCTTGAACACAAGTTTATGATCTGTCAACTAAAGACACCACCTCTGATGTGGATGGTTTCATTCAATCCATGCTCTACCAATTTTATATCTTCTAGGTCATCTTTTATGATGCTGATCAAATGGCTGAGGCCTTCCTGTTGTTGTTTCAAATGCTGGAAGGAATTAAAAAATATATATTAATATATTACTCTAATAACTGTAAGCATACCCCCTGGAAAAAGCACTTTTTTCACTATTTTACTAGCAATACAGCTCAGTAGATGCCCTAAATATAGTGGGCATGCACATTTTTCTTTTGCTAATACTTTTTATACAATCTACAGTAAAATACATACTGTAAAAAGCACTAAAATCAAATGAACAATATCTTCAACAGAAATTTTACAGAGGATGCATGTTTTTTAGAGTCTTTTTATCAACAATCTTTGATAACCAAAAGGTCCATTAAAACAATGCAACAAGGTACTCAAATATAGATGACTAGTAAAATAACCATTCTGAAAACGTAAAATTTTCATGTTTTGGAGTACAAAGTATATAGTGATGATAATGGTGATAACTACAATCGCTAACATTTTTGGGGAGAGGGGTACCAAATTACTTAAAGGAACGGTACAAGTAGACATGAGTGGATGATTTGGTACAAGTTATAGAAAAGGTAAAGGTAACTCAACATGCACACACTGCTTTGGTGACCAGGGAGTCCCCCATGGCTGTGGGAAGCCAGCCTAAGGCTTAGGTCTCTCCACTGTCTCCCAAGATGTGCTTGTCAAAAAGACACTCTGCCATGCAAGTTTTGGGGGCTGCCAACCTGCCCAAGTTGGTTACATGGTCACCTAATTCTTTGATGGATTTCACTTGATCATCTAAGAAATGAGTCTCAATGAAGTCTCACAAATAAGGGTCATTTTTTTCAGTGGCCAGTTTGTGCAAGTCCAGTATTGACTGGTTCACGTTTTTTCCAAGTGCGATGCACACTCCATTGCATTCAGCCCACTTTCCCAGTCATCGTGTTCTGGTGTTTTGATATCCTGGAGGAAGATTTGGCCACCTCGCTGGTTCTGCACCTTCATCAGTTTCTCAGCATGTTCCTTCTCCTCATGAGACTGGTGAGAAAATACTTGGCGAAGTTCTTCCAAGCCACATTATCGTGGTCAAAGTAGTAAGACAAGGACAGGTAGATGTAGGAAGTGTACAGCTCCAGATTGATCTGGTGGTTGATGGCGGCCTCTGAGTCCTCGTGGTAGTTCTGGTGCACCTGTGAGGTGGACGTGATCATCATGACAGGCGGCGGAGGACAGGTGGCTTTGAGGCACTGGAGCGTTGTCCGGGACCTTGGGGTGAAGGTGCTGTGAAGAGGTGGCAGAAGGATGGATCTGAGTGGCCGGCTGGGACAGGTTGAGCGCCGGGTTCCGTTCAAGTGCTGCTGAAGCAGGAAACCATGGCATCTCTCAGGGAAGACTGTCCAGTTGCTAACATTGGTAGTGTCGTCCTCAGGTGTTATGGCAATTTGAAGAGCTTCATAGGTTTTAACTCATTTGAAATCCTTTTGAACAGCTTTTCTGGGAACCATTATTATTTCTTCTCTACATATAACCTGAGATGCAGGAAATAACCTGCTCAAGGTCATAAACTAGGTGATTAGTCATGATTCAATCCCAAAACAATATACTGCTTTCCATCATTTTAGGTAGGTGTTCATATTACTCCCCACTTCACTGCAGTCACACACTCTTTAATATACAGGGTCCAGCACAAATAATGCCCCTTTTTTTAATTATAAAAGCACGTAATTCTGTAATACATCATACTCAAGCACACCATATGCTATTTTAGGTGAAATGCTCAAATTAATTACATCCTTATTATTACCCTATCAACCACACTCAAGCAGACGTTACTCCTGCTGAACCCTGTAGTTCTTTATTCCAATATGCTGGAATTTTCTCAGTTAATTTTATTGCAAATATTTACAATGGAATATAATTGATTGTATGTATAGTTTCCAAGAACCTAGGAGCCAAACTATGCAATAAACCTATGCAATTTTAATTACGTAAAATGGAAATATCCATTCTAAAGCACACAATAAAATCAGAACTGTTGATGACATTTAAAAGCATCTAAAATCCTCAGAGTCATGCTACCAGTCTTACCTAATACATTCCATGGGATTTACTACATTTTCTTTAGACTCAGTCAATGGTTGGACAGCTTTCATTAAACCAATCTGTGTTTACACTAAGGAAAATGAGCTAGAGCAGTACTTCTCACTTTGTTCATGCAATGTGAGCCTTAGACAAGTAGCTGGAGGTTCTTGGCCACCCCAACCTTTATCCAGGACCCCCGAGGGCTGAGGGGATCAATAACTCCACATATTTGTAATTTATATGTGGCATGCAGGTTGGGAAAATATGATATAGAGCAGTTACTTCTTAAACTTCAATGTGCATACAAATCACTCCATGACTTGGATAAAATTAAGTCATTCTGACAGGTCATTAAGTCATTAAGGACAGATTCTGTTTTTCTAATGACCTTCCAGGTGCTGCTGCCACCTATTCATTGAGTAACAGGGTCTCGGGAAAACTCTGGTGCCTCTATTACCTCTTCATTCATTTTTGGGGGGGAGAAAGAATTATTTACTTATTTTTTTATTATGGTAAAATATATGCAACAAAAATACCCACTGTAAAAACCATTTTACATATACAATTCAGTAGCATTTACATTTACATATGAAACAATCACTACCATCTACCTCTAGAACGTTTTCCTTTTTTCCAAACTGAAATTCCATACCTATAAAATACTGAACCACCATTCTACTCTCTATGAATTGAACTACTCTAGATACCTCACAGAGGCAGAAACAAAACATATTTATCCTTTTAAACTGGCTATTTCACTTGGCATAATGTCTTCAAGGTTCATCCATGTTATAGTGTGCCAGAATGTCCTTCCTTTTTAAAGGTTGACTATCCCACTGTGACTGACATACCGCACTTTACTGACCTATTTATCCATCTACGGACTCTCAGATTGCTTCCACCTTCTGGCTATAGAGAATGCTGGTGCTATGAATGTGGGTGTGCAAATATTTTGAGTTCCTGGTTTCAGTTCTTTTAGGTATATGCCCAGAAGTTGAATTGCTGCATCATATGGTAATTTCTGGTTTAATTTTTAAAAAGATTTTATTTATTTATTTTTAAACAGAGGGGAAGAGAGGGAGAGAAACATCCATGTGTGGTTCCCTCTCACACACCAGGGAACCTAGCCCGCAACCCAGGCATGTGCTCTTTGGTTCGCAGTCCAGTGGTTAATCACTAAACCACACCAGGCAGGGCACCTTGTTTACTTTTTAAAGGAACTCCTTTCCACACTGACTGCATCCTTTTCATCATTTTACACTTCTTCCAGCAATCCACAAGTGTTCCATTTTCTTCGCATCCTTGTCAGCACTTACTATTTTATGGGACCTTTTTTTTTTTTTATAATAATAGCCACCACAATGGATTGTGAAGTGATGAGTTCACCTTTTTAAAAAGTGCCCCCTAGTGCAAGACCTACCTGCTTAATTTCTCGTAACAGATCTGCATCTATGTAGTATCTTTCTTCAGATTTGACTGCTCCAAAATGATTCTGCATCCTGATTTGGGACATCAGTTCATTAAGTCGGCCCTAAAAATAAGACTGAGTCAAATTACAACTGCTAACAGCAGCCACTTTACAAAGAGAATGTCTTCTTTTAAAAGGACACTTATTACTCTGTTAAAGGTGTCTAATTCACATCATGATTAAGAGTCTACTTTAGAAAGGAAGTTTTTATTAAAGAGAATACTTAAAAAACCAAAGTGTACAAAATTCTTCATTTTGGAGACCAAGTGACATTTTTCTGCAGACCCACCTGAAACAAATTCTACATTTATGGTCGCTTAAGTGCTTACCTTAAACTGAGTAGGTGCATTTAGTTCACACTGAATTGTATCTAGCTGAACTCGCAACTGCTCTTCATCAGCTTGGATGGCATACCCACTCTTCCTCTGAATTTCCTGTTTGATGAGGACCTATACAAAAAATACCCACCAGTAACCATAGAATCATCTCTTTTTAGTTAGGCAAGTAATTTTATAATCAGTTGTTGAAAGAAATCAAATGAATGGTACACTCACAATACATTGTGAATCTTAAGATTTGAATTATGTTTGTCTGTTTTTATTAGGCAAGTTATATTAGTACACTGATATTTTCAGTGGTCATAATTTTTCATGATTAACCAATAATCTAGTCAATTCCCCATTGAGGGGCATATATTTTGTTTCTAGTTTTGACACTACCAACAATGCTGTACTAAACATTTTTGTACATATGAGGTCTGTTTGGAAAAAGTTCAGCCATTGTTAACATAATGAGAACAGTTTGCAAGACATCAATGTAACCTGGCAGCCAAGGAGAGTGGACTGGAATGCACATGTGTGAATGATGATGACTTCACTGTACTAGTCAGTCGGGGTGGTAGACACTGTTGAGTGAGCAGGTGTACTATGCAGCCACTGATTTCAAAATGACTAAGTACAACAATGAATCTGCATCAAATTTTGCATCAAGCTTAAACATTCCTCTGTGGAAACTATTCAGATGATCCAGAAGGCTGCAGCTATGGGCAACTAGTGATTGGCAGCTTCATCATGACAACATGTGCACTAATGCATCGCATCCATGCAGTTTTTTGGCAAAACATCAAATCACTTAGGTGACTCAGCCCCGTTATAGCCCAGATTGAGCGCCCTGCAACTTCTGTTTTTTTCCAAAACTAAAATCACCTTTGAAAGGGAAGAGATTTCAGACCATCAGTAAGATTCAGGAAAATATAATGGGGCAGGTGATGGCGATTGGGAGAACTGTGTGAGGCCCAAGGTGCCTACTTTGAAGGGGACTGAGGTGTTACTGTCCTACATACAATGTTTCTTGTACCTTCTTCAGTAAATGTCTCTATTTTTCATACTATATGGCTGGATACCGTCTGGACAAACCTTGTTCATTTTTATTTACTGATATAGACCCCAAGAATGAGACTGCTGGGTTTAAAAGTATGTGTTTTCACTCTAACAGGAGCTGCTTGATTGCTTTCTCAAAAGGTCCTAAAAATTTAAATTCACAAGCCACATGAGCACACTTTTCCCCACACTCCTGTCACCAATCGGTAGTAGTGGTTAAATTTTTCCCAACCTGATGAGTGTAAAGGGGGCTCATATTTTTCTTTAATCCTCATTTCCACATTATGAACTGCCTTTACAACATTCTTTACCTATATTTCAACTGTTACTTTTGTCAAATTATAGGAGGTCTTTGTATAATGTGACTATTTACACTACAGCTAAAGTCTATGCTGTTTCTAAATTCAAATTTGGTTTTTCGGAAATCTATCACTTACTCACTGACAAATGGCTCCTTTCTGGTACCTTTTGCTATACAAAATTTTATAATTCTCATATAGTAAATTTTGTTTTATCTTTTCTGGCGCTCTGACCAAAAGTCTCTCCAATTCCTAGCCTTATACATTTCTTAGAATTAAGTCTTTAATCCACCTTATTTTTGTGTAATGGTGTGATACAGTGGTCCAATTTTGTTTTTTTCCAGATAAACGGCCAGCTACTCCATTATTTATTAAATAGACCCACCATCCCCTTTGCTGGTGAGACTCAGTGGATTGAGCCTTGGCCTGTGAACCAAAGGGTCACCAGTGTGAAGCCAGTCAGAGCATGTGCCTGGGTTACGGGCCAGATTCTGGCTGGGGGAGTGCAGGAGGCAACCAGTCAATGTTTCTGTTTTCTCCCTCCCCCTGCTTCTAAAAGTAAATAAAATCTTCATCGATCCATCGATCCATCCACCCACCGAACTAAACTCCCACTTGTGTCACATTTTACCTGTCTTCCTACTGGCAGACATTAATTCAGATTTTATACTTTCCTCATGAATTTATTCGTAAGTATTTTAGTTTTTTTTCATCCTAATGAAGAGTAGTTTCCTGTTCCTATTAATGTTATTAAAAAAACATTGATTTTGTATATTTATCTTGTATATGATTCTAGACATTCTATCATTTATTCTAGATATACAATCAGGTCATCAGCAAAGAGATTAATCTGCTCTCTTTTCCAATGTTTATATTAGTTACTTAATTGCCCTTTTCATTATATTAATGGAAACATCCAAGAAAACACTAATAATTCTGGATATCAATGTTTAGTTTCCGAATGTGATTTAATGCTTTGTTTCTTAGAATATTTACTGCTCACTTATGGTATTACATATTTTTCCTTTAATGTTTTGATATGAATTATACAGATAGATTTCCTGTTACGGAACCAATCCTGCATTCCTGAAGCAATCCTAACTTAGCTACAGTATGTGTCTTTAGAATTTGATAAATAGCTGATTCTTTTTGCTTATATTTCATTCAGAACTTCTGCATTTTTCTTGGTCAGATTTATTGAGGTATAACACATACAACAAATTCTCCCTTTTTAAATGTGCAGTTCTGTGAATTTTGACAACACGCTGCCATCACCACAACAAAGATACAGAAGGGAACTCCCATCACCCCAGAAAGTCCCCTTCTGCCCTGACAGCCACCACTCCACCCACACCTCCTGCCCCCAGCAACTGCTGACCTGTTGTCAGTCTCTAGTTGTGCCTTTAGCTCCTATGTCACTGTGAATAGAATCATACCACTGTAGCCTTTACGTCTGGCTTCTTTCACTTAGCATAATTTGCATCTCTAGAGAACTGTTATTAGCTTTTTATTATGGAGCACTAAAAACAGATATAACAAGATGCAGTTGATTTGGAAAACCCTTTGGCAGTTCTTCAAAAAGTTAAAGGGAGGGTTACCGTACAATCAATTCCAATCCTAGGTTTGTGTGCCCACAAGAAATGAAAGCCTATGTCCATGCAAACGCTTGTACACAAGTTGTTAAAAATAACATTTGTAACAGGCACAAAGTGGAAACAACCAAAATGTTCATCAATTGACAAACATACATAAAATGTGGTAAAAAAAAAAAAAAAAATCATACAATGGAATATTACTTATCAATAAAAAAGGAACAAAGCCCTCTTATATATATAACACAGATAAACCTTGAAAACATGCCATGTAAAAGAAACCAATCACAACTTCCCCCCACATATTACATGATTCCATTTACATGAAGTGTCCTGAATAGGCAAATCCAGAGAGACAAGGAACTGGTGTATGTGTGTGTTGGGGGGGCAGGGTTCAGCTTAGAATGGGGACTGACTGCTAATGAGTGTGGGGTTTCTTATTAGGGTGATGAAAATGTTCTAAAATTGTGGTAATGGTTACATAAGACTGCGAATATACTAAAAACCACTGAGCTGTATACTTTAAGTGGATATGTTGTATAGTATGTAAATTATATTTCAATAAAGCTGTTTAAGAAAACGGAGAAGCTGTCTATATTTTTCCTTTTGTCTAGAATAATTAAAATAACTTTGGAATTCCCTCTTCAGGGACTAGACAAAAATCAGCAATGAAAACTATCAGGCCCTGGTGTTTTTTCCCAATTAATAACTTTCTCAATTGCTTCTATGGTGTTTGTCACCTCTCTGTAGATTAATTTTGGTAATTTCAATTTTGCTGAAACTCATCTGTTTCCTCTGCTGTCCAAATTTGTTGCCCTGAACTTAACACAATTATTACTGTTCTGTATATCTGTGATAACGTCTCCTTTCTCGCTAATTTTTTCCCTTCTTCAGATTCACGAGATAATTTTTTCATGTTTTTCATACTCATAAAATGTTTAGCCATTTTAATGGTCTTTTCAAATAAATAGCCTTTCAATTTATTCCTTCTTTTATGATTAAATTTTTTCTTTCACTCACTTTACATATTTATTTCTCACTGCTTTCTTTTGGCTTAAGATGGGTACTAAGTTCCTTACCTTTTGTTTTTGTATTTTAAAAATGAAGACTTTTTAAGGCTATAAATTTTCCTCTGGGTATAGCTTTTGCTGTATCCCAATGATCCTGGTATGTTCCTGTTTTCACAATAGTTCATAATTTCCGTTTTTGTTGGTATTCATTCTTTCATTTTGTCTTGTTAATCTGGATATTCTATTGCTTTCTTCCATCTATTAATGATTGCACTCCCTTTTCTAGCACTTGAAATAAAAAATGTATTTTTCTATTTTTATGAAAAACAAGTATTAAGGCTCTGATGCATGCTTATAGCAAGCATAATTTACTTATAGCAAGCATGATTTACTTCTTTACTGCTTTCCCCACTGTCTCTAATAAGATAAATTTTAGAATTATTTTTGACTTTCTTTACCCAATCCTGTGAGACCGTTCCTCAAACTTCCAGGTTTTACTGAGAAAGTTTGCTACTTTCAGTTTTGGTCTATTATTATTACCTTTTAGTCTGTTTTTTTCTATTGCAAGAAATCCATATTCAGCACTTCTATCACATATATAGTCTTATAAATGTTGAAAAAAACATCCAGATTACTACCTGTAAGGTTCTATGGGAAAGGTCCATGAGTTTCCTCTTGTACTGTGCAATTTTGGCCATAGTTGTAGTTTGATTCTTCTGTAATTCACCAATATCTTCAGATATAATCTGTGTTAAAAAACTTTTTTAAGGTAAGTCAAGTATAAATATCACAACTATTTATCAGGTTCACCTATATACAAAGTCTAATTTGTAAGATAAGCCTGAGATTCATCTCTCAAAATACAAACTCTTTCTGTTTATATCTGTCTTTCTACTTCTCCTTTGGACATCTGAAACTTAAAAAAAAGTACCATCTGCCCTTTCTAGTGTAGCTCAGTTGGTTGGATGTTGTCTGTAAACCAAAAGGTCATGGGTTCGATTCCCTGTCAGAGCACACACCTAGGCTGTGGGTTTGATCCCTAGTCAGGGTGAGAGGCAACCAGTCTGTCTCTCTCATATCAATGTTTCTCTCCCACCCTCTCTACCTCCCTCCCCCATCTCTAAAATCAATAGGCATGTCCTTAGGTGAGGATTAAAAATAATAATACAATTTAAAAAATAAAATAAATAGAAAGCACCATTCAAAAATTTCTTTGGAGCTCCAGGAAATTTATTGATGAGGTAAAGTATGTAGAAAAACAGAACATATTCTTCAGAAATGAAGAATATAAATCAGATAACCAAATACATTTTTATGCCTCCATGTATCTGATTTGCTATTTGCTTGGTTAAAATTCCACCCCTCTGCCTGATGAAGTATTAACTTTATGAAATGAGTTAAAATCCTATTTCCTTAAAGCTCCCCAATCAGAATTAATCCCATAATTCCTTCTATCATAATTAATCATTCTATGTTATTGACTTACACTGAAACATTAAAAGAAGATTTAGTAGATTGTGCAAGATCTATTTTAGCATGTTCACCTGCATGTCACCTTTTAAGGAAACTTTTCCATGGTAGGCCATAATGAAGGGATAAAATTAGGTGGTCATATTTTGTATTATGTAACCTATGCACCCTCCCAGTTAAAAAAGTTATGAAGGCTTCCGACACAAGAGTATAGCATCCTTCTATACTAGCAATACCTAAGAAGAAACAGAAATGTTACCATTCCCAGTATTTACTGACAAACACCAAAACAACCTAGGAATTAACCCAAGAAAGAATGCATGGGATTTTTAAAGAGAATGTTTTAAAACTGTTTCAAAAACTTGAAGTCCTAGCCATAGCAATCAGACAAGAAGAAATAAAAGGCATCCATATTGGAAAGGAAGAATAAAACTGTCTTTATTTGCAGATGACATGATACTGTATACAGAGAATCCCAAAGATTCCACCAAAATACTACTAGAACTGATACATGAATTCAGCAAAGTAGCAGGATACAAAATTAATATCCAGAAATCAGTTGCATTTTTATATGCCAATAATGAACTAACAGAAAGGGAAATTAAGAAAACCCCATTCATAATTGCTTCAAAAAGAATAAAGTACCTAGGAATAAACCTAATCAAGGATATTAAAGACCTGTGCTCAGAAAATTATAAGACACTGAGAGGAAGAAAATGAAGAAGAAATAAGTAAGTGGAAGCACATACCTTGTTTACAGGTAGGAAGAGTTAACATCATTAAAATATCTATACTACTTAAAGCAATCTATAGATTCAATGCAACTCCTATCAAGATTCCAAAGACGTATTTCACAGAATTAGAACAAAGATTTCAAAAATGTATATGGAACCACAAAAAGCTCTGCATAACAACAGCAATCTTGAGAAAGAACAAAGTTGCAGGAATCACACTACCTAATATCAAACTATACTATAAGGCCACAGTAATCAAAATAGCATGGTACTGGCATAAAAACAGACATATAGATCAATGGAACAGCATAGAGAGCCCAGAAATAAACCCACACCGTTACAGTCAATTAATATCCGACAAAGGAAGCAAGCACATACAATGGGCTAAAGGTAGTTTATTCAATAAATAAATGGTGTTGGGAAAAGTGGATAGATACGTGCAGAAAAATGAAACTAGACCACCTTCTTATACCACACACAAGAATAAATTCAAAATGGATCAAAGACTTAAATGTTAGACCCCAAACCATAAAAATCCTAGAAGAAAACACAGGCAGAAAAATCTCAGACATTGCTTGTAGCAATTTTTTATTGGATATATCTTCCCAGGCAAGGGGGAAAAAAGAAAAAAAATAAACAAATGGGACTACAACAAACTAAAAAGTTTTGCACAGCAAAGGAAACCATCAACAAAAAGACAACCCACTGAAAGGGAGAACATATTCACCAAATGATACATCTGATAAGGGGCTAATTTCTAAAATTTATAAAGAACACAATACTACTCAAAACATACAAATTAAAAAATGGGGGGGGGTAGGAAAATGCAGACAACTATACTTGAACAACAATATTTTAAAAAATGGGCAGAGGACCTGAATAGACACTTCTCCAAAAAGAACATATGGATGGCCCATAGATATATGAAAAGATGTTCCATATCACTAATAACCAGAGAAGTGCGAATTAAAACAATGAGATATCACATCACACTTGTCAGGATGGCTATCATCAATAAATCAACAAACAAGTGTGGGCAAAGGTGTGGAGAAAAGAGAACCCTTGTGTGCTGGCGGTGGGAATACTGATTAGTGCAGCCACTGCGGAAAATAGTATGGAGGTTCCTCAAGAAATTAAAAATGCAACTGGCTTATGACCCAGTAATTCCACTTTTGGGTATATATATTTAGAAACTGACACCACCAGTTAGAAAACATATATGCATCCCTATGTTTACTGCAGTGCTATTTACAACAGCTGAGAAAGAAAAGCAGCCCAAGGGCCCATCAATTAATAAGTGGATAAAAAAGCAGTGATACATATATACAATGGAATATTACTCAGCCATAATAAAAAAAAAATGAAATCACCATTTGTGACAGCTTGGATGGACCCAAAAGGTATCATAAGTGGAGCAAGTTAGAAAAAGACAAATGCCATGTGAGTCACTTATATGTGGAATCTAAAGAGCAAAATAAATGAACAAAAAAAAAAAAAGAAAGAAAGAAAAAGAAACAAACTCATACAGAGGTAGGACTGATGGTTGCCAGAGAGTAGGGGGTTTGGGGACTGGGTGAAAAAGGTGAGGGAATTAACAAATACAAATTTGCAGTCACAAAATTGTCACAGGGATGTAAAGTACAGCATAGGGAATACAGTCAATAATATTGTATTAACTATGTATGGTGCAAGGTGGGTACTTGAAACATTGGGAGAACCACTTTCTAAAGTTTCTGACTGGAAGTAATACAAAATAATACTGAATGTAAAATGTAATTGGAAAAAACACAACAATATGCTGCATTACACTGGAAGCAGCCTCATGTCTCATGCTTACCACATCATTTGCTGACCACCTTTTTCTCCTGTGCTTGATTTAATCTCACATCCCTCCTGCACAGTAACTACTATACAGGCTTGTAGCCTAGAAGCAATAGGCTGCACCAGACAAATGTAGACTAGGTGTGTAGCAGGTTATACTATACTACCTATGTTTGTGTAAGTACACTCTATGGCATTCACATAAAGCTGAAATTGCCTGTGGACACATTTCTCAGTGGCACATGGCTAGGTAGGTTAAAAATAAAAGGAAGGCAAAAGAGACACCATACAAAACAAAGCTAGAGTGGCCTTATGTTAATATCAGAGAAAGCAGACTTCAGAGCAAAGACAATTACCAGGGACAAAAAGGGACATTACATAATAATTAAAGGTAGATATGCCAAGTGAATGTAACAATCCTATGTACATATGTACCTAACAACAGACCTTCAAAATACATGAATCAAAAACTGATAAAATGAAAAGGAGAAAAAAGCAAATCAACAGTTACAGTTAGAAACTTCAACTCTCCGATCATGACAGAACGACTAAACAGAAAAATCAACACGAATACAGAAGAACTGAATTGCCTACCAACTGGATTTCACTCATGTTAACAGAAAACACCACCCATGAACAGCAGAACACACATCTTTTTCAAAGGCATGTGCGTTAAAAACCTTAACAAAGTTCAAAGAATTAAAATCATACAAAGTTTTCTGACCATACCAGAATTAGACTAGAAATCCACAACAGAATAACAGGAAATTTTCCAAACACTCTGAAATGAAAATACTTTTAAATAATCTATTAGTCCAAAAACCCAACAATCATATAGAACTCTCAGGGAAAATTAGAAAACAGTTTGACAGGATCACAATGAAAGTATAACATCATCAAAATTTGTGGGACACAGGTAAAGCAAGTGCTTGGAAGGAAATGAAAAGCATAAAATGCTTATATTAGAAAAGACAAAAGACCTCAAACTAATAACTTGTTGCTATCTCAAGAATTTTTAAAATAGAGAAAAAAAGCCAAAAGCAAGCAGAATAAAGGAAATGGTTAAGGGCAGAAATTAATAAAATTTTAAACAAAACTAGAGAACTCAATGAAAACGTAAGACAATGAAAGGTCCAGAAATAACGTCACATGCAAAACCATGCTGGAATTTCCAGCCAGTAATGGGAATACTAATAAAAAGGATGAGTGACTATGATGTTCAATTATCTGCAGAGCTGTCATAGGAAGCACAGCGATCACCTACAAAGAAACGCCAGAGCAAATGCCTGCGAAGTACAACAAGGCAGATACAGGATCAATGTAAGAAAGGGAACTTGAATCAACTAGAGTTAGCTGACAGTGAAATGGGCTGCTTCATAAACAGGAAGCTTTTCATTACTCAAACAGAAGCCACATGATCGACCTCAGCAGGAATTCAATGTAAAGAATTTGGAGGTGACCTTTAAGAACCTTCAGATATTTGATTACAAAAGTCTACTTTATAAAATATTACCTAGATTTATGCATTCAGTAATTTAAATCTGCTCCATTAACCTATAATTATAATAATATAATCACAATTATAGCCTTTATATTTATAAGGTCCCACAACTTTTTTATTAAACAAATAATATACATTCTCTGGCTGGAATTAGAAATGAAAGTCTAACTTGGTAAGCCAACATTTTAAAATTCATCAATGAAATATAACAAATCAGATTTACATGATTTTGGAAACTTTACATTAAAGGCAGTTGTATAATACTGTAATTGTTAATTCACAGCACACACTATATTGTTCCCTCTAGGACAAAATAATAACACACATGGTAAAAAAAAATGTCTGTGGTCCCTTTTGCTCCTCCCAGGGCCAGAGAAGGAAAAGTAAATGCTTACATCTAATCTGGTCTGATGCTGCTTAGTCATCTGATCTTGAACCTTTAGTCTTCGAAGAAGTTCTTTGAAACCCACCATTGGTACAGGAATTAACCTGAAGAAATTCAAGTGGTCAATTTTCAGACCTTACATCTAATATAATAAAATGTAAGAAGTTAATAAAGTTTTTATAATAACATTCATATAACTTCACATTAAATTTGTAGAGTTTAATGGTAGATCTGTGACTATAAAATCAACAATGTCTCACCATGAAGATTTTATTCAACCTCCCTATTTTACAAATGAGGAAATATAGTTTAGTAAAAAGCTACATTATTAAATGCAAATATAATTAGGATACTAGTAGTCAGATTTCAATGTTTTCACATTATGCTGCCTTACCATAGTCAACATTTTAAAAAAAGCAACAGAAATAAAAATGAACTCACCTAAAATGTAAGAATTCTAATTAACAGCTTGCATTTGCTTGCTTTCCTAGCAGCAAATATAAGTTCTTATATGAAAACAAGATGAAGATATACTTACTTTTCAGGATCAGGGTTATCCACCTTGGCTTGCTCCCAGATAATAGGATCAACACCTACCACAAAGAAGAAATATTTTTTTCTGAACTATTTTCCAATTTTATATCTGTATGAAGGGCATTCCCAAAGTAAGATGCAAAACTCATAAGCTGTAATGAAAAATGACTGTCAAATATGATCACTACAAAAATAAAAAGTTTTGTAAGATAAAGCTAAAAAAGGTGTAAATAGGTAAGAAATTAATATAACCTATAAAATAGATTAACCTTCAAAATATAGAAAGAGCTCCTATAAATCAGAAAGGAAGACAAAAACACAACAGAAAGAAAACAGGGAAAGGACACGAAAAAATCTTTCATGATGAGAACACATTCAAGTTTTACTTGAAGACTCAGTTAAAACAAGAGATAAACTAGAAGAAAAAATCAAAATATATGAAGAGTAAATTACCTTTGGGTAGGTGAATTATAGACTATTTTTCTTTAGTTTGTCATTTCCCAAAATTTCTAGTGACATATTAGCTATGTAATAATAATAAAAAATAGATGAATTAAAAAAATTAAAACTATGTCCCAAATAAGCAGACATGTGATAAGCCGACACTGGTTTTATTAACATCAATAAACACCTCCAAGTCTTTCATTTCCTCAGCCCTGTGAGTATAGAAGCATACCAGCAGGAGGATTCTGTAAAAGCTGTTTGATCTGTGCAGGAGAAAGTTCTGTTCTAGTCATCGAGAGGGTTACACCAAGTTGCTGCAGCTGGGTTTTTATATTGGTTTGTTCAAAATGGGTATACAGTGTGGTAGCTGGAACTCTTCTTGAAGTACCATTTGGAGAACGCTCAATAACATAAATGACAACTTCTGTCCTGGGGAAAAAAATAACCAAGTTATAAAATATGGAGCATATAACTTATAGTCACAATTATCAGCACAGCACATGATTTTAAAAGCACATTAGCTGAACTAAAAAATGGCTGGTTTAGAAGGGAATTACAATTTTTTTCTTTAATCTTGAAAAATAAACTCTTACTTAATGTTCTGTTCACTTAAAAATCAACCTAAATGATAAAGTTAAAGAGACAAGTTATTTGTAAAAGGTTTGCTTAGCTACAAAGTTCTAAGTAAACATCATTTATTATTTATTCTAGATTTGAGAAGTACTTTGGAGATTCTCTTGAAGCTCATGAGCTGCTTTACTATGAGTTAAAACTAAGAAGTCTGCTTTCAGTTGTATCCTAAAGTAAATGTCTTGCCACTAAATATGAAAATTATAGACGAGGAAAGTTAATCAATCATATTTACCCATGAATAAACATGAATAGTAATCAGTTAAAACCTTCCCTTGCAGACAGATACAGGATAACAGTTATAGCTGGGGGTGGGGTAGTTAGAAGGTAGAGGGACGGAGCAAAAGGGAAAAAAGGGCACACGAACAACAGTGTGGGGACTGCGATGGCAGGGTGTTATAAGGGAGCTAAATAGTAATAGAAAAAGTACAATAAAAACTTTAAAAAGGCTGTTGTGAACATTGTACAGGTTTTTGTAGAAATATAAGTTTTCATATCTCTGGAATAAACACCTAAAGGGGCAAAAAAAAAAAACAAAAAAAAAAACCCCAAAACTTTACATTACTGTTTTTGTGGCCCTCAATATGCACATAGCCATGACTAATATCTCTTCATATTTCTAAGAGAAAAATATAAATTATTAGCATCTAATAAGTTATAAAATCCAAGATTAAAAAAAAAAGCTTTTAAACGTTTCTGCATAAATACTGAAAAGTCACTAGCTAAGAAACAAATTTTCTGCTCTGAAATTTAATTGGGGCTTTAGCAACGAAAACACTTGATCACTCTTGGGCCCACAACGCACTGAAATAAACAGTATGTTTACTGTATACTTACTGATCATCTGGCAATGTTTTAATACCCTCTACATTTACTGTAAGGGTCTGGTTTCCTCCCAAAACTTTATGCAACGATTCTACCAATTGCTGTTGCTGGCTTCGAATATCTGTTTCTTTTTTGTTGAAAACTAACACCACTAGCCCATCTTCATCTTTATTATTGGGCATACAACTATAACCTACTGCCTGTGGGATGACAAAATAAATGACATCAATAATATGTACAGATCTTAAATCAACTATTTAATATCAATAGCTTCATATCTGCTAAAATGGGGAAAACAGTTTCATGTCTGGTAATGAGGGAAATAATGATTCTTACATCCTAGGAGGTTATGCAATTAATTATAAAGAGAAATTCTTTTAGCCCAGAATAACATAAAGAGTGAAATTAAAAATTCCTCAACTGAGTAACTAAGCAGCTTTTGCCTCTGAAAAACATTGATACCTGCAGTTGCTGGGAGCTCCTGCACGCTGTTCAAACCACTCCTACTGTCACATAAAGTGAATGTGAAAGTCACAGACCAAAGCAAGTTATTTTACTATACATTAGACTCATGGAATCTGAGTTTTAGGTATGACAAATTATTCTTCTAGAGAATTACTTTTAGACAGAAGCCTTTTTTACTTTAGTCACCACTTAAAATTCAAGTTTGTAAAAATAATTTAAATTTATTCTAGGTTAGTTCATTATGCATTTTACCATATGCATGTTGTTTATCAACTTTAAAAAAAGGAAAATATTGTTATATTCAACCTATGTCTACTATATATGTCTTAGTCACTAAAAAAAGGTTTTAAATTTCCAAACACACATTTAAAAAATCCTTCATTTTGTCAAGAGCGATAAGATAAAGAGATGTTCTTTAACAAGATCAGCTGGTAACTTCTGTTGTTTACCCATGTTCACAGGGCTGATTCTAGGCTTTGTAGCTCCAAACACAGGCTTATGTACACATTGATTAGGTTTAAAAGACTGACATAGGCCAACAAAACTCAAAAGAGGCTGAAGCAAACTGGACTGCAATGAATTAATTTGTTATAAAAACATACCAAAAGTTGACCTAAATACTCTCATGGGCTGAGGAACAGAATCTGAGAAGTCAGATTCAAATGAGAAGGTTGTTTGGTAGCCACACGATCCGAACAAAGAAAACGGACTACATTGTTTTAACAGCTCTGGTGCTGAGCTGTAACAGTGACAGGAGGAATCTACACGCCGAGCAGAGCACACACTCCCGTATGCTGGTTAGGGTGTACTTTCCTGGACAGTGTTAGACAAATACCACTAAATTCTAGTTTTAAGTCTCCCATTAATCCTGGATGCCAAGCATATTTTCCCCTTTTGTTAACATTTTTTCCCCAGTTATAAATTACATTCTAGTCACACCTTCTTTCAGTCATATTCTGGTCACTTTCAATCTCACATATGTACGATCACTTCAATTTTATAATTTTTGTATTTTTAAAACAAAAGCATATTGTACCATGTTCAAGGAATACTGAATAACCAAGCAATTATTTTCTTATTATTGCTTTAATCCAAATATCATACTCTCTCTTATACACATTCTTCAAGTGAAGATCAAAAGCAGTACAAGTACCTTAAATCGACAAAAGGGATTTTCTTGTGTGAATTCCACTGGTGGAATATTATTGTTGAAATAGCCTTTTCCTGTTCCCCAAAAGGCCTGCAGTTGATTCCATTTCGCTAAAATAGCATCTCTCTCGTCTCCTAACAGCGTTGGAGCAGAAAGAGCACTCGCAGTGTTTATGAGTTGGTTGGACTGGGCAGGAGCTTGTGTAGGCTGACTGAAGAGACCACCTAATGCTAAAAATATAGCCCAAATTAGTATAAAAAAATCAATTCAGATCCTAGGTATGGTAGGCAGAACACTGATTCCCCCAGAAAAAGATGTCCACATCCTAATCCTCAGAACCTGTAAATGGTATGATACACAGCAAAAGGGACTATTGTGGGGATTATCCTGGATTATCACAGGGGACTCAACATAACCATAAGGGTCGTTAATAGGGAAGTCAGCATCAAAGTGAAATCTGAAGATGGAAGAAGGAGCTACAAACCAAGAAATCCACGGACTCTAGAAGCTGGACAAGGCAAAGGAATAGAGTCTCCTCTAGAACCTCCAGAAGTCACACAGCCCTGCCGACACTGATTTTAACCCTGTGAAGCCTGTTTCTGGATTTCAGATCTACAGAACCGTAAACTCATACAATCTTCATTGTTTTAACCCACTAAATTTGTGACACTTTATTTTGTCAACACTAAGAAACGCATATATAGGACAATCCTTATAATGTTAAACTTGCTTTTCTAATGATATTATCTTAACACAATTAACTCCATTATCAGGACTCAAATTAGGATGCATGCTATTAGAGCCACACCAAAAAAATTAAAAAGCACAAGGATATGAAAAAGTAAATTTTGTGAAGTTGCAAAATTACCTTTTAAACAACTTCTATTGCTATTATATTTATATGATAAATACAAATTGGATACATAATAATAATTATATGAATGTTTATCAGTATCAGCTTAATAAACGCTTTTCCTTCTCTTATTACAAAGAAATATATAGTGAAAAGAACAAATGGACTAACCATCAGGATTCTAGGATAAAACCTTAGCTGGCTTTGTAACTTTGGGCAAACTGCTTAACCTCTCTGTGCTACAATTTCTCCAACAGAAGGAAGGGTGAAGTTATATCAGATCAATATTTCCTAAGTGTAAGACAAGTAAGTACCCCTGGTATATGATATGGCTGTCAACCAATAGCTGAGTTACTAAATGAACCATTCACATAACAAAAAATTCCTTTAAATATGTAGCTATGTTTTCTAAAAAGTCTCAGTTTGGTGCCAGTATGCCTCTCTTGTTTCATGACACCTGCCCACCTCACTATTCAACAAAGGGCTGAACAAATCTAAGGCTCAGAGCTTTAGGCAAAAACATCTGGCTAGAATTTATTAACACTATTATATTTTCTCTGTACTTACTTTTTAAATATGGATTTTAAAGAAAGGAATGGAGAGGGAAACATTAATTGGTTGTCTTCAATATGTACCCCGACTGGGGATCGAACCTGCAACCTTGAGTGTATGGGATAATGCTCCAACCAACTGAGCCACCTGGCCAGAGCTCTTTGTACTTCAGTTTTAATTATTTTTACTTCAAAGCAAATGATACTGGTTTTCCACATATATCAAGAAATACAGGAGACAAAGGAATATGTTAAATTATACCACAGGAATGCAATTAGTCAAGCCTTGAATAAAAAACTCTATTGGACAAATAAGCTTATTTCTTCAACAAATTGAATAGAAAAGAAAGAGCTAAAAGAGGAACTTAGAGAGATTTAAGACAAATAAAACAATACTACTTACACTCTTAGTGACAAAATTATAAAAGGAAGTGATTAGGAGGGCAATGTGGAGGGCTTGGGAACTGGCTGGCCAGGATCCACCTCCTGACTAGGCAGGGATGTTCGCCTTATACATAATTTATCAAGCTGTACTTTTGTGTAGTTCTTTTTTTTTTTTTTTAGCAACAACAACAAATTTAAATGGAACAATACTAATCCTGATCATGTCATCAGTCTTCTCCCCAGCTGTTATCATCATATACATGAGAAGTAGCTTTTCGAATCCTGTGGAATATAATATTTATAATTCTTTTTAAAAAGTTATCCAGCCTTGGCTGGGTAATTCAGTTGATTAGAGCATTGTCCTGATACTCCAAGGTTGTGGGTTCAATCCCTAGTCAAGGCATATACAAGAAGCAACCAATGAATGCATAAATAAGTGAAACAACAAATCAATGTTTCTCTTTCTAAAATCAATTAAAAAATGAAAAAATAAAAATTGAAAATAAATTAGTTATCTACTACAGTGTTCTGAACAGTGCACTCAATAATGTTACTACATTGTTATAATTTTATATTGGAAGTAAAATGAAAACCTCACACTTACTGGTTTGTTGTTGCTGCTGCTGCTGCTGCTGCGTATTAAATCCTCCAAATCCCAGTCCAGTTCCCAAACCAGTACCTAAACCAGTACTAGTTCCAGTTGTTGTGCCAAAACCAGTACCAAATCCAAAACCTTTGTTCTGAGTACCACCAAAGAGTCCTTTAAATGAAAAATTGAAATTGCATAAGAAAAAAAAATCTGACCTCTACTGCTGACCCCATTTACTGCTACAAATGACTTAGATCGTCCTTTTACCTGTAGTGCCTGTGTTAGTTGGAGCAGAAAAGCTGAATGCAGAACCTGCTGTTGTAGTTGTTGTCCCAAATCCTCCGAACCCACCTAATTATAAGCGGATAAATAAAATAGAAAGGAAGAATCTTTTGTATACATGAGGTGATTTCTTTTCCAAATTATTTTATAATTGCTACATATCAATATATACTGATCTAATTTTAATTTCTCTACTTTCAACATCATTATTTTTTCCATAAATTACTTTATTGTTGTTCAATTTCAACATCAGTATTAAAAAAAAACCTATTCTATTGTACTAATCTAAATGTACATGTTACAAGAAATAAGTGACTAAGTATTTAAACTAGAATACCACAATGCAATATATACCCTTCAACTAAAGAAGTGATTAACAGTTACAGCTGAGAAAACATGTTAAGTCTATTGCCATTATGTTTAACAAACTCTAAAATGGCCATGCATGTACTTTTAGAGTAGGGATTGCAACCTGAAATGCCTACAAGATTTAGGCTGCTAACACTAATGAGGGGTGGAATTGTTGGATGTGAACAGTTTTTCTAAATGGCAGCAGTTCCTAAATTCCAGCAGACCACTGCTATAGGAGAATGGTAGTTTAGCAGTGTTACATATTCTAATCTTTTCCAAAAGAAATAGGTCTAGATTTTCTTCACAAAATACAGAAATTTAAACTTAAATTGAATTGTCTGTTTTTTCCCCCCAACTAATTAACATTTTTTAAGTAGTGTGCCAAAAGATCATAATGGCAGAGTGTGTTGTTAGTTTGCAACCTTGGCAGAGTGTGTTGTTAGTTTGCAACCTTGGCTTTGATCAATTAATTTATATTCTACTTTAGTTTTTATTTCAACTTAGTCTCCACAGAGACTAGGCAACTCTTCAAAGAAAACATATTAATACACTGACCTCTGTACAACAAGAATGTGTTTCTTGAAGAAGGCATAAAAGACGAAAACCCAAGTGGAAGGCAGTGACCAGGGAAGTAGACAGACCTGTCACAAGCCTCTATGTGATATTTATCACTGTTTGGCAACTCTGACATATACAAATTCCACTTTTGGGTAAGTCTAGAAACAAAATTACTCTTAACTATATCTAACTTGACATATGAATAGAATGGAACATCAGCCAATCTAAAATTATTTCATGCTTTTCCTTATTGTCAGTCTTTCCCTGATTACCAATGTGGTGTCAAAAAGACTTTTTTGTTTGAACCATTAGTGCTCTCTGAGCTCTGCCGCAGGTTTCCTGGGAGTCTTTTAATTCCAAATATTTCTGGTATAAGAGACAGATTCTTCAACACTGTAACATCAAAAATATAAGAAGAAAAAAACCCAATCCTCTGATATTTATATACAAGTCTGATATGGAAAATTACTCAAGAACAGATTGCACATTGCATGCAGTCACCACGACTGTGTTCACTTGTATGTTCTAGTGCAGCACTGCAGACTGTAAACATTTTTTGATAAAAATCACCTAAGTACTGAATACTGTTCTTAATCATTTTCATTTCTCCTCAATTTCATAGAAAAACCATCAGATATATTCTGAATTGGCTACATGATAAAAACATCAGTCAGGATCTTATCATGCGCCTTAATACCAAAAGTGTTCATTATTAATAGTGCATCTGCAAGGGCATAAAATTAAAAAACAGACAAAAATTTCTATCAGCCCTCTGCTGAAGACAAAGTTAATGAATGTATGTATATAAAAGTAGAGCAAATTATGTTATCACAATTCAAAACTTAACAGTGATAATTCCAAATGAACATGAAATCAAGGAAATACCAACAGACTTACTGTTGGTGAATTACAACTGGGTGGCTTTATCTGGAAACACAAATTTGAAAATAATGTTTCTGTTTTACCCAGTGCCAATTTTAAGCAAACAGGGAAAAGTAAACATACCAAATGACAGTAATTGTGATTTCTTTAAACATATCTTAATTATAATGGATTATTTTATCTTTGGAATTTTCAAGTATTCTTCAAAATGTTTTCAATCAGATGCCAAAGTGGTACTCACATTATAGTAACAAATGACTGCACAAAATACTAGACTTCTCAAGTAGGTTTTAGAGAGTAAATAAGTTTTAGGGAATAAAATTTACCAAATGCATATAATTGGCATGGGCATAAGTGGCATAATGTAAGAAAATATGGACAATAAATTCATATACGAGCAGCTGAGGGACAAGACTTTTCTATAGGGTCGCTGTATATAAAGTATACATAGACCTATTTTAAATTTAAACATATACACATATTATAGTTTGTTTCACAAATTTTCCAATGAACTTCAAACAATCCACCTAGAGAGTAAAATCTTCATAATTATAGTTTTGATTACAAAGATGTCTGGCCTATCTTTCAGAAGTCAATGCTGAAAATAAACTGCGCTCTGATCATTTTGTAATTTTTCCAGGAAAAGAATTGGGGATTCTTTCTATAATTACTGTACATATACTATAAAAATGTATACTAATCTGCTGAGTTGAAAAAGAAATGCATTATTATTATTATATGGGTTAAAAAAACAAGACAGGTTACTGCTGTTCGTATAAGACTTGTTCTCTTGGGGAACACAAGGACAATCAAATGAAATTCCAATGAAAGATGCAGGAAAAATGAAAAAACAAAAGTGACTGCAGGAGTCCAAGAATCCCAGGAAAATGGGCCTGACTGCTGAGTTTTTACTTTGGAAGAGATACCTAGTAATTTGGAAGATATATTCTACTTAAAAACAGTAATCCATTTCAAATTCTTACCACTTGAAAAGTTATATCCTGTTCAATTCAAAACAAATTTTAAAAAAAGAACATTACAACTTGCAAGATTTCCCAAAACCAAATCTTTTATGGCAGTCAAAACTTGATAAAATGCTATTGATTTGACATGTTATTAAAAGATAATTAAAAGATATTGATAATAACATGATACTAAAAGATAACATGCTTTAAGTGTTATTAAAAGATAAATATCCTTTCCTTATTAGACAAGTTGCTGTTCTTTCCCAAACTCTGGGAATCACAAAATATTCTTGGACTCCAGCTCCCAACATTCGTTACACATAAGACCCGCAGTATCTACCTGCACTTGCCAGACTGTTACCAAAATTGAACGGAGTCGCCGAGGTAGTAGGAACACCGAAATTCCCAATATTAAAGTTCACTGCAGGATTAGCAGTTAATCCGAAACCCCCAAAATTAAACCCACTGGCGGTGGAGTTGGCAGTCTCAAGCCCACCAAATCCTGGTAGGCATGTAGGCAAAAAATATAAATAAATAAAAGGGGGAAGAAAAAAGCAAGATAGGATTAGAAGAGTATGCAGGAAGTTTTACAGGCGTGAACAAAAGACAAACCTTGACTTTGTTCCAAACAAGTTAAGAAAGCGGAGGTGGGGACAGGAGGAAGGAGCCAGGAGCGTGAAGTTTCCTAGGGGAATGCCTTGGGGGCTGGGAACGAAAGAGCCGCAGGGCAGAGCCGGGGTCCCCCAGCCCTATCCTCTCCGGGGCCAGCAGCAGGGGCCACGCGAGCGTTCCCGCCACTACTGGAAGCTTAGGTGCGGAGGGGAGGGCTGGTCTCGGGAAAGGAAGACAGGTGGTCTCTCCGACCCCCCGGGCGGCGGGAAGCGAACCCTAGGAGGTCAGGGCCCGGCGGGAACCCGAGCGCAGCGAGCGAGCTCCGGGGTGGGGCCCGAGTCCCCTCGCGGCCTCATCAGGAGCCGCCTCGGCCGGTTCTGCTGCCGCCCGCCCTTTTCCTAAGCCCTAAAGTCTCCGCGCCGGCAGGGAACCCCAGTAATCCCAAGCAGGAGACTCTGAACCGAGTCGGAACAGAGACCTCCCCTCGTCCCCGAGAGAAGGTCCGGAGGGATCACTCACCCGCGGGGGCTGCAGTGGCCGCAGCGGTGCCCGAAGTGCCCGAGGGAGCCCCGAAGTTGAAAGCCATGTCGCGGGAGCAAGAAACGGAGAAGCTGCTCCCGCGACAGTCGGTGCACTCCGCTTTTTGGTCCGGCGGAAAATCCGCCCGATTGCGCAGTTCCGCCTCTTTTCTGGCCTAGCCTGTGAGGTCGGAATGCCGGAAAGACACGAAGGTGGAGGAGGGAGACCGGACGCTCGCGGTCCGACTAGTTCCGGCGGCTTTGTGGCTTCATTGGGACGTAGAGCGTCACTACCCAGGTGAAATGCTGGAAATGTAGACGAGATGCCGCATGAGGGCCCTTAAAAACTACCTTAGGGATGTCCCTTGGAAAAAATATGCAGATCAGTCTGTGTAATGAAGACAGGATAAGAACCAAATTCTTATCTTCCATAGTAGGGGGCCAATGGATAATGGTAAAACTGGAAATTCAGGAAGCAGTGTGTTATGTAGTCATGGAAGTAAAATTTTTAAAAAGTGAGGGGCAGAAGTGGTGCCTCTGAAAATGGTATCTCTATGTTTTTTAATATAACAAACCTTGTAGAATTACTTGATTCTTAAATCTATGTGCTTGTATAACTTTAATATAAAAAATCCATTGTATCTGTCAAAATTACAAATGTCCTTAGACCTCAAAACGCTATCTTGTAAATGACTTGGCAAGATTATGGAATACAAGGCTATTCATCACAGCATTGTTTATAAAAACAAATTATTGAAAACAGAGGGGTTTGCCTAAATGTATGCAGAGGGACACTATTAAGACATGAAACAGGAACTGTAAATTACAGGAAAAACAATTTAGAACATCTCATGGTATGCTACAATCTAGGTAAAAAGAAGAGGGCTAGAATATATAATACAATACTTGAATATGTATTTCTTGGAAATATTCATTTTGAAAACTGACTCTTGCCTCTGGGAAGATGAATTGAATGGCTAGGAGATAGATGGAGGAAGACTTTTCATTGTAAACTCCTTTCATGCCTTTTGAAAATGTAAATTGTTTAGCTATTCAAAAAATTAAATAATGCTCATAGTGGTGTGATTGCAGGAGTCCCAGTGAGCTCTGACAGTCGGGTCAGGACAGCAAGAGCAGAGACTGGGAAGCAGATGAAGCCCTTGAAGAGTGACTGGATGTGGAGGGAAGGGAAGGGAAGAGCTAGCAAGAGTGCCTGGTTTCTGGCTGGTGCAGCTGGGTAACTTGTCATGCCATTCCCCAGTCATGGGAATTTGGGAAGACAAGAAAAAAGTGAATTCCTTTCTTCACTTGCTGGATGTGAGGACAGCCGGGCTGAGGATATCCCTCAGGTGGGCTGGGTATGTGAGGTTGATGTTGAACAGAGCAATTCAGTACTGTTGTCAGGGAGGGAGTATCAAGTCTGAATAGGTTGCAGCTGAACATCACTATCAACAAGAAGTGGCCAGAGATAAGAGAAGAAGCAGAGAATAGAATCACAGAAACTACCTGGAAGCAGGCCTGCATAAGGCTGTTAGTGCAGGTAGATTATTAGGGAGGAAACAGCAGGGACTGGGTAAGGAATGTGAGACAGGAATGAAGAAATGATAACAAGAACCAATTCCCACCATGGACAATCCTAATGAGAACCCCTGTAGAATGAGTCTGAGCACTGTCCCTCTGAGAACTGGAACATTTATCAACTCACTCCTGCCTCCTTTGGTTTCAGCATGTCCCTGGGGGTTTTAGCTCCCCATGCTCCTGAGGGGCTTCCAGCACTCTGGAGAAAGTCCTGAGGCAGAAAAGCACAACATGGAACCAGCTTGAAGTACGACTTGTCTGGCTGCCTATAGCTGCCCACGACAATTGAACTGAAATCAGAGGTGACCCAAAGGGTGTGACTGGCCTGCACCCAACAAGAGGGCAAAGAACCTCTTTCAAATAAAATCCATAGACAACTGGAGGTCTGATGACATAACATAATTTACAGTGCAATTTCATATAAATGTTTTTTTATTAGTGAAATACTTCATTGAATTAAGGGTAGAAATAAACATGTCAAGAGTCACATGAAATGAACCAGCTACACAAGCTACATTAAGAACATTCAGGTCAGTATTCTCTTTTAATAGCCACACGCAATTAACTCCAGTAATAACACTCAGACGGCCAAGTATGAAGGTCGACGTTGCAGAACTCCTTATCTCCAGCAATGTAAATAAAAAATTAGCCTCCCTTAAGTAAAAATTACAATAGGGGTTATGCAGTACTTGCTCCAGTTGACCATTAGTGAGGAAATAAAGCCTGGAGCCAAAAGTGGCCACACCTACTTCCTGTCCCGTGTTCAACTCTGTTTTCCCTGAGAAGTGAGGTAACCTCTCTGGTTTCTCCCTAAGTTGAGTATCATACTACAGGACATGGGTGTTCTGTGATTTAGTGACAATTGCAAAGACTTTGGGGGCCTTTCCAGGAAAATGGCTCCAAGAGAGTGAACATGAGGAATAGTGTGTTATTTTCAATCTAAAATCAAATAGGTAGTACAGTCTTTCTTAACCAGTCTACAATCTTGACAGCAGTGTATAGGTTTGCTACAGACTTCTCTGAAGGGAAATACCAAATGTGATTTTAAGCCCAGTAACTAATTAAGAATTCTATGGGAAGAGTATGTTTTTGGTCTCCCCATCTGTGTGGGTGGGATTTAGTCTCGAGGTCTATATCATCGATTATCCTTCATAGTACTTAAAAATTTCCTTCTCACAGATGATTATACCCTGATGATAGCATGAACTAGTGAGTATGCACTGGCTTATCGGTTTTAGTAGTATGGCTGAGTGGATGCATAAAAAATAATATATGCCAATTATCTAGTTAAATATTGATAAATTAAAAAATCTAGATATCTGGCATTATTGAAGACAAAATTTAGTTTTTCACATTTTGTTGATTTGGGGTAACTATAGGTTTTATCTTAATTTACAGAGATGTTGAGATTTTAATGAATTGCCTTTATTAAGTATATACCTGCAGTGTAGAGCGAGAGGGAAAATTGGGGCAAATAAACTAAAGCAATTTATCATCCCCATACAGGGATCAGAAGCTGTATTTGTAAAATCCATGGCATTTTTTCTTTATTTGCTTATGCTGAAATTCAGTTTTAAACAAAAAATCCTGTAGAATCATTCAGTTAAGATATTCTGTGTGCACTTTGCCAGACAACTGTATAGGTTTCTCAATCAAAATTGAATTATGACCCTTGAGAATTAAAGTGTCTTTCACTCTGCTTGAATCCTGTGACATATGATGGTTCATTCCCCTGACTTAGCTTACACTGAAAAACAAGAGGTTTTCTGAGCACAGATGACTCTGCTTCTGGTCCCAAGGGACCTTGAAGCACCTTTCTGAGCAATATTTTAAAGACACTGTTTTTCTGTCAGGAAGATGATTGTCACAGAAGCGTAGGGCACATTTTTCTCTGTTGAACAACTGACAGTGAGCCACAAAACATCAAAAGGAACTGAATCTGAGGAAAGAAGGAAACTTATAAAAACAATTTCAAAGTTACCAAAAAGACTGTCCCCAAAGAAATGTCTCTTTAGTGTAGGGAGACTTCCTGAAACTTCTAAGCAACTTAGGCTGTGGATGCATGGATTTCCTATATGCATAAATAATTTCACAAATAATCACTCAATAGTATTGTGGTAATATAGTATATTTAGTAAGGGTGATTGGGCAGGGGATCAGTTATTGATTACATTCTCCCAGGAGTACCTTTCCACATCAAGATCATTTCAATTAGAAAAATAACAAACTATCCACAAATCTCAGAACTAGCATTTAGTTCTGCTCTGTATGGAATATCTGCACTGTCCTCACCAGCATTATCTATGCATTTCTTTCACCCAAAAGTGCAAGTAAAAAATCCTCAGGTGTTTATAGCTACCAACTTACAGGTGCCTCACTCCATCAAACCTCTCACCACTTGATTCCTACCAGTATGAAAGTGGTCAGAGGACCACATCATGTTCCTGGAGGAATTGTGCACTGACAATTAGCATGAAATGCAATATACAACTTTTTAAACAAGGAAATTAGATGCACTTGAATGATGCACTGAACGAGGCTACCATTTTACCCTGGGTTCCGAACCTTTATTTACTTCTGGTTTGGGGGTGATGTGAATGGAGAAATACAACGAACAAATGGTATTTATGTATTCTGAGTACACAGTTTGGTGAATGAAGCGTACTGAATAAGGTTAGACCAAGTAGCATTAACGACTGATGCAGAGACATTATAACCACAACAGTGGTCACAAAATTCTGGAGCTACCAGCACCCACCCGCAAAAAAATTACTGTACAAGAGTTTATTAAATACTTGCTAGACACATGAAAAACAAAACACTTGGTCAGGGACCACAGGATCTGATAAAGCCTAATGGCCAACGAATCAGCCTGTTCTTTAGGCTCCGGCCGGAGGCTCTCATCATCACTTGCTAGCTCTAGGTCTCCTCCCTCCTCTCACAACAGACATCGAGCCAGTGAGGATGCAACGGTTTGCCCACATCTGATCCGTGTCAGGACAGCTCAGCACGGTGCCTTCATCATGCTCAGGCCACAGCTAGGTTCGTATGAGGGGCGCTCTTTCATCTGCAGTTCCCTGTGACTCAGGAGAGACAGGACAGCGAAGTTAGGTTGGTGAACACGTCAGAAACTTCTCTCCGTGTGCAAAGCTTGGGAGTGGGGTGGGGGTGGTAAGGAGGCAGGAAGGCAGCTGTCCCACTCACCTCTCTCTTCTCTGGGCCAGCTGCTTCTTGCTCTGCCTTTAACACTCAGCCCGAACCCTCAGCGGGAGGCCTGTTCTGATCCCAGAGCAGTTCTCTCCCCTACACTGACCTGGACTATATCCCTCATCACACTCAACTGAATTTGCCTCTTTCCCGGTTGGAAACCTAGCAAAGAACAATGTCTTGGGGGTACTGGTGGGTGCTTGGTAATTGCTTGCTCGTTGAACACATGTAGACAATTAATTGTAGGAGCAGTAATAACATTTACATGGGCTTTCATATGGGCTTATGAAAATCTCAGGGACTGTACAATGTCAGACTGGAAGTGAGATCAATGGAAATGGCAAAATATGGGGATGTAAATAAAATACAGCATAGTGAATACAGTCAATATTGTGATAACTATGTATGGTGCCAGGTGGGCACTGGAAATACTGTGGAGAACACATTGCATATGATTGTCTAACCAATATGCTGTACAACTGAAACTAATATAAAATAATATTGATTATGAACTATAATTGAAAAATAAATTTTTAAAAAACGTAAAAGAAGAAATGGCAAGATAGTTGCCTCACACCTAATTCACTGTAGCATCATGGGCATGGGTTGAGAAACAATGAAAGAATGTGGAAAATGGGGAAACCCGGGCTAATATTTTTCAGGTGGTTTCAACCCATTCATTTCCTGCTTCACTTGTGCCTCAGACAAGTAGTTGAGGCAGCTAAGAAAAAAATAAGCAGCCTTTGTTGCAAAAACGGAAGCTGCTGAGAATTTAAGAAAGGCTCCTACAGAGAAGACTCACTGAAGATATTTAGACCCCTAGGCTGGCCGGCTGGTCACTTAGGAGGACCCCCAACTCTGTCTATCCCACCTGTTTGGGGTTGTTTCCAACCCCTGTGCTAATCATTTATGAGGAACTGACGACTCAGTGGTAGGTATGTTGACGATATATCACAGATTCTTTCCAAGCAGGTCATGGTTGCCTTGCCCCCTAATCTTGGAGCTGTTTTACAGAACTAATGTTATATTGGGTTTTTACTAAATGCTAACACTGGGCCATGTGCTTTATTTTGCTACATCACCTAATCCTCTTGAAAAACTGCTAAGGGAAGCTCGAGTATTATCCTATTTTACAGAAGAAGAAACCGAGGCACAGTTTCTAGGGTCACACAGCTATCAAGTAGCAGCACTGAGATTTGAACTTAGGCAGTCTGACACCAAATGCCAGGTGCTTAGCTGATAAATATTCTTCCTTTTCTTTCAGGTTATTTTTAAAGACATAAAGCTTACTCCCAGGAATTCCATTCCCGCTACAAGAGCCCCAAACACGGGAAAATACCATTCTATCACCCCTCTTCTTGCTTCTCATTTTGCCCAGCAGTAATATAACCATGAAATCACTATACCCAGCATAAAACCTCAAAATCCACCCTAATGAGCCAGCTGACAGCCCTTCACAGAAGCCCAATAGAATTTGCCAGGTAAAGTTACCCAGCAGGAAAGAAGTTCCTCCAGCCACCACTCACCTCGTCCATGGATCCCTGGCCTCGGCACACAAGCCAGGTGAAGATCAAACCAAAGAACACGCCCAGCGCCATGACAATGTAGGGTATGTTGGTGACAATCAGAGTAGTGTTAACCACAGACTTCAGTCGACTTGCCGTCTCCTTATCAATGAGAACACTCTAGGGGGGCAAAAAAAAATAATATTGCCTTGATTACTAAGTAACCAGAGTGTAACTTCTTTTGCTATATGATACTGAAAATCCAATTATAAACTGGAATAACCACCATTTATTTATTAACACCTCCCCTTTTCTTTTAAAGACATGTTTTACTCTCAAAATAGGTTGGAAGGAGGAGGGAAAACGTATTTAAAAATTTGAGATAATATCATCTTTTGTTTTGTGTCAGACAACTCCAGTTCATCCTTCAGAATCCATCTCAGCATAACTTCCTTCCAGAGGTTTTCTCTGGCCACCTCAGTCCTGCTTAAAGCCTCCTTTTCTGCATTTCCAGCTCAGTCTCTAAAATCCTCCATCACTGTCTTTGCGCTCTGTGTTGTAATTGTCTGTGGTATTCCTTGTCAGTTTCTTTGTGACTGTGAGGTCCCAAAGGCAAATGGGCATAGCACCCTGCATACAGTAGGTGTTCATTTAATGTTGGTAGAATGAATGAAACATTACAGCAGTGGTATAGGGAAAGTATTATTTCTCCCTTGGTTAGGTCTGTGCTAATCAGGACCAGAGGTCTCGAGAGAAAGTGTTCCAGGGAAGTCCTGAAGCTAACCAGAACTCCAGTGGGTATTCTAAGGAAGTGTTCTAGGATAACCCTTTCTGAATGGAGAGCAAAGGAATTAATCACCTTAAACTGCCATGGTGAGGTATCTGAAACACTTAATTTCATAACATTTATTTGAAACAAATAGGACTTTGGGATTAATTTAGGTTCAATTTAGATGGAAGCAGAGGCTGGGGATCTAGGGCTGGTTTTTCAATAACTGGCCAAGGCCTGTCAGGGTCAGCCTCCTCCTTTGGAAAGGGGAGTGAGGGTGCAGCCTCCACAGTCACCTCCAAGTCTCCCTGGATTCAATCTGGTCTTGCACAAAAGAAAAATCAAAGCACAAGTTTGAGTGGTGGAGACTTCAAATGTGCCGCAACTACAAACAGAAGCTTGTAGAATAGCAGCATTCCGCCTTTTCAAAATCCCCACTTTCATGCTCTTCCTCACAAATACTCAGGTAACTATTGCCTGCATTTTCCCTATGAAGAAAAGAAAAGCCTTGTCTTAGCACTGTAATCAAAAATCCATCAAAAGTTTATAAATGTGGCTTCCTACATGACACTAAATTTAAAAAGGATGTAAAACTGTGTCTACAGTATGGTCTCAACTATGTAATATCAAAGTCAGAACAATACTGAGGCAATGTGAACTGATGCCAATTGCACATTTCTCTGAGGGCCAGGCTTATCAGTGGTTCACTTAAAAAAAAATATATATATATATATATATATAAAGATTTTATTTCTTTATTTTTAGAGAGGGAAAGGGAGAAAAATATTAATGTGTGGTTGCCTCTTGAGAGCCCCCTACTGGGGACCGGGCCTGCAATCCAGGCATGTGCCCTGACTGGGAATCAAACTGGCCACCCTTTGGTTCACAGGCTGGCACTCAATTTACTGAGCCACACCAGCCAGGGCCATCTTTTAAATATTTTTAAAAATTTCCCTGGAGTTGTATAAAGAACACATATTAGTTTTACAAAATGTAAACCACTAAGTTATCTGTTACAAAGTTGTTATTGGAAAACAATTTACAATACATTGATGAGGAAAAGAAAGCAAGTTAAAAACAGTGTGTCAGTCTGGCTCATGTTTTGTGAAAAGCAATTTTAATGTTTTTCCCTTTTCTTGGTAATCTGTGTTACTAAATTTTCTACAAAGAATAAGTATTTTTAGGGAAGAGAGAAAAATAATAAAAACTTTAAAAATGTTGATGCTAACAACAAAAGCCAGTCAACTGAGATTTATTGAGGAGAAAAAAACCTACGATTTTCTCCTTGAAACTGGGTAGAAGGGAGCCAGAAACTGGGAAGAAAGAACTATAGGAATGTGATGTGTGATTCAGAAAAAAATTTATCATAGGTGTCTTAAATAGTAGGTGTTTTTTAAGCTTTCAGAATATTAACAAAAGTTCAACTTATCCCTAACCTTTAGAGATAAAATTTCTGTGGGTACACTACAAATGAGTATTTCTTCAGGGAAACTTTTTTTGTTTGAACTAGGATAGGATCTGTTTCCTATAATTCCTGACACGTTTGTTCACCAGAAAGTAGGAACAACTCTATGCTGAGGCAAACCATGTATCATGGAAATTAATGGGCATGTATGTTTATTGAATTGAGGCCGGGGGCGGGGGGACATTGGTGTGAGAAAGAAACATCAACTGGTTGCCTCCTATATGTGCTCTGACCGGTAATCGAACCTGCAAACTTTTGGTCCACAGGGCGACGCCCCAGCCAACTGGGCCACACTGGCCAGGGCACATGTATCACATTTCATTTAACTATTTCCTTAACCACCTTATACTAACTTTTTATTAATGTTGCTAATCACTTTAATTTTACTCTTTTCCTCCTCCTCAACTAATGAACAGTACACAGATGACATTCTTTCGAACTGACGGAGTTTCGAAGGTGTAATTTGCCACCTGAGTGCTGGCTACTCCACTTCAACAGTGTCTGACGTTGCTTCATCCACCTCTGCATTTTGTTTCTTACACAACCAGCTTCCCAGAAGGAAGGTTCCCCCAAACAATGTTCTTGAGAAAGGAAACTTCTTTCTGTCATTTTCAAATCACAGACATAAGTGACTTCATATTAACACATAAACAAATTTTCTGAGGACAAACAGGTTTTTAAAAATCGCCTCCCCCCCACCCCACGTTTGAAATGACACACAGCCACAGCAGTAGATACCATAGTGGAAGGTTTCCGAGCTTCCCCAGGTCAAACGCACCGCGGCTGTCCCGGGACTCACCTCATTGACATGCATCACTGGGAAAACCATGGTTCTCACGTCTCCTGTCTCACTGCAAAGACAGAAGATGAGGTCATCACACAGACATCCTCACTGTGATGGCACACTGGCCCAGAGAGACGCATTTATATGAAAATTCCAGCATGCTTATTTCGTTAAATTATTCAGAATTTAAAGAGACTTCTTTGTTATCTTAGGAAACACATATCAGTCAGAAGTTAGAGTCCAACCTCTTAGTCTAGCAATTCCAAGTGTTGTGGATGTATGTAAACTTTTTACCAAAACACAAGATGCTGAAATGAATTCATCAAAATGATTCCAATTCTCCCCAGAATCAGAGGGGAGGCTTCAGCAGGCAGAACAATGCTGCTGGTCCTCAGAATGTTTTGTAACCTGGCTACGAGGTATGTTCACAAGAGCCCAGGGTGGTCCCTTACTGAGCACTTACCATGCACCAGCCCTGACCCAGTGTTTTGGGGGCATGAGCCCATTTAATTCTCACAGGAGTCCCACGCAGTAGGTACTACTGTCACAGGTTTAAGAAGGTAATTATGGCTCAGAGTAATTTTTCTAGGACCACCAGAGTAAATGGCAGAGCCAGGTTGGTAATTCCATTTTGATTCTAAAGCACTGCAACACCTTAACTATTAAATTATACTGCCTCAGAAATACACACAGGTGGCAACCCACATCTGCTTCCTAGAAAGAGCCATGATTATAGGGGTAAACCTGGCAAAGCTGATGGGGAGCCAACCAAGTTTGAATGATAGATAGATAGATAGGCAGGCAGATAGATATATACGTAGGATATAGATGGAAAGGATAGATATATGACACTATGTATAGTTTTGTACCTTGTTTTTTTCCATTCAACATTAAATTGTAAGTATTTTCTCATATGCAAAAAATTCCCACCGCAAAGTCTGAGTAGAAGACTCTACTTAGGAATGCTAATTAAAGTGATTTTAGGTGGAGTGTGGGGAGGAAAGGCTGGACTCAGGGGACAACTGTCACTATCCAAATGCAGCCTGGGGCTGGCCCTGGGTGGGAGCAGAGGGCAAGGAAGGAGGCAACCAGAGTCATGGTGAGGGAACTGCTTAGGAGTGGGGAAGGACCAACTCTGCAGCCTCACTAGCTGTGTGAGCTCTAGCAAGTTATTTAACTTCTCTATGCCTTGTTTTCCTCACCTATGAAATGAGATAACACAGGGTTATTATGAGGAATAAATGTGTTAACATATGTACAGTACTTAGAACAATGTGTGATCCGTGGAAGGTGCTCTATATGTATTTGGTTAAATAAAATAAGTAAATTCTAGGAGCACGGCAGCCAAAGACAATGCCGGCCATGCCTTATTCCAGGTGGGGAATAAGAGTCAGTAGACTTAGAAGTGGGCTGTATCTCTCCCAACATCAACCTCAACAGAAAGTCAATGTAGGAAAACTACCCTTTGCCTCTGTAGAAAGAAAGAAAACTTACATAAAGCCATCTAGTTTTTGGACGTAAACATTGACTTGGAACCTCTTGGCTGCTCTTAGGATAATTCCAGTCAACTGCAAATCAGAGAAGTGGAAAGAAAACACATTAGAACCATGAACGCCATTCTTTCCAATGCAGCAGCATTTCCGTGTGCTTCTGGTAAGCCCGGTGACCACCACCATGTTTGACAGGTGCAGTGGGACCAGGAAAGCGCTGACCTCAGAACAAAATGACAGATGTGGGTCCTTTTCAGGTGCCTGGAAAACCAGTGTTTCTCATGCTTTAATATGCCCGTGAGGTTTGATTGAGCAGGTCTGGGGCGGGGCCTCAGACTGGGCATTTCTAACAAGCTTCCAGGATGCGGCCACTTTGAACAGCGAAGCCCTCGGGACCCCGGCGAAGGGAGCTCCAGCAGACACCCTGTCGGAAGGATGGCTGTCACTGCCAGGGAACAGAGCCCAAGTACGGTCAGGGCCACCCAGAAGGAGTGGCTGCTGCTGTCATGTAAGGTTACGGGACTGTGCCTAGCCCTTGGTAACAAGCACCTGCTGACCGTTCGGCTGATGAAAAGGAACTTACTGGTGGCTAAGAGAGAAAAGGGAGAAACCACACCTGATCTTGTTCACAGAAAGATAAGACCACTGATTTCTCAGATACAAGTGCACTGCATGTAGCTAAGAGTGAAGTCTCCCTGAACTGTTGTATGAAAAGCATGTTTTGCTTTTCTCTTATTGTGCCACGTGTTCAAAAGCCCAAGAATGAAGATATCTGACCTCGAGTTCAGTTCCTACAGTGAGAAGCTGTCACATTTTGAAATGACACTCACATCCTTTTAATGTGGTTTTTGTTTTTCTCCTCTATGAATATAGAATTACAGTATATGTATAGCTGATGCCTTTTAAGTGAGTAATATATAATAAACTCTCAAAAGCACCTGTAAAAAGAGGTTTGCCAAAAGCGACTGAAGCTAATCTCTATATATTTACATTTTAACCAAAACACTCCTGGCAGTATACAGGAATGTCTTCAACCTGGCTGGTCCGTGCCCTCGTGGGAGAAATGTATGTATGTTCAGGTTCAAGGCTGGTGACAGAAGATTGACCAGGTTGCCTGGGTCCAATCTCAGTGGTTTTCAGTGATGGAAATTTCACTGTTGCCTTTTTGTTAAAGCAGGTTTGCTGGTATTTCTGTTGATTAGATCCACAGAATTCAGCCTTCTAAGTGGGAGACTAGGGGACTATGCATTACATCTCCCTGAGCTGAGATTCCTGCACTTGGTTGTATATGAAATGAAGACAGTAGATTTAAGAGAGCTAAGGACTAAACCACAAACACTGAATAGACAGAATGAAGTGCATGTCTTTTACCAGAAGGAGGTGGGTACTCACAGGATTAATGTCCACAAACGTCTCATGATATTCCTTGTTTGGATGCATGCCTTCTATGGCAGAAACAAACTTCTCATCTGCTTGGTAGAAGTGTGGGAAAGACAAAATAATAGGTGCACCTGTGTTTTAAGGAAAACAGAAGTTAATGGTCTGGTTCTGAAAAGTCTAAAATAAATATAAAGTTCCTGACCACAAATCTGGTTCCTAAGAAGGCGAGAAAAAGCTATACATAAGTAAACTTGGGCTGGAGAGGACAGGCTAAACTTCCATCCTACACCTCTTAGTTCAGGATTTATACTTCATTTTCTGGCATCTCTTTGTTTTATTTCACAATATATACTGAATTTCTAGCAAAATTATTTATTCTTCAACAAACATTTACTCAATGCATAAAAGTAAACACTTTACACACATTATTTTAATTAATATTCCCGTTAGGTAGGACAGAGAGGCAGGGCGGAGGAGGGAGACACGTCTCACCTGTGCACTCAGCGGTCCTGAGCCTGGTCCGACAAGATCGCCAGGCATTCTGAGAATCCCAAGCAGAGCTATCCTAAGGTAGCACTGGAGGAGGGGAGACCTTGAAATTTTGTTTGTATCCCTTCCATGCAAAAGAAAGCCTTTGTAATGATTTCCCGAGCTCAGGGGTGTCAAACTCATTTTCACCGGGGGTCACATCAGCCTCTTGGTTGCCTTCAAAGGGCCGAATGTAATTTAGGACTGTATAAATGTAACTACTCCTTAGCAGTTAAGTGAGAGCTCAGTGCTGCCACCGGGTAGAAACAAGGTGCTGGGCTGCATAAAACAGGGTGGAGCCCTGGATTTGGCCCTCAGGCCTCATGTTTGCCACCTGTGTCCCAGCTGGGCAAAGAAGCCTCTGGAGCAATTTCACTAGCTGAAAACGGAAGCCTTTATAACTGTATGTTAATCCCAGGGTCTGAAAGGGGGCAGAAGGGGAACCAAGAAACTGACTCAAGTATGTGACTCCTGGAGTTTCAGAAGTTGGTGTTCTCACATTAGCTGAGCCCACTCGTAGCCTCTGCTCAAGTGAACAGAACTTTCTAACAAATGTATTAATAACCTTACAAACAACTTTATTTCCTCTACACATGGGGCATGCAGACTAGCTGGGTGCCTGCCTGTCATTTCGTGCTCAAGTGTCTATTTCATAAACAAACTTGCTATCTTATTCCTCTATACATGTTTGTCTCTCACCTGAATTCGCAAGACAAGAACCGAGGAGGGGCAGCACCCGAACTTGGGTCTCCCAGGTAACATTCCCAGCAGCCCTGTGACATTATAACTATTATCTTCATTTTGCATTTGAGTAAAGTGTGGTTCGGAGAAGCAACAACATTTATCCAGGGACATCCAGCTATCAGGTGATAGAGGCAGAATGCTAAATGAATAGATGATTTATCTCAAAGAACTTGAAGCACTTGTTTCAACTTCAATTCTCTACCAGGAAGTGGCCTTTTTTTTTTTTTTGCTTGCTTTTCTGTTTTTATTTTATCTAAGATAGGCTTTGTTCTCCTGTCCATGCTGATGTAGAATTTTGTAAGACTGTGTCTGGTTATGATATCTGCCTAGCCTCTGACCAGATGAAGGTTTGCCCATGTGAAGACTGGGGTTTTTGTTTATTTGTTTGTTTGTGTTTTTGTTTTGCCTTTCCTATTCATATTAAGGAACAAATAAGGAAACAAACTATAAAAGAAAATGTATTCTAGATTTTGATACTGAAAGAGAAGGACCCAATAATCACTGCCAGGAAAATATATTTTTGAAGAAATTAGTTTACTGGCGAGAAATTTCATTCTGGCCACATTCCCGCCAGTCCCAGGGCTCTCTGCACACACCACCTGTTATACACACGGGTGTTTTGCTCTTTACTCCTAAATAGTTTCACAAAGCCGTAGTTTCCCTCTTTGTGACCTATAGTCACCTTTAAAATATATTTTAAAACTCTACTGAGGGTTTAATAAGGGCCAGACACTGCCCTGAGTATTTTACACTCAGTATCTCTAACCTTCACAAGCTTCCAAGTTACAATCGCCCCCATTTTTATGAATGAGAAAACTCCTTCTTCAAGTTGGCCAGCTTGCTAACAAATAGAGAAGGACTCAAACCCACATCTCTTTGAGTCCAGAACACTTCCTCGTTCCACCATCCAAATATTGCACTGGGGGATTCATAACCCCTGAGGATAATCCTGGAGAGCGCACATTTCAGTCCACATTTGGGAACACACAGGAGGCAAGAGGAAAACAATCGTAGCAAGAAGCTTGACTGCTGCAAAGAAGAATCTTCCTGTTGATTCTAACATTAATGTCTTGAGGTAGCAGAATGTTAACAAAACAAAACCTGTACCCCCATTTATGCCTGGAGCCAGAGGCTCGTGGGCCAAGTGGGCAGGGCACTGCTTCAGAAACATTCACCCAGAAAGACAGTAGGGGAGATCGGAAGCAGAAACTTGTTCCCATTCACCTTCGGTCTTATCTCCAGGTAAGGGGTGCCACGCTCCCTGGCACAGTGCTCCCCAAACACGTAGGCATCATCCTCGTGAGAATCACCTGGAGCTCATGTTAAAAATATAGATTCTGGGGCCCTGGTATTTGGGCCCTAGGCCAGATGTTTTTAATGATTCTCCCGGTAACCCTGATGCAAGGCCAGGTCTGGGAGGCACTGTCCCATCAGACCAGGACAGGGAGGACACTGCTGACCTCAGACTAACCCCCAAATGAGATTTGCAAACTAATCAGACAGAAGGGCAAAAGTTAGGACTTACTTTATTCGGCAGAAAAAGGCAATTTTATTCAGGAGAAAGGGGGTACAACGTGTCTCAGGAGAAACTGTAAAGGGGAGTTGTAGCCTAAGAAGAGTCATGGAATGAGTATAAGACCCTAGTTGTAACAAGGACTTGCTAAAAGATGAGGATTTGATAAAAATCATGTTCATGTTCTTTCTCTGATCCTTGATTTCCACATTTGTAAAAAGGGGCCACTGGATATCTCTCTAGCAAAGGTATTGTGAATACTTATGCAGCATATGATTGTTAAAACTAGTCTTTAGGATGAAGAACATTATTTTATCAGTTGTACCACTGATAATTCTGCCTCGTTTACAGAAAAAGGTGAGGCAGGTAAGACATTAAGAAAATGGAGAAATTCACAGTTAGGGTTTTCAACAGCTTTGAAATCAGTGAGACTCTTTACCAAGATCTGCACATTCTCATGACTAAGTTCTGCACTTTGTCTTTCAGCTTTGTTTCAAACACTAAATCAGATAATGCTTCACATGCATTAACTATGTGTAAATATGTAAAGCACTTAAAACACTTACGTGGCTGGTACACGTAAGTGTAGTAAACATCAGCAATTATTACTGTTAACACTTCTAAACTGGTCCAGTCAAGATGGAGACGTAGGTAACCATGACCTATTTCCTCACATGACCACAGCAAAAATTACAACTAAACTACAATACAACTATCACCCAGAATTGTCAAAAAGTCATGCTGTATGGAAGTCCGACAACCAAGGAGTACAGAAGTCACATTCATTCAGACGGATAGGAGGGTCAGACACGTGGAGATGCACAGATGCAGAACAGGCTGTCCCGCATCCATGTGGTGGATAAAAATTGGGAGGGATACCTCAGGAGTGAGAGATCTCAGCTCCACACCAGACCACCCAGCACAGGATGCCAGTGCCAGGAAGATAAGTCCCCTTAACTTCTGGCTGTAAAAACCAGTGGGGTGGCAGAAGAAACTGGGATTGTCAGATGTCTTCTCTTAAAGGGCCTGCAATGGTCTTAGGACTTACAGAGACTCACTCCCCCTGGGCTTCAGCACTGGGGCAGCAGCAGTTGGAGGGGAACCAGGGGCATATGGGGGAAAAAAGTATCTGGCATCAGGGCAAGTACCAGTGGACAGCTTCCTCCCAGAAAAAAACTCCAGAGGCCAGGCTGCAACCATTACCCCTTTTCTGAGCCTTCCCCCACACAGAGCCACAAAGTGGCGACACCACATCTGAGACTCCATCAACCTGGTTCACATGGGTTGCCCTGCCCAGGCAATTACCTAAGGCTTCACCCCATCCAACTTACGGTGTGCTTTCCTACAATAGGCCATGCTACTAAGATGGAGTCAAAGCAGCTACCTAATACATGGAAACAAACACAGGGGGGCTGCCAAAACAAGAAGAAAAAGAAATATGGCCCAAATGAAAGAACAGAATAGAACTCCAGAAAAAGAACTAAAAAAATGGGGATAAGCAATCTATCAGATACAGAGTTCAAAACACTGGTTATTAGGATGCTGAAGGAACTCATTGGGTCCTGCAACAGCATAAAAAAGAGCCAGGCAAAAATGAAGGCTACACTAATCAGGGGTGTCGAACTCATTTTCACCAGTAGCCACATCAGCCTCACAGGGCCGAAGGTAATTTTAGAAGTGTATAAATGTAACTACTCCTTAACTAGGGGCAAGGAGCTTGGTGCTGCCGTCAGGTAGAAACAAGGTGCCAGGCCAGATAAAACAAGGTAGAGGGGTGTATTCGGCCCGTGGGCCTTGTGTTTGCCACCTGTGCACTAAGTGAAATAAAGAAAAATCTATAGGGAACCAGCAGTAAAGGAAAGGAAGCTGGGATTCAAATCAATGATTTGGAACATAGGGAAGAAAAAAAAACATTTAATCAACAACAAGAGGGAAAAAAGAATCCAAAAAAATGAAAATAGGGTAAGGAGCCTCTGGGACAACATCAAATGTACCAACATTCGATTCATAGGGGTGCCAGGTGGGGAAGAGAAAGAGCAAAAAGTTTAAAACTTATTTGAAAAAATAATGAAAGAAAACTTCCCTAATTTAGTGAAGGAAATAGACATACAAATCCAGGAAGCACAGAGCATCCCAAACAAGTTGGACCCAAAGAAGACCACACCAAAGCACATCATAACTAAGAAGCCAAAGGTTAAAGATAAAGAGAATATCTTAAAAGCAGCAAGAGAAAAGCAGAGTTACCTACAAAGGAGTCCCCCAAGACTGTCATCTGATTTCTCAAAATAAACCTTACAAGCAAGAAGGGACTGGAAAGAAGTATTCAAAGTCATGAAAGGCGAGGACCTACCACCTAGATTACTCTATCCGGCAAAGCTGTCATTTAGAATGCAAGGGCAGATAAAGTGCTTCCCAGACGAGGTAAAGCTAAAGGAGTTCACCATCACCAAGCCATTATTGTATGAAATGTTAAAGGGACTTATTTAAGAAAAAGAAAATCAAAACTATGAACATTAAGATGGCAATAAATTCACAACTATCAATAATTGAATCTACAAAACAAATTAAGCAAACAAGGTGAACAGAAACAGAATTATAAATACGGAAATCACATGGAGGGTTATCAGTTGAGAGGGAGAGGGGGATAATCGGAGAAAAGGTGCAGGGATTAAGATGCACAAATTGGTAGTTTTGAAATAGACAGGGAGATGTTAAAAACAGTATAGGAAATGGAGTACCTGAAGAACTTACATGCATGATCCATGGACATGAACTAATGGGGGGGATTGCTGGAGGGAATTATGGGTACCGAGTGGAGGGGGGCAAAGAGAGAAAATTGGGACAACTGTAATCAATAAAATGTATTTTTAAAAAAACTACTGCCCACAAAAAACACAACACGGCATTCCAGCAATAAAAACCATAATAGGAAAGCCAGTATTTTTCTTTATTTCTTTTACCATTCTACAGCCATGTTATAAAACCTTGCTCTTAAAAGATCAGAATCATTCTTTCTGCTGGGCTGACAGCCGTCTCTGTCGCACACCAGCCCTGCATCCCAGACCCCCAGAATCACGTCATGTCTTACCATTCTTGCAGACACTGACATTCAGGACTCCCGAGCCCAGGCAGTTTCCTGCAGGTGTACAGAAGCCGGCGTTGTCTGAGGTGTTGGCTAATATTTCTTCGGGCACCTTAAACCGAAAGGCAGGCAGTCCCTGTACGCTCTCAAAGTTACTGAAAGTTATATACAATGACCTGTTAGGAAGTAGGAACAAAACATCAGTGTGGGCTCCAGTCAGCACAGTCTGGCCTGAATCAGGAAGTTAACAACAGTGCTCAGGTACAACACAGCTAAGAGCTGAGAGGGTGAGTGAGAAATGAGGACACAAAAGAAAGCTCGAAAGGAACTCCACCTACTCAGTGTGTAATAAAATAGGACGTGAACTGTAATGAAAGATGCTTAAGAGGTAGCAATTGTGGTAATATTCAAACAAGGCCAAGAAAAAATATATAATCTGTGGTCAAAAATGAAGAAGATGACATTTGAAATGGAGACTCACATTGAAAGACACAGTCACCTCGACCCTAAGGGACACATGCCAGCGTGGGTGAAGCAGAAGCAAAGAAAAGGGAACCAGGGTGCGGCCAAGGCAAAGCCCACCCTCGGCCTGGAATAGTGCCCCCTGGACAGGTACCTGATGAGGATACACGCTTTGATACACACTTCCCCCAAAACAAAAAGTGTCCCTCTTTCACCCATCTTTGATTTCAGTGGGGGCTGGCATATTTCTGCCTTTGACTGCCAATGGCGTTTCGAACAGTGGTATGCTGAAATACTGACCTCCCTCATGTTTGCACAGCACCTGAGTACAGGTATCCCCTGCTTTTCAAAAGTTTGCTTTATGCTACTTTACTTCTGTTAGGCAGGACAGATAGTAAACCAAGGCAGGAAGGGGGAGGGAGACACGTCTCACCCACTAGTTCAGCAGTCCTGAGCCTGGTTGGATAAGATTGCTGGGGGTTCCAACATCACAGGTAAAGGAAGCACAGGAGGAGGGGAGCCTCTGAGACTGTGTGCTGGGAAAGGGAGCCTCTGTAGCAATTTCACTAAGACAGAAAGCCTTTACTAGCAGAGAAGGAAGGCCTTTGTAACTGGATATTGATCCCAAGGTCTAGAAAGGTGAGGAGGAGGTGTACCTAGAAGCTAGCTAAAGTATAACCCCTGAACCCCAAATAGTCAGGGCGCTCAGACTGGCTGAGTGCTCACTTGTAGCCTTTCTGCTCAACTGTATAAATAAACCTGCTATTTCATTTTCAATCTACATGCTGTCTCTCACTTGAATTCTTCTCTTGTGAGGCAAGAACTGATGATGTGGGGAAGCCCCCCCGTCCAGGGTCTCCCCAATAACCCTTCTACTAAAGGCCTACATTAGCACCTGTTTTTGCTAACCCAAAGAAATTTGAAGAGGATTTTTGCTCTTATGGGAAAAGGTGAGAAGCGAAAATAGTGTTTGTTTTGCAACAAGGCATACATTTCAGAGGCAGCAAGCACTCTGGGCAATAGGAGCGGCCCCACCTAGCTCCTTCCCTGGAGCTGCTCTCGGCAGCTCAGCATCAAGCCCCAGAGCTTTGAACTGTGTCTGAGAGCATCTGTGCTTCATCGCAACTCATTTCGTGCATCTGTTAGCCAGATGTGTCTTAAGGTATCAGAAATGCCTAAGAGAGCTGGCAAGGGGGTTATGCTTAGTATAAAACTGGACATATTTGATATGATTTAGTGGGTTATTTTTTATGTCTTGGAGTGCTCAAAAAATTTTCCATATAGATTAATAGGTCCTTCTGTGCTTTACACCAAATCAGCTTACAGAAGGTCTCATAGGAACTGTCTACTTTTGGATGGCTGGGGAAAACCTGGAGCAGATAGGTTAGCACCTGGTCCTAACCTATCCTTTAGCTTGAGGGCTGAGAGGAAGGACGCTCTGGCCTCACTTCTGCATCTTTGAACTGGAGGTGAGATCCCTCTTTGGCAAGGTTGTGAATAACATGGAGAGGCCTTCCACTCACATCCCACCCCTACAGCATTTTTTAAATGAAATGTTTTAGGCAAAAAGAAAAATAGAGAAAATATTACAATAAATACCTCTTATAACAAATATTAATCAGATAAATAAAAATATAGATATGATTGTAGCTCTCCGTATAACACTCCTGGTTCTAGTCCTTCTCTGTGGCCCCAGAAGAAACCACTGTCCTGAACTGGCGGTTTATTATTCCCATGCAGGTCTTTATATTTTACATGTGCACATGTTCACAAACAGTATGTGGCACTGTTGGCTAGTTTAACATATTATGTACAGTATACCACATTCTCTTTCTATAATTTGCTTCTTCATTCAACACTATACTTTTAAGATTTTTTACATTAATGTACATAGCTCTGGTTATTACATTTAAAATCCTATATGGTATTCCATCATATATATAATATATATATTAGAATTTATTCATATTTTTATTTTTATAAGCACTTAGATTGTTTCCAATTTTTCACTACTACAGTGTTGCAATGAACATTTCTGTCTCCGTCTCCTTGCATGCATGTGCAAGAGTTCTTCAGGCCGGCACTCTGGGCCAGAAGCGCAGAATCTTGGAGTCAGCATGTCTTTGGCCTTACTGAACGTCGCCAAGTGGCTCTTCAAAGTGTGTGTACCAGATGAGAATGTGTTTCCCCTGTGCCACACCTTTTCAAAGAAACCTCCCACTGCCCTTCTAGGTCCCCTTGTTTCACTCACTGCACTCCAATGCATTTTCAGTCCTGCAGTCCTTCCACAAATATTCACTGAATGGAGCAGCCAGCTAAAAGGTGACTGTGCTATTCTGTAGGAGAGTTTAAAGGGTCTAAACCAGCTGTTTTCAACCGCTGTGCCACAAGAATGTTTAAAACATGTAGCACCTGACTCTTCAGTGAGGGGCACTGGCCTCTTCTCCTTAGACTGCCAAATAAAATGACAACAGCCAACATGACAGTAGCCATCTGGTGTGAATGAATCAAAATTATACCTATGTTTTATCAGATCAGCAAAAAACATATTTTTTGGTGTGCCGCAGAATTTTAGTAGTTAGTTTAAGTGTGCCATGTGATGAAAAAAGGTTGAAAATCGCTGTCTAAACCATGGCACAGATAGCGGGCATGGAGGGTGAGGAGGAATGCAAGAGCTGTTCTGAGGAGAAACAGATAGTACTCGGTGAACACGTAAATGCAAGAGAGGAGGGACATTTACAGTGTCACCAATGTTTCTGGCAAGGCTGACTGAGTAGGTGGTGCAATTATGTGAGACATGAAACACCCAAAGAACAGCAATTCTTGAGAATGTTAAATCCACAGTGTCAAATAAGGCCAGATCATTTCTGATTTTGTAGTTTCATAGAAAGCCTTGAAAGAGTGAATAGGAGAGGATGTGCAGGCTGCAAGAGTCAGCTACTCATTCAAGCAGCTCAAGGGGGATGGGAAGGAAAAGGCGCAGTGGACGATGGGGAGGTGGAAACCAACGTGTAGAGCAGGCTGCCTCCTTCCCACAAAGACACAATCATGTTCGTTTGTAGAAGGAGCGGGCAGTAAAGAGGGAGAGATTACAGGGCAAGTGAGGCTAGACCTGATCAATGGCAAGGTTATAGCTGAGCAAATACCTATAAACTCTGAATTATGGGCAACAGTACTTATCTTCTGTGTGGACACTACCTGTTCACTGGAAAAAGGCCAGGTCAAATTTCACACTTGGGGAAGCACATCATATTAACTACCAGCCAACACTTAATTTTATTTACTGTGTGACAGGCCCTGAGCTAAATATTTCACTAACAGTCATGCATTTGTCCTCAGAACAACTATCAAGGTAGGCAACTATGTTTACCTTTATTTTACAAATGAAGAAAATGAGTGGTTAAATAACTTTCCCAACATCACACAGCTGTATGCACCGTATTTTGCCATGTATAATGCACATGTTTTTTGCCCAGATTTTCGAGGGAAAAATAAGGATGCACATATACATGGGTCGTACTAGTTCTGTATCTATATAAATGTTTTTAATTCTTTTATTTATGCTTATGCATTAAAAATATAACTCTAGAAAGCAATAATGATATCTGTATGCAAAATAATACCCTGGAATATGAGAATCGGCTTTGTTTCTAAATATAAATAAATAAATAATTGGATTAAAAAATTAAAATGAAAGATTTTTTCCCTGAAAGTTTGGTCCAGAAACGTGGGTGCACATTACACACGGGAGCACATTATACACAGCAAAACACGGTAGTAGAGCCGGTATTCCAACCAATGCAGTCAGGCTTTGGAGTCCATGCGGTAAACCACTGCCCTCCATTGTCTCTCAACACACCACCATCATTTATCATTGATTCAATGTGAATATCCAGTCTAATTAGTGAAGCTACATGTATTCCTCACACTTTTGGTGGTCCTGCAGTCAGAGATATTTTTAGAGTTCTTACCTGCAAAAGTCAGATGGAAAGACATACAGGGTCTCATCCTTGGTGATGAGCGGGTGAAAAGTGTCGCCATCCGTTCCATTAATCATGTTGCACTTGTCTGTTGCCCACCAGTCAAGGGACCTGTAATCGATAACAACAAGAAAGAGTTGAGATGATAAAACTTTAGATTTTTTTCAAATGGTCAGGACTTTTTAAGACTTAACTAGGAGCTGTCTACCCACAGAATCTCATTCATTTGCAGACAGAAGGGAGATATTAGTTAGGGATTCAATTAAGATGGGGAAAAGTAGGCTCCTGACCCCTCTGATACAGGCAATAGTAAAAAATCCCTTTATCCTACCTTGAAAAAGTGTGCCCTACACAGAAATTTAGAAATACCCATTTACTTACAATAATTACCCACTTCAGCATTAATAACTCCCTGACGGACAAGTTCTGGAGAGATACGTTCATCTCTTCAATATTCACGACAGAGTGTTAATTCTGTCTCCCCTTGGAACAGCTCCCTGTTTCAAAATTAACAGAGTCTTCTCTTGGATATCAAGAAAGCTTAATACTGAAGTGATTTCATACTCACTAAAAGCACAGTTGAGCTAGTGGGCTTCCCAACTAAGCTAATTCTGCAAATCAACATATTTTTAAATGAAAGAAACTTACACTAAGAGATAGGTAACAAAATTAACAATGAAAAGATGAATACACTTTAGAAGAAACTAAAATAATCAAACAATTTGGCAATTATCTTAAATAAATATGTTTAGTGTCTCAAAGAGATAAGTGAAAGAATGAAACAATAACATCCTTAGAAATGAATGATAAATTATTTTAAAAATAAAAAGGAAAGAGCCCTGGCTGGTGTGGTTCAGAGGATTAAGTGACGGCCTGAGAACCAAAAGGTTGCTGGTTCAGTTCCAGCAAAATAACGCCACATTACTCTATCCGGCAAAGCTATCATTTAGAATGGAAGGGCAGATAAAGTGCTTCCCAGAGAAGGTAAAGTTAAAGGAGTTCATCATCACCAAGCTCTTATTATATGAAATGTTAAAGGGACTTATCTAAGAAAAAACTATTAACAGCAAAATGACAGGAAACTCACAACTATCAACAACTGAACCTAAAAAACAAAAACCAAAACCAAATAAGCAAACAACTAGAATAGGAACAGAATCACAGAAATGGAGATCACATGGAGAGTTATCAGCGGGAAGGAGGTGGGGGAAGAATGGAGGAGAAAGGTACAAGGAATAAGAAGCATAATTGGTAGGCATAAAATAGACATAGGAAATGGCTTCTCCATTTCCTATACTATTCATAGGAAATAGAGAAGCAAAAAAATTCGTATGTATGACCCATGAACATGAACTAAGGGAGTGGGGGATGCTAGTGAGAGGGGGTGCAGGGCAGAGGAGAATAAAGGGGAGAAAAAGGGGACAACAGTAATAGCATAACCAATAAAATATACTTTAAAAATGAATAAAATTATTGGCAGGAGAACAGAGACAATAGTCATAGATTTTTTTAGAATATTATTACATATAAATCATAAAAAACTAAGATAGAATAGATATAAACCAGAAAAAAAGAAGTCTAAATATATTAAATAATATATCATTATACCATAAATGTATCAGAAATTTTAACACATATATTAAAGAATTAAATTCCTATTGAAAGACTGAAAAAAAAATAATTGCATGGGTTTAAAAAAATATCCAGCTACATCCTATTTACGGGTAAATTTCTCTTCCAGCCCAGTACCCCAGGCATCTAGTTCCCCCTCAAGAAGTAACACCGTTGCCAGTTGATTATATATTCATTCAGGGATCTTATATTTGTGTGTGCGTGCTTACAAATATGCTTATGTACATGCTTTTTAAAAGTTAAATAAATGTTTTATTTAAAGATAATAGGACATTTACAGAAAGGTTGTGAAGATAACATAGAGTTCCCCTATATTCCACACTAGTCTTTGGCCCATTTCCTGGTAAGCTTAGAAGTAAATTTAATGTTCAAGAACAGAACTCCACCCACTTCTGTACCTGAAGAATGATCCCCATTTTCTCCCCAAGGTTTCTAATCTCTCTAACTTTAAAAAAGTATCTTGTTTCATAGGTAGCTTTACTGAAAGTTGACTCAGCTGCCTTTTTGGAAGTAATGTGTTTACATTATAAATAATAAAACACAAAATATTTTTGAAATACTATTCTTTAAAAAAAGAACACAAACAATCCACAATCACCAAATTAAATTAAAAAGAGAACCTCCTCCTTCCCTCAAAGCAAGCAGTGTCTTCAGAAGGGACCAGTGCAGCAGCCACATGGCCTGCAACGACCTCCGAGTGGGAGAGCGAGACTTTTCACTGGCAGCAAGTTCACAGCCAGCTGTGACACACCCACAGACCATTAACACTCACTTCGCCAAGTGCGTTATCCCGACTTTGATTATAAAATAGGAATTCTAAATATATTTTACATATTTATAGATTGTTTTACCCAAAAATGACAATGATAAAAAATTTTTTGAAGTAACATGTAAGTGGACTTTAGGTTTAAATGAAAATTGACATGGAATTACACTGATGAGTGATGAGACTTACGTTTTTCCATTCCATTCCACAATCTTCGAGAAGTTAAGGTAATTGTCTTCTCCAGTTAGAAAAACATAGTCTCCATCATTAGTCCCATTTCTCTGAAAAAAAAAGTGAATTCAAACATTTAAAATAACATGATGGTTAATTTTATGTGTCAACTTGGAAGGACTATGGTGCCAGTTGCTTGGGTAAACACCAGTATGGGTTTTGCTGCATTTCGTAGATGTGATTAACACATCCAATCAGTTGATTTTAAGTAAAAGAGATTACTGTGGATAATATGGGTGTACTCATTCAATCAGCTGAAGGCTTAAAAAGAAAATCGGAGGTTTCCTGCAGGAAAAAGGAATTCTTCAGACTGCAACACAGAAATCCTGCCTGCGTTTCCAGCCTGCCAGTTGGTCCTGGGATTTCAGACTTGCCACGCCCCAGCCCCCTCCACCGCCTAAGCCAATTCCTTAATACAAATCTCTTGGACATCAGATAGATAGAGATATAGGCACATATCTCCCATTGATTCTGTTTCTCTGGAGAACCCTAACTTATACAGTACCTGACAGATTTAATCTTCGTGAATCTGTCCTAGCTGGGCCTAACTGCTACCTGGGACTAAGCCAGAACACAGTGAGAACTGCCAAACACAGAATTACCATGTGACCCGAAAATCCCACTCCTGTGTGTCTACCCAAGAGATTTCCATTCCAAGGTACATATCTAAAGTTCATACAAAAGTCTATACACAAATGTTCACAGCAGCATTATTCATATGAGCCAAAAAGTAAAAGCAACCTAAATATCTATCAACTTCTGAATAGATGAACAAAGGGTGGTATATCCATGCAATGGAATATTACTTGGCCATAAAAAGGAAGTGCTAATACATGCTATAATACAGATGGACCTTGTAAACTTTATTCTAAATAAAAGAAAACAGAGCAAAGATTATATAGTGTATGATTTCATTTATATGAATGTCCAACTGCCAAAAATGGTTCCTGCTCAGGGGTGGTGCCTTTTGGCCCTCATTTGTAGAGTGTGCATTTGTGTTGTTTTTTAAGTTTATTTTTTGCCTGACAAAGCCACACTATAGTCCCAAATGTCCTTCCTCTGTGGCACTGGGGAAGCTCCCACATAGAGGGGGCCTGGCTTCTCTCCTCTCATCTTGTGGCCCAAGCCAGGCTGGCCTCTTCTGCCCAGGACCAGCCCGTCCAGCACCCCACAGGGGCAGGAGACTGGCTGCGCGGGAGGGGGCTTCCTTACTCTTTGTTTCGAACAAAAAACCCAACCTTTTATTCTTTTAGACAGGTCAAACATAAAATTTAATATTGAAATACCACACTATTATAACAGAATTCAGGAAAGTGTAAATAGAATTTACATTTGATAAAGTCTTTATGTTATTTGGGAACAAATAAAATGTTTATAAGCTTTAGATTTTTTCTTTTTTTTGTGCTTTGCTTTTTTAAAAAATGTTTTATTGTTTATGCTATTACAGTTGTCCCATCCCCTCCCAAAAAAAACAACCTTATTTGTCTTTACAAAAGCAAAAAAGGAAACCAAAAAAGATACTTTCCTTTGAACTTATTGGAAAAAATCTATAGCCCTGACTGGTATGGCTCAGTGGACTGAGTGGTGGCCTGCAAACCAAAAGGTCGCCAGTTCAATTCCCAGTCAGGGCATATGCCTGGGTTGCAGGCCAGGTCCCTAGTAGGGAGTGGGAGAGAAGCAACCACACAGTGATGTTTCTCTCCTCTTTCTCCCTCCCCTCCCCTCTCTCTAAAAATAAATAAATGAAATCTTTTTAAAAATGTATAGATTCATAGGCAAATCCCTAACGACAGAAAGTGGTTGCCAGGGGCTGGTAGGAAGGGACAGAAGTGACTACACATGGGTATGTGGTTTTGGGGAGAGGATGGTGAAAATGCTCTATAATTAGAAAGTGGAGGTGGTTGCAAAACCTTGTGAACATACTAAAAACCACTAAACTGTACATTTTAAAATGTGTTTTAGAACTAAGATATATTTACATGGAACATGTAGGTTATAGGTACAGATATATATATACACACAATTTTATACATGTAAACATATATATATGTTTATATATATGTATATATATACATACAATTTTTTTACTTAAGCATAAAACAGAGAAGTTCTTCATAGGTCTAATTTAATGACTCCATGATATTACATGAAAATAATTTACTTAACCATTCTCTTATTATTGGGTATTTAGTTTTGAAGGGGTTTTGCTACTATAAATAATGTTGTATGAATAGCTTTATTCCTAAAAACCTTTCTGGTACTTTTGTTTCCTACACAGACCACTAGAAGTGAAATTACTAGATAGAAGAAATGAACATTTTTAAACCTTTTGATACATATCAAGTTGCTCAAGGTCACCCAGCTGGAAAGTGGTGGAAATAGCAGCACAAATCAGTTTACATTTCCCAGATGACTTTTGTGAAACTTTGCTAACTGGCGAAACAAAAAAACTGTTTCTTGTGTCTTTTTGTGTTTCTGTGTTCACTGAGGTTGAACTATTTCATATCACTCAGCTATACCTTAAAAAAACACGACACCCTTGGTGAATTCTCTTTTCATGCTTTTTGCCAAATTATTTGGGTTCTTCTTTTTGTCACTTAACATTATTTTGCCAACTACATCAATATATCGACATGGTCCACATACACAGGGGTCATGAGATAGGACTCTTCTCTAAGAGCAGCGATGTGAACATAACAACTTGGTTGAAAATTCAAATGCCCCACATGAAAAATTGCTGAATGGCCAATTTTAAAAATGCATGTTGCATGTGTGTTGCTTCTTGAAGTCTTCCCTTCACTCAGATGTGGCTAAGAATTAAATGTTTCAGAATAACTCAAAAAGGGTTCTCCCTAGCTCTTATCTGCCCTAGAATCAGACACTGGATGTGATGCTTCTCCATCTCTTGAGAGCACTTCTGTTTCTTGAGGACCAGCAGTGATAAACAGGTTTTGTGTTACTGCTGTGGGGCTGTGAGTTGCTGCAGGGGACACATTGCTGCAGGAGGCCGGGAAATGTTCTCAGGATGTCACTACAACATTCACACTGGCGGGCGAAACAGAAACAACATCCATCCTCCGGGAAGAATTGGCTACATTGGCTGACTTCTCAAAGACACTTTCCAACAACTAGAATCTTACACATCAGAGAACCCACACTCTGTGGGAGGGGCTTGAACTCTCTTATATCAAGGAGAACAGAGGTACCCTAAAATCAGCAGGTACAGATATGCTGATTGGCCTCGAAACAAGCAAATAATAGTATCTGACACTTAACCTCTGTGTCAGAAAAAGTTCCCCTTTTCTCAAGAGCTATGTGAATTCACCTCACCCTATTCATTCTCACACCCTGTCCTCCCCACTGTTTGGTTGTTTTGTCATTTAAGTCTCTGAAGGAAAAGTGTTTGATGGTGTTCACTAAGGCTGAGCTGGTGGGACAGGCACACAGGACTAGTGTACCCCTGGGGAAGCCTGGCAGAACCCACTAGGACTAAGGAAAAATTTGAGGCCAGGATTGGGTGGGTGCAGAACAGTGGGTACCACTCACGATGCTCAACCCTCACAGCCTGTCCTGCTCCCTGAGTGAGCTGCTGCGCTACTGGCTAAAGAGTATTTGGCCAAAGCAGATGAAAACCTGAACAAAAACATTGCCATTCGCCACCCCACGCCCCCAACAACACTACAGAGAACTTACTTGGCTCCAAGATGAAAACACATACCAGTCATTCATATTAATTCATGGTCAGTTTTTGAGCCAGTCATACAGGGGAAAAAGAATAATGGTCCCTGAAATGTGTATTGCAACTCACTCATGGTTTGAAAATCATTTTAATGGATTTCTTACTTAGCCTCTTCAAAACAGGCTTTGAAGTGCAGGTACTTCTAGTCTCACATTAGAAACCATGAAACTGAGGCTCAAAAAAGTCTCTGAACCTTCATTTATTAATATTATTAAATGAAGAAGTAAAAAGTCAGTCTAGGCTCTCTGATTCTAGTAAGTTTCATGTTTTTTCCCCCTGGATGTGGGAAATCCACTGAAGGCACTAATTTAACTGAGCGATGGTACAGGCCTTTCCGCTAATGGGGCCTTGTAGAGACAGAGTGGTCCTCAAATCATCAAAATGAGACTTGGCACTGAACACTGACTGAAATGTGTGATACTTTGAAAGATCAGTGCTGATTAATGGCATAGCCACACTATGCGTTTTCACAGCTACACTCATTCCCAGTCAGTGCTGGCAGCCTATTGAGGGAGAAGTCCCCTCCCCCACCCCACATGCCAAAACACTTATTTTCCACATACTGTACAAGACACCTAGAATTCTAGGCAGTTTTCGTCTTCTCATAAAAGAAAGCCAAAGTGAACATGAATCTGGCTCGGGTGCCCCCTGAGATGAACAAAGAGGCTCTGAAGGACAAAACCTACTTACCCCATAGTACAAGCCAAAAGAGGGCGAGACGTCAGGTTTGAACGGGTGGATGAGGGCCAGGAGCTCATCTTTGTAGCCCCAGAGCAAGTCGTGGACTGTGTGTGTCACAAAGAAGTTCTGCTGGTACGCCTTTAACAGCGCCCGGATGAGCATCTGGATGAAGCCCTGGTGGGCCCATTCCATGGCGGTCTGGAAAAAGCACAGGCAAATTCAGATGGCAGTGTACCCACCCCACTCTCCCACTGAGCCTTTGACCAAAGGAGCTGCAAACTTAAATGTTGAGATTAAGTAGCTGAAAAAATGGCCAGCAAGCTCCTCTCTGGCTGCATGTACAAGAATAAAGCTCCTCCATTACTATCCTTTCTCAGTATTACATTTTTAACTGTGAGCTTAGTATCCTCAACTTGCCCCGTTAGCCCCCCAAAGCAGGAAGGAAGGGAAAAAGCTCTTGTAATTACATTGGCATCTTTGGCCAGAAGCTGGCGCCCAAATCCCTCCTGATCAAGGCCAGCAGCTGGGGCCCTCACAAACCCTGCACCACTAGGGAGTAGGCCAGGGCCAGATCTGGGATCTAAAGTCTTCTACGTCCTGGACCCACCATGAGTGTCCAGCTGCAAATGGAGGGGTCAACTAGGACTTAGAATGGAGGCCTCAGAGGGGGCTGGTGTACGGGAACAGGAAAGTTCCTGACCGACAAATGTGTTCTTATTAGATGGAATTGCCATTATGATCAGAGCCCAATGGAATCACTCTATGCCGTCTGTAATCAACAGCCCAGTTTTTATCATTTGGAATGGAGACAAACAGTCAACATATATTTTGAGAACTAAAAATATAAAGTAGAAATCTAAATTAAGAAGTGGTATGTAAATTCTATTGCTACAGTTTCTGAACCAAAACAAGGGGCAAATAAATATTTTAAAAATTGTTAGCTATTCAAAAATCCTAGATATATTTATTTGCACAAGTGCTGATCCTGAGCACACAGCAAGAAATTGTGAAAAAATAATCTTAAAATTAGCATTTATCACCATTTGAAAAGACCTTGTTTGAAAGGCCTCAGAAATACCTGTAAAATAACCTTTAAAGAAGGGAAGGGAAAAATTATAATTTTCTTCTTATATATGTATATATATATACATATATATTTGTATATATATGTATATATGTATATGTATATACATATATACATATATACATATATGTATATATGTGCATACATATATACATGTATATATATACATATATATTTTTAACATAACTTAGTCCTAAATGTAGAGCCACAACAACCTTAAGTCAGCTTTTCCCTTTCCTCTAAATCCCACAGTAATGGCACATAAAATGTGCACTGACCACCGCAGGGATGTTCACTGTTCTGATCAGGTCCGTTCTGGCGTCCCCAACAGACTGGTCTCGCACGAAAACATAGGCCTTGTTGCTGACAGCAGATATTGTTCCATTGTCTCCAAACTGAATCTCTGCTTTGTCTCTGATTTCCCTAAAAGAAAGAAATAGATTTTGTTTGGATGGTCCCTACTTTAAATAGCAGTATTTTCCCCTTCTTCCAGTATCAAGGCTATTTTCAATATACTATTGCCAATCTAACCACTAGAAAGAGAGACTGCAGATGCTGACCTGTAAAAACTGGAGGTTAAAACTATGTGAGAAGGAAACGAGCCCCAGGATAGAGTCTTCTCAAGAAACTGTCGTTTTCATTCTTTACTCCACAATTTGGAAAATGCATTGGTCAAGGTCTCCTTGACCAGAAAACCAAAGTCAATGAACTCTCTCATGGGTTATGGTTTGGTCCCAAAACATAGTCACGAGGAATACATACAAAATCTGATTGCCATCCTGTTAAAACGCCTGTGTAATTTGCAGTTAGGGAGTATCTGCGATAGACTTTTGGTTGTTAGACATCGCCCCCCACTACCCCTCTTTTCCCGGTCAGAGCCCTGATTTCCTTTCCTCTCCTGCACCAGGCAGCGGTGTGGGACCCAGGCTCAGCTCCACCAATACTTTATACCTGGGCTTCTGACTCCTGAGCCCAGAGCCTCTGGACAGAAAACACGGTCGAAATACCGGTTTCCTCCAGGGGGCACACACGAGGCGAGGATACCAGTGCTCCAGAGATGCGGGTCCTTAAAGCTGCCCTGGACCCTGCCTTTTTCTTCCGGGCCGCAACTTGGGATCTGTAACCCAATTTATAGCCTTCACATAAATTATCTTTTTCTTTAAATTGGACAGAGGAAGTTTCCCCCACTTGCAACGAAAGCCCCCTCATATAGAAAGCATGACCTGGTCTTTTTATAGATGAGGCAAGGCACATTCAGGTAAAGTAGCTAGCCCAAGACTAACCAGGAGGTGGCAGAGCAGGGTTTGGAATCTTGGCCCCCTGATTTCAAGCTAAATGTTTTCCTCGACTCTACAGAGAAGTTAATGCAAAGTGATTGATTGGTTAGAAACTCTTGGGGGAAGAGTAAATTTCAAAGGTAAATCCCTGCCTCTGCCAAGGCTGGTGCATAGAGAGGCATTCCTCCTCACTTCCATTCCCGGAGCCTCCCTGCAGCCAAGCTGAGGAGGGAAAGACTTTTCTAGATGCACCCATTTAGAACCAGGGCGGGGACCCCACGCTGGCGTAGCTGACCACTAAGGAACTAGAAGTAGGAAGAGTAACCCCAGGGTGAATACCAGCTTGCACGCAAGGAAAGCCGGGCCAAGGAGCAAACAGCTGGGATTCATCGTCAGTCCAGCAACTCAGGGAGAGACTCTGCCAAGTTTTCTGATTCATGACGAAAACCGATGACCTTGTTACGGCTTTTTTAAAATTTATTTTTCACTGAGCCCTGGGGCATGAACCTGGAGGCCTGAATAATTCCAACCCTAGAGCCTGCATCATTTACGTTTATTTATGTGTACTGACTTTGGAGATGACTTTTAAAATGCTTTCTTTATGGCTCACCCGGTAAGAGCTTGATGTTTTAAAGGGAAACTGAGCATGAGGGGTCCGATCATTTTGAGCCTTGTAACTTGATTGGGTTTCTCAATAAATCTCAGTATGTCAAAGCCCTGGCTTCCCAAACCACTAAAATATTAACTCACTTGGCAGGTACCAAGGGACCATGATAGGTCACTCAGAGCTAACCACATGACTTCCCCTTGGCCATCAGCTGCTCTGAGGCATGACTGACACCTGGCCTTTGCAGAGCAGTCACTGAAGGAAGACAGTGCCACTAGGCTGTCAGAAATGGTCCCCCCTCTACACAGGCCAAGAAAACCAAGGAGAGAGGTGGCGAGGGCCCTCCCTCTCAGAACAGCATAGAGTCATATAGTCAGGGGAACCTATAGTCAGAGGAAACCCAAAATGTTTCTCCTTCCAAGCGTTTCGGTCCCCCTGGCAACCCTAGGGAGGCTGCAACACCAGCGAGTCTGGTACCCAAATCTCCCCCACAGCTGGTCAACCACAGTCAACCAGAAGCAGGGCGGCCGCCTGGAGAACAGCAGACTGACAGCAAGAAGTAATCAGTCACTGCTTTGCAGTATCTGGTGAGACCAAAGAAGTTTCTAGAAATAGAAACAAAGTTTTTTTTTTATTGTTTTTGGTTTTTTTAAAGGCAAAACAAATCTTAGGTCTAGATACTCAATTCAGGAACCGCATTTGAAAGTGCCGGGTATGTTCCCTGGTACATGGGAGATGCTCATAAATCCTGCAGATGCTGAAGGCGCCAGGACGCCACAGGCTCAGACTACAGCTTAGTATCTGTTGTTCACAGTGTGGCCCTAGTCATTGAGAAAGCATTGAGTTATGATCCATGAAGTATTTCATTAGGCAGGAAAATACCTGGTTGATTTTAGAGATGTTTCATTTTAAGTAATTTTCAAAGTTCTTACTTTTTAAAAGAAAAAAAATTTAAACTCCTGAATGCTTAAATAAAATCTCACCCTTACAGAAAGCAAACAATAGCCTGGGAAAAAAAAAACCAAAAGGAATAATTTTAAAGATTTTATTTATTTACTTTTAGAAGGGAAGGGAGGGAGAAAGAGAGGGAGATAAACATCAATGTGTGGGTGCCTCTTGTCTGGCCGGAAACCCAGGGATGTGCTCTGGGAACTGAACCAACAACCCTTTGATTCTCAGGCCAACACTCAATACACTGAGCCACACCAGCCAGGGTGTTTTTTTTTTTTTTTTAAAGATTTTATTTATTTAATTTTAGAGAGGGGGAAAATATTTTTATAAAGATTTTATTTATTTATTTTTAGAGAGGGAAGAGAGGGAGATAGAGAAAGAGAGAGAAACATCAATGTGTGGTTGCTGGGGGTCATGGCCTGCAACCCAGGCATGTACCCTGACTGGGAATCGAACCTGCGACACTTTGGTTCGCAGCCCGAGCTCAATCCACTGAGCTATGCCAGCCAGGGGGAAAAATATTTTTTTATTTTTTTAATTTATTTTTAGAGAGAGGGGAAAGGAGGGAGAAAGAGAAGGAGAAAAACATCTGTTGGTTGCCTCTTGCATGCCCCCAACTGGGGACCCAGAACACAACCCAGGCAGGTGCCCTGACTGGCAATCAAACCAGCAACCTTTTGGTCCACAGGCTGGCACTCAATCCACTGAGCCACATCAGCCAGGCCAAAAGGAATCATTTTAAATAGTTGAAAAATTAACCTCTATCTGTGCAATACCTCAGAGATTTTGGGTAAATTAAATGTGCACAATACTATCATATAATCCTTATCTTTGATCTTTTTAGTTCTTCATTCATGCTCTTTGCTGGAACCACTATCAGAAGCGACGAGCCCACTGGGCAGAGTGCGGGTAAGATCTGACTGCCAGGCTTTGCATTCAATTCAGCTTCATCCATTGCTAGCTCTGTGACTAAGGGTAAGTTACTCATTGCTTCTGTGCCTCAGTTTCCTCATCTGTAAAGTGGAGACAATAGCATAGTGTCCTTGTAGTGTTGTTGTGAGAATTAAATTTGCATAAGCTTGTCATCCATTTAAAACTCTGCCCAGCACATACTAAGAACTTAGCTACTAAAATTATGTGCTCCGCTCTCTCGATGGAGAGATGTTAACACCTGGTTCCTGTCCTGAAAGCATCCAGGTACAGCAAGGAGACTTGCATCTAAGTGGCTGCCTCACAACTGGGAAGTGCTCCAAGGCTGAACTCCAGAAGAGAGAGGAGTGGCCACTGGAACAGGAGCCCTGAGGAAGGCTCCTAGGAACATAGTTGGGTTGGTTCTAGATGGAGCAGGTTTCCCCGGATTGAGGAGGGGGGCGGGGGCGGGGGGGGGGGACAGCACCCAGGGCAGGCAGCACAGCACGAGAGCACAGGATGTGTTTCCGAAGTAAAGGGGTGAGGAGACGCACTGCAGAGGTGGTTTAGAAAGAGCAGCCTGCAGCCCAGGCGGAGGCGGGCTGACCAGGTCAACAGAGAAGTGAATTCACAGGGTAGATGAAAGGTCAGCACAAGGGAAGCAGGCCACTGGGAGGGAGCGGAGGAGCACCAGTTTTTAGCTGTCCATCACCACTGCCTGGCCAGCTACATGAGGGACTGAACACCGAGAGCCCAAAGCAGGACCCTGAGAAACAACTTCACTCCTGAAGCTGGACATGGTCCCCATGTCCTTGAAGCATTACCCTGGCCCACCTGGCTAGTACAGGCAAGTCACTCAGGACTACCATGTGCATTCGCACCTCACAAGTACCTGGTCATCACTTTTTGTATAGAATGGGAAGTGGTGGGGGGGATCTTTATTTATTTTCTTACTTTTGAGTAGTTCAAAGATTTAAAAAATTTTTATCTAAAGGCACTCTTTCTATTTTGAGAAAAAAGTGATATCAGAGAAGAGTGAGTCAGGTTTAGATAATATAATAATGGGCTGTTTTTGTTTTTTAGGTCCAGATGTTGATAGTTGTGAGTTTGTTGTCATTTTATTGTTCATAGTTTTCATCTTTTTCTTAGATAAGTCCCTTTAACATTTCATATAATAAGGGCTTGGTGATGATGAACTCCTTTAACTTGACCTTATCTGGGAAACACTTTGTCCTTCTATTCTAAATGATAGTTTTGCTAGGTAAGAGTAATCTTGGATGTAGGTCCTTGCCTTTCATGACTTCAAATACTTCTTTCCAGCCCCTTCTTGCCTGTAAGATTTCTTTTGAGAAATCAGCTCATAAGTTTTATGGGAATTCCACAAACAACTAGAACAGGAGCAGAATCACAGAAATGGAGATCACATGGAAGGTTATCAGTGGTGGAGGGGAGAGGGAGAATGGAGGGGAATGGTATAGGGAATAAGAAGCATAAATGGTAGGTACAAAACAGACAGGGGAGGTTAAGAATAGTATGGGAAATGGAGAAGCCAAAGACCTTATATGGACAACCCATGGACATGAACTAAGGGTGGGGGGGAATGCTGGAAGGAGGGGGCATGCAGGGTGGAGGGAGATAAGGGGGAGAAAAAATGGGACAACTGTAATAGCATAATCAGT